AAATTTATATATATAAGGATCAAAATACAGTATAAATATGGGAATTAAAATAAATATTATATTAAAATATTCTAATTTTGATAAGCAATAAAAGGTAAATCATAAATAATTTCTAATCTAAAAATGAAAATATAAGAATTTTTCATATAAAAATTAAAATAAAACAAAACATTCTATCTAGATTTTTAACACAATTTCATTAGCAAATAAAAAATATGATATTAATCAGATAAACTAAGTAAACTTATAATTAAACCAGAAATAAATCTTACAAAATTTACTTTTGAGTAATTTACATTCACCTTCTATTACATTTATTATATAATTTTTAACATTTATTACACAGTTATTCTCTCTCTTCTTTTAATACTATATCATTTATTATATATATTTTTTCTCTTCTTAGATCTCTCTTTTTCATTCACCTAAGGTGGGGACTGAATCTTCATTTTCCAATACTTCTCAACATTCCCTTTGCCACCCTCTGATGAGAATTCCTCTCATTCACGTTACTTCCCATTGAGATAAAACTCTACCAACCCTTGGCAATCTCTTAGGCTTCCCTTTCACTCTCATTGTCTTGTTGTCCCTCTGTTACCTTAACAATGATCACAGGCAAAGATATATACCATGTTGGGGCAGCTCTTGTTCCCCTATATTCACCAATGATATTGGCCTATTGTTCAGTGAAGTGGTGGAAGATCTTCACACCAGAACAGTGCGCTGGCATAAACCGCTTTGTGGCAGTGTTCGCAGTCCCTTTCCTTTCATTCCGTTTCATATCTTCCAATGACCCTCGCACTATGAACCTCCCATTCATAGCCGCAGACACTCTTCAAAAAGTTGTGATTTTGTGTTCACTTTTACTATGGAACGCCTTCACAAAGAGTGGTAGCATTGATTGGACCCTTACCCTCTTCTCACTTTCCACTATCCCAAACACACTCGTTGTTGGGGTCCCACTTTTAACATCTATGTATGGTGATTCATCAGCTAGCCTCATGGGTCAAATTGTGGTTTTGCAGTGTGTGATTTGGCTCCCTGTGATTATCTTTTTGTATGAATATAGAGGCGCTAAGCAACTCGTTTCAGAGAAGTTCCCTGAGACTGCAGGGTCTATAACCTCATTCAAGGTTGACTCTGATGTTTCCTCTTTTAATGGTAAGGAACCGTTACAAGCTGATGCGGAAGTGAAAGAAAATGGAGAGCTTCATGTGGTTATGAGGAGTCCTTCCTCCAACAAGTCTTTTCCGAATACTGTTACTGGGCTTCAGTCATCCAGAGAACCAATGCAAAGAGGTTCGTGTTTTGAAACATTGGGTAATCTCCAAAATGATGATGCTTTTCTAGTGGAGATCGTGTCCAAGATGAATAAGGAAAAGTTTTGCAGAAGCAAGAGCTGTAATGATATCGCTAATGGAGGTTTGCTTTCGTCTTACAGTGTTGTTAAGTAATATAATATAATTTTGTTGCAGAAAGAAAGATACATCTGTTATATATATATTCATCTTAATTAGTAAAACTTATAATAAATTAAGATAATCTTTTATTTAATAAATATTGTCTCTTTTTCTATAACATGCATATTATATTACTTATTGAAATTTTAAAATTGCTGCTTTGGGAAATTTTAATTTGACTTGAATGTGAAAAATTGGTGCTGGAATGCTACTTGAATCATACATGCCCCCACGTCATACGTGTTTTTGGCTTCTGAAAGTGACTTTCCCATTTTCTCATGTTAATGTTTTAATTTAATTTAATTTTGTGAATATTCATTTATAGCCATTGCAGACAAATTCAAACAATCTCCTTTTGCACGCAGTTCAACATGAATTGATTTACACGAGTCCTGGTCTTAAAGCAATAGGAGACAAGGAGGTTGGGACTGTCGAAGGAACCTAACAATATCCCTTAAGCGAGGGGCGGAAGGAGGTGATGAACATTGAAGAAAGAGATGCAAACAAAAAGCAACAAATGCCTCCTACTATTGTCATGACAAAGCTCATTCTCACCACTGTTTGCAGGAATCTCATGACAAATCCTAGTACCTATGCCAGTGTTTTGGGCCTCGCATGGTCTTTTATAACATTTAGGTACTTTTAAAGATACAAACGTTGTTGACTAAGAAAAAAAGTTAGGAATGTTTAACCACATATTCTCAATCCACTCTTCACAATATATTAGTTAAAATCTGTTAAAAATTACATGAATCTCACTCATTAATACTTCATTTTAAAAAAAATCTAATTACCTAAAACATATTAAGGAGTATATTAAAATAATATGGTGCTATTATTTTTTAACGTGGAAAAAAAAATGAGAAAAAAGCCAGAGACATTAAAATTATATATATTTTTTGAGGTTCTATTTTCTTTCTTCAATCATTGCTTGTGTTCATACGCAGGTGGAACATCAAAATACCATCCATTATAAATGACTCCATTACAGTACTGTCAAATACCGGGCTGGGAATGTTTATGTTCAGTTTGGGTACTATCTTCAACATTTTTTTTTTCTCTCCTTTCTGATATAGTGTGAACAAATTTGGTTTTAATATGGGCACTGATTTCATTATTTTCAAATTTTATTTTGACACTTGTTGTAAATCAAATTTTTGTATAGATCTCTCCCTCTCTCTATCTGTCTATATACATATATAAACATTAACTTTTATTATTTGGTATGTTTGTATTTATGCTAGCTGTGCTTCGTTTGCTGTGTCGTTCTCTTTACATATGCTGACTTAAATAGGTCTATTCATGGCATTACAACCTAAGATCATAGATTGTGGAAAATCATTGGCAGCACTTGCTATGGTAGCTAGGTTCTTGGTTGGTCCAGCAGTGATGGCTACAACCTCCATACTCATTGGTATCCGAGGAGTTCTTTTACATGTTTCAATTGTTCAGGTAAAATAAAACTCATTAACTCTTAGAATATACTAATGGAATATGCTTCATTAATTCACACTATAGGATATTTATGTATTAACGTCAGCTGACGCTAAAAAAACTAAAAACTGACTTTAATATAAGAATTAGCATATAGTTAGCTTAGCAAAATATCACTATCTAAACTTTGAGAAGCATAGCGTTGGCAAAACCATGTAATTGTGAAATATATATACAAATTACATAAATACAAATTACCCTATATTTTACATCATAATCTAAAATAAATAATTTTTTTATCAATTTAATCATTGAATTGTAATTATAACTATATTTTATTTAGGTTAAAATTTTGAAAAATAAAATAATTATAATAATATAATAAAAATATTTTATATATTTTAAATATTTTATACCTATTAAAATTTTTTAAATTGATCTAAAATTTGCTAATATTATATGAAAAAATCCTTTAATAAATGACTCATTGTACGATAAAATTATCTAATAACAAAATTTAAAGACTTAAGAACAAGAGTAACTTGTATTGTTATAATTTAATTTCATAAACACGTATATGTATGTGTACCTGTGTAACTATTTTTTAATTACCATTTGTAGGCTGCTCTTCCCCAAGCTATTGCAACCTTTGTATTTGCCAAAGAATGCAATGTCCACGCAGATATGCTAAGCACTTCGTAAGTATACCTTTTTAAATTTATACCTGTTAAAAAAAATAGCATTTTATGCCTTTTGATTACAACACATCAACATAAATTCTAAAAAAGATTTTACAAAATTTGCAGGGTTGCCTTCGGAACGGTGATTTCATTGTTTGCAACAATAATCTCTTACGTGCTTCTTGAACTCTAAGTAAGCTGTTGTTTGGAGGCAAAGAAGAGAAAATAAATGTATGGCCGTTTATAGTAAAAGTTTGTCGGAACCTATGTGTTTAAACCAATCAATTTAAGATAGGGTATCATGTTTTATCGTACTCTTTGTTAAGAACAATCATGCAAAATGAGTGTTATATACTGACATTTCTATTGGATTTACCTTTTCTTTTATCAGTCACTGTAAGAGCCCTTGGTTAATTATAGTAACATATTTAAAATATTTTTTTAAGTTAAAAAATAAAAATGAATAAAAAAAGCTAAAGAGCAAAATAAAAATTACTTTTAATATAAAATCACTAATTTTTTTTAATTAATTAAAATAATTCTCTACAAAACTAGACAAGCAATAATAAAAAAGAAATAGATGAAAGAAACAATCGAGGAAATAACAAGCTACAGATTACAAGCACCTTGAAAGCATGTCATCCACGTAAATGAGTGTCACATGCCGCCTAAGATCATCCATTCTTAATTTGACCAATTAAAATTAAAGTAGAAAGATATTGGAGCATACAAAATCAGTTCAACGTGGATGCAATTCGTGGATCCTCAACTTGACAGTCCCAACCACACGATTGTAAATCAAACTTCTGTTTCTGTCGTTATGCTTGGCCTTTTCTCTTCTTCCTCGCTCCTCAAATTCTCTGTATACTCTCTCTCAAAGTATGATTACCACAAAACATCTATTTTCCACCTGTTGGTAAAACATTATTACCACAAAGGCAGTTTAATAAAATGTTAATTATATTTTGAAATAGAACAATAATTACTTTAAAGTAATTTACCTTCTAAATCAAGAATTGAAAGATCTATTTTAGTTAAGCTTGTAAATTTTAATTTTTGGTAAATTAATTTATACAAATTTCTTAAAATTTGAATTTATTTTATTTTAATTAAAAGTAATACTATTTTAATATAATTCACCTTTGCATTTATTATATAATTTTTAACATTTATTACGTATTTATTCTCTCTCTTCTTTTTATATTATATCATTTATTATATATATATTTTTCTCTTCTTAGATCTCTCTTTTTTCAGTCACTTAAAATGGGGTGTGAATCTTCATTTTCCAATACTTATCAACATTCCCTTTCCCACCCTCTGATGAGAATTCCTCTCATTCTGAGATAAAACCTACCAACCCTTGGCAATCTCTTAGGCTTCCCTTTCACTCTCATTGTCTTGTTGTCCCTCTCTTACCTTAACAATGATCACAGGCAAAGATATATACTACGTTGTGTCAGCTCTTGTGCCCCTATATTCACCAATGATTTTAGCCTATTGTTCAGTGAAGTGGTGGAAGATCTTCACACCAGAACAATGCGCTGGCATAAACCGCTTTGTGGCAGTGTTCGCAGTCCCTTTCCTTTCATTCCGTTTCATATCGTCCAATGACCCTCTCACTATGAACCTCCCATTCATAGCCGCAGACACTCTACAAAAAGTTGTGATTTTGTGTGCACTTTTACTATGGAACGCCTTCACAAAGAGTGGTAGCATTGATTGGACCCTCACTCTCTTCTCACTTTCCACTATCCCAAACACACTCGTTGTTGGGGTCCCACTTTTATCATCTATGTATGGTGGCTCAGTAGCTAGCCTCATGGGTCAAATTGTGGTTTTACAGTGCGTGGTTTGGCTCCCTGTGATTATCTTTTTGTATGAATATAGAGGCGCTAAGCAACTCATTTCAGAGAAGTTCCCTGAGACTGCAGGGTCTATAACCTCATTCAAGGTTGACTCTGATGTTTCATCTTTTAATGGCAAGGAACCGTTACAAGCTGATGTGGAAGTGAAAGAAAATGGAGAGCTTCATGTGGTTGTCAGGAGTGCTTCTTCCAACAATTATTTTTCAAATACTGTTACTGGGCTTCAGTCATGCAGAGAACCAATGCAAATATGTTCGTGTTTTGAAACATTAGGTAATCTCCAAAATGATGAAACTTTTCAAGTGGAGATCATGTCCAAGATGAATAAGGAAAAGTTTTGCAGGAGCAAGAGCTGTAATGATATTACTATTGGAGGTTTGCTTTCTTCTTACGGTGTTGTTGAGTAATATAATATAATTATGTTGCAGAAAGAAAGATACATCTGATATATATTCATTTTAATTAGTAAAATTTATAATAAATATAATATTTTATTTAATAAAAAATGTCTCTTTTTTTCTAACATGCATATATTATATTACTGATTTAAATTTTAAAATTGCTGCTAGGGGTGAGTTTAGTTGGACTTGAATGTGTTTCAAGAATTTTTATTTAATTATAATTTTTTTTCGTTTTAAGATATCTAAACAATAAAAACTAGAATATTTTATTTTATTATTTTCATATAAATCTTTAAAATTAGGGGGAAATAACACAATAATGATGATTTGTAATTAAAAAAAAAAACAAATGTCCATGAAATAAACTATAAAGTAAAAGTGATACGAGTAAATTCCATATGAAAAATTACATAGCTAAAAACTTTAAGTGATAAATATCAGGCTTCTGAAAGTGACCTTCCCATTTTTTCATGTTAATATTTTAATTTTAATCTAATGAATTGGTCCACCTTTTTTGTATTTAATTTTGTGAATATTCATTTATAGCCATTGAAGACAAATTCAAACAATCTCATTTTGCATGCAGTTCAACATGAATTGATTTACACGAGTCCTGGTCTTAAAGCAATCGGAGACAAGGAGGTTGGGATTGTAGAAGGAATCCAACAATATTATTTAAGCGAGGGGATGAAGGGGGTGATGAACATTGAAGAAATTGATGCAAACAAAAAGCAACAAATGCCTCCAACTATTGTCATGACAAAGCTCATTCTCACCACCGTTTGCAGGAATCTCATGACAAATCCTAATACCTATGCCAGTGTTTTGGGCCTCGCATGGTCTTTCATAACATTTAGGTATTTTTAAAGATACAAACGTTGTTGATCAAGAAAAAAAGTTAGGAATGTTTAACGACATTCTCAATCCACTCTTCACAGTATATTAGTTAAAATCTGTTAAAAATTACATGAATCTCACTCATTAATATTTTATTTTGAAAATATATAATTACATATAAAATATATTAAAGAGTATATTAATAAAATATGGTGCTAATATTTTTTAACGTGGAAAAAAAATGAAAAAAGCCAGACACATTCAAAGTATATTTTTTTGAGGTTCTATTTTCTTTCATCAATCCTTCTTGTGTTCATACGCAGGTGGAACATCGAAATGCCATCCGTTATAAATGGCTCCATTACAGTACTGTCAAATACCGGGCTGGGAATGGCTATGTTTAGTTTGGGTACTATCTTCAATATTTTTTTTTAACAAATTTGGTTTTAATATGGGCACTGATTTCATTATTTTCAAATTTTATTTTGACACTTGTAACATATATCAAAATTTTGTATAATTCTCTGCCTCTCTCTATCTGTCTATAAGCATAAACATTAATTTTTATTATTTGATATATTAGTATTTATGCTGTGCTTCGTTTGCTGTGTCGTTCTCTCTACACATGCTGACTTAAATAGGTCTATTCATGGCATTACAACCGAAGATCATAGCTTGTGGAAAATCATTGGCAGCACTAGCTATGGTAGCTAGGTTCTTGGTTGGTCCAGCAGTGATGGCTGCAACCTCCATACTCATTGGTATCCGAGGAGTTCTTTTACATGTTTCAATTGTTCAGGTAAAATAAAACTCATCATTGAGAAGCTTAGCGTTGGCAAAAGCATGTAATTGTGAATATATATATAAAGCCGGATATCAGTAATTTTTAGATAAAAAATCAGATTACATAAATATATTACACTATATTTTACCTCGTAATTCAATATAAGCTAAATTTTTTATCAATTTAATCATTGAATTATATTTATATTTTGTTTGATATACATAAATAACCTATTAAACAATTTTAAATTGATCTAAATTTTGCTAATATTATATGATAAAATCTTTTAATAAATGACTGATTGTTAGATAAAATTATCTGATAACAAATTTAATGACGTAAGAACAAGAGTAACTTGTATTGTTATAATTTAATTTCACAAATACGTATATGTATGTGTACATTCGAAGCCTGTGTAACTATTTTTCCTATTACCATTTGTAGGCTGCTCTTCCCCAAGCTATTGCAACCTTTGTATTTGCCAAAGAATACAATGTCCACGCAGATATACTAAGCACTTCGTAAGTATACATTTTTAAATTCTATACCTGTTTAAAAAATAGTATTTTATGCCTTGTAATTACAACACATCAACATAAATTCTAAAAAAGATTTTACATAATTTGCAGGGTTGTCTTCGGAACGGTGATTTCATTGTTTGCAACAATAATCTATTACGTGCTTCTTGAACTTTAAGTAAGCTGTTGTTTGGAGGTAAAGAAGAGAAAATAAATGTATGGCCGTTTATAGTAAAAGTTTGTGGGAACCTACGTGTTTAAACCAATCAATGTAAGATAGGGTATCATGTTTTATCGTACTATTTTTTAAGAACAATCATGCAAAATGAGTGTTATTCTGACACAGCAAGTTACTTATAATTTCTATTGGATTTACCTTTTATTTTATCAGTCATTGTAAGAGCCCTTCGTTATATATAGCCATTTTTTCTCTCTTGACAATATACTTTTCTATTACAGTCATAGTAATAAATTAATAATATCATTTCAACTTTTTTTTTTTCATTCTAGCTTTTATTCCTTTGCTATGGCCTGATGCCTTGACGGTATCAAAGCTCAACGCTCACCTATGGCTTCCTCTACTATCTTTGTTCTTCAAACTTTCAATATGAAAATCATCTTAGTTGAGTTCGAATGATGAAAATTAGTTAATAGGAAACAGTGCGCTCTTGCCACCATTTGAGGAACGGAACTTATCAAGCATATCAACAGAGATTCAATACCGCAGAAGAATTAGTTAGAATCACTAATTTATTTGGATTAAAGAATCTCGATGATGACTATGATTTGGTTGAATCTATTAGTTAGAATCACTATTAATGGTCATTAGAGAAATATTCTCCAAATAAAGCTCAAGGTAAATATAATGTTGATGGTTTTACTCTTATGCCTGCAAAAGTAGATGTTTTCTTTCTTAAAATTGATAAGCTATGTATGAACGCAATAGGCGCTACTAACTGTTCTTGTGAGATCTGTGGTGTTAGGTTTCTGCAATGAACGTCAACTTGGCAAACCAAGCCTTACAAGGGTTAGCATTAGAGGAAGTGGATGCCATCAACATTTATATTTCATATCTTTCCTGCATGTCCGAGGTAGTATTTACACGCATGGTAAATTTTATCAATATTACTTATATTTTTATAATTACAAATAAATTTTGATCAATAATTAAAAATAGTTAAAAAAAGTGTATATACCGGCAACTTTTTAATCCACATTTTGCATTATGAATATTGAAATTTAGTTCACAATAAAAAGACAAACAAAAAGGAAATGCTACTTATATAACAAAATTTGAGAAAAATAAAAATATAATCCTAAAATTTAAAATTGATAAAATGGAAAAAAATTATTACTAAATTAAAAGTAAACACGTCAACAAGAAAAAAAATGATAATAATAAAAAAGATGAACGGACAGGTGAACCTGGTGAGGGAAGAAGGAATGAGACCCACCCAGCTTAGACATTCTTCTACGTGTGCGCAAACGGGGAACGTATTATAAGGAGAATGAACAATGACCAAACATTGGGGAGAAATTAAGGCATAGAGGGTAGAGAATTGAGTGCATTGTGATCTAACCATTCAATTCAATTCAATTCAATTCAATTCTCTTTCATCTAGCGTAGGAGAATTATGGAAGCGTGTAGCGGAGGAGGAGGATCTGAACGCGGTGAAGAGAAAGGGTTATTCGAATACTTTGGTTGGGTTTATCACCTTGGCGTCAATTCCGTTGGCCGTGAATACTGTCACCTTCGATTCCTTTTCGTCAGGGGCAAGTGCGTCGCCATGTACAAGCGTGACCCTCACGAGAACCCTGACATTGTATCTTTCTTCTTTTCTCATGCATTATCTGAACATTTAACGCATTTTAAACCTTTTCATTGTAAAATCTACCGTAATCTCACTTGCACTGTGCGCGCGCACATACATTTATATTTACGCGAGTGCGCTGTACCTTTCTGGATTCAAATATTCAATAATGCTTGAGTAAATGTATGACCAAAATGTTTTTGTACCTTCGGAAAAGTTACCACGTGAAAATATGAAACGTAAATGAAAGATAAAAATAATATTTAAAATGTGTCAGTTTTTAATAATTTGAGATTAAATTATGAAACTGAATGTAAAAGTTGGTGTATGAAAAATGTTACTTGTATTCTTTTGTCTGAAAAGTTTTTGTCGATGTAAACTAGCCTCCGATGTTGTCAACCTGTTAACGAGTTTGCCCTACCGCTGTTTTCAACTCTATCGAGTTTACATTACAAGTTTATCCCTTTGGAATTGGAGGCCAATTTAAATAGACAAACTTTTGTGGATCAAAAACAATACAAAGTGACATTTTTCGAGGACTTAAGTGTAATGTTTTAATATTTTTATGGTTTCCCTTATTTTTAATTTTATTTTTAACGTGAGTTGTTATCGCTTATCGTTTTGCTTTTTTTCTTTTCTTCAGTACTTTTTTTATAACACTTAGATATACTGTGTTATATATATAACTTTCCTTTGTTCAGAAACCCATTAGGCAGGGAGTCATAGGTGCCGCACTAATGGTGGAGGAGTTAGGACAACGGAAGGTCCACCATGGGGTAAAACACTAATGTTTTTATCTTTGTATTTACCAAATTTAACTGAATTTGCATTGGATTTGATGATATATACTCTTCTAGGACAACTTATAAAAATAATTTTTTTTTGTGACTTTAAGATATAAATGCTTCATTTCGTTGTAAATTCAAGGGAAGCTAAATATGTTTTATTTCCTTCCCCAGGATCTTTATGTAATACGCTTCTATAATCGATTAGATGAGACCAGAAAGGGAGAAGTAAGTTATAGTTTTTGAATTGTTTCTTTTAATAACTGTTGATAGAGAAAGTTACTTGCCAATTTAGCTTGCTTTTTAACATGTTCAATAGTTTATAAAGATTTCGAGGTAGCTCTTAAAACTTGTTCTTATGCTCCATGAAGAAAAGCTTCATGCAAAAAATGTCTATTAAACTCACAAGGAAATATTACTGGACAACTATAAGACTAGCAAAGAATGTTAGGCACTGTAGTGACAATCAGAACCAAGAACTTGCAAGATTTAGGGTGACTTCTGGATAAGTCACCATTTTAGAGATGACACATATTTATCCAATAGTCAATAGCAATGACAACCTCGTTGGCAAAAAAATCTGCTTATCAAGTTTTTTCCTTGTTTGTTACCATGTTGTTGGGAGATGGCACCAAATGCTTCAATCTAGATTCCCGTAATGAAAACATATAAAAGAAGCTAGCAATTGAAAACTTATTTTTGAAATTGAACGAATCTATGTCTGTGTTGGAGAACTTATTTATTTGAAATGAAATGAACCCCTTCATGCCGTGGATACTATATATTTTTCATTTTAAGTACGGAAATGAGTTTTTTACTTAAATTTTCTTCAAGATTGCTTGTGCTACAGCCGAGGAAGCCCAGAGATGGATGGAAGCATTTGAGCATGCTAAGCAACAGGTATGAGAAAATAGTTGTAAGGTTGCTCTGATAATGTGAATGTTCAATATGTTACTAGTGTTAATAATTGTTACACAACCCAAGCCTGGTTGTTATGGAATGTTTAAAGAGCTGAGGGTTTGAATTAGAGATCATACTCATGGTAAAAGGTTTTCAAGAATATAGGTTTTCATTGTACGTATAGATCATATCGGAGAATTGGCATGTCATCGTAGTATATCCATATTGGTCCTAATATGCTTAATTGAATTTAATATACCCTCTTGCAGGCTGAATATGAGCTGTCAGAAGGAAGTAGTGCCAGAGACAGACTAAACCCGGAAATGGAGTACGTCTTCTTTTTTGTCTTCCAACTGACACCCACTTGAAGCAAATAATTGATAGATAAACATTTATTGAACAGTGTTGTCGGAGTCGCTGATTTGTAATGATTAGTGGTGTTTTTCTGTCATAACTCATACATATTAGCAGGAGATTCCGATGCTTTTGATAATCTCACCCCCAGTTGTGTTTCATTTTCTTTGTATATTTTTCCATAACTTTTTATTATAAACTGCAGGAATTATGAATTTTTAAAAGATTTTGAGGGAATATGCCTTACCGTTATATTACTGTTCATGCTTTTCTGAGTTAAGCTTAATGAATGATCTGTATAATTGTTGAATCATTATCAGATGCCTGCCTTTGAGGTCATCCTTTTATCAGATAACTTATCATAAATTGACATATCACTTCTTTTTCTGTTGTGGAAGGATCAATCTGGAAGGAAATCGACGAAGAGTGAGGCGGTATGCTTCTGGCTTAAGGAAGTTTATAAAAATTGGCCAAGGTAGATTGATTTGCATTAGAGTGAGGAAGCATTGTTTGATGTTTTAACATAATTTTATGTCCTATTTTAAAAAGACTATTAAATTATTCAGATGCACCAGAAATGTATGGAGAGATGCTTGTGCAAGTGTGATTCTAAATTAATATCATTTGTATTTTTCCAATGAATCCCATGTTTGTTTTCTAATTTCTGTGCTTGTTGGTAAGGTTGGTGCCCTTCTATATGTCTCTATTTATATACTAATTGACATTACTTTTGCTCTTTCATTCCGAAGGCCCAGAGACACTCTCACGTATATCATCAAAGATTTTTGGTAGTTCAGATGGGTTTGAAGGGGACACCGGAGATGCATTTGAAGTAAATCAATGGAAATGTGTTCGTACCATGGCTGGTACTTTCTTCTGCCATTACTTGCTCTATTTTGCAGCCAATGCAAGCCAATGTTTTTTGCTTCAACAGCCTTTTCCTAATATTTTTTGAAGATTACAAAATTTGAATTCAGTCTATCCAAAGGTTGTAATTGCTTTCTGATAGAAGATGTTTATTGTAGAGAAAAGAGAAGTAGAAAAATAAAACTAGGGAAGGAAAGGATAATAAATCCTTTAAAACAGAATGACAAAATACAATATAAACCACCAAAAAAAAAAAGTACATAGAAAGCCTTCCCAATCTTATTGTAAATCTGAGAGAGCAACACCTTTGAAGCAACCATGAGCAGAAAACCATGGAAGATCCCCCTTTTAAGAATACTAGAGTAGTGTCCCTCTCCAACCACACATGCCCAAAGACAGAAAATTATGCACAGCAAGAACCAAACTTTAACATCATAACCTTCTTGTATATTCCAGCAAACCCTCTATGATCAATCTCAAAAGTTGATATAGAGTATAGTGCTGCACTTATTTATCTATAACAATACCAAAAAGGGTATTCAATTTAAAATTCATGTATTCTATATATTATAAAAAAAAATCATTAATCAAAAGAAAAAGGACAAAAAAAAAAAGAAGAAGAGAAAAGTAAAAGAAACCGTGGAATGGAAGCAAATCATAAATTATATCTGTTTTGGATAAGGCAACTTGAATAGTGGTCTACATAGTTTTTCCTCTGTATATCTGTTTTTAGACTATTCAAGACATTTGATGATGCCTGCTTGTAATTCTCGCTTTTAGTGGTCATGATTAAAAAACCTATAGTTGGATCTATCCTTATCCTTTTAGATGCTTTTTGTTTGTGGTTTCAGGCATTAGAATTTTTGAGGATGTTTCTGATAACAAGGTATGTATGCACATTACTCATGGGTGATACTGATTCTCATCATATATCTTGAAAACTAATCAGCTATGAATTCATCTATGTTATTCTAACGAAATTTGTAAGAGTACAATACTTGCCTTTTGTTTTTATCATTTGTCAATACTTGTTTCTCTCTAGGTAAGTATTTTGCTTTAAAACCAGAATCTCAAGTTTGCTTTAACAGATGTTCTTTAAACATAGGATATATCTTCTTCTGCATGTGTATGAAAAACTGTTACTTATAATGATAACAGATTGCTAATTACCTGAATGATACATGAAGTGATTCATTGTAAGTTGAACAGACTTCATGACACAAAAAAAACTTGGTAAATTTTAGATATAAATATTATGATAAATGAACTTAAAGGAATGGGTTTCCAGTTCAGGAATTAAACTAGATGTGAAACTTTTCTCTAAGTAGTTTCTGCTTTAAGATTCAAGCGCTTGGTTAATTCATGAAAACTTCTATATTCCTCATTACTATTGGTTATTGAAGCCATTACTGATTGATCTAGGAAGAAACATCTCAAGTATTCAATCATATATAGACTCGGATTATATGAAATGAGATATTTATGTGGAATTACCGGAAAGTAGTGTTAATTGCATGCTAGCTCTTTAACTGCTAGGTTGTTACGGTTCATTGAATAAAATATTAACTTATGTATGTAATTATTAATTATTAAACAATGATAAAATATTGTTCATGTGAAAGTGAGATGTGGAAAAAATGGTGTGATTATATCCTTTATTTTATCAAGAAGATTTGTATGCAGTTAAAGATTTTAATTGGTCTATTTGGTTCCAATCATATTGTGTCTGACTCTTTTATACCCTAATGCAAAATTATAGTTCAAAAAGCTGGTCCTTTTATTTCCGCTATGGTTAACGATAAATTGTATTCTTTTCTTCCTATGATGAAGATCACAACTTATGATTGACTGAGTTTTAAAATTGTAGTATCTGTTCATATTTTTTATCATGAGTTTATTATTTCACCAAGTCAGTTTCACTTTTGCTTTTATTTATCTGTTGGTGAAAAGACACAGATGTTTTTTGTTTTCCTTCATATGGAAATTGAAGCATGAAGTGGCTTTCATTTGTTCATGATGTTAATTAGAAAGTATTGTTGATAAAACCATTGTTTGTGTATGCCTGTGTATCCAACCTTTACTTAATGATAATGAATCATCTAGTATTCATAGTGTTAAAATATATTTGCATGTGCTTGTTGTATACTTTTGTTGTCCTATTATTTTGTCTTTGACCTATATCACATAACAATTGAACAAGTACTTACTTTTGTTGTCTTAATTTTTTTTGTCTTTGAAACTGCTTTAATATTCTTTCTATGCTTTGTAGAATGGTAAGGGTGTCCTTGTTAAATCAGTTGGTGTTATTGATGCAAGTGCAGATAGTGTTTTTGAAGTGTTTTTAAACACTGAACGACAGAAAAGATATGAGTAAGTTTCCCATTAAAAGTACTTTAGAGTCTTCACAAAATATTGGGGAGCTTATTCTTTTGTATAATAACTTTTTCAGGTGGGATATGTTGATGGGTGACTTGGAGTTGGTAGAGTCTTATGATGGCCATTACGACATTGTTTATGGAACATACGATCCTAAGTATTTAACCCGGTAACCAATAAATGTTGTCATTTTTAAATTTTTAGGGCTCATTTATTGGCCAAGATAGGATAAGAATAGCTAGGAAAGGAGAACAGGAAAACAATGGGAAAGGATATGAGCATGGTAATCTCTTATCCCATCTAGTAATTAATGCATACTAAATAATTTAGTAAATAGTAGTATAAATTGCATACAATGATAAAATTACCGTTAGAGTACAAGAGTGAACAAGTTGTAGTAATAGTAAACAATTCCAGGTCCAGTTGCTCATACTAGTAAAACGAATAGTCGAACTGCTTCAACCAACATCAAGTGCACATAGACCATGTTGCTCGCACTGGTTGATTGCTACTGTATTCTTTACTTAGGTAGAAGCAAGATGCGTTTCTCCTAACTTGGTGAGATCTATTATTTTTAGGATCTTTTACTGTAAAATGACAAGGCTTTGTACATGAACGCAATTCAAGGGAAAAATATAAGAAACATATTAGAAAAACTTTCCCTTCTTTTCTCCTCCCTTATTAAAAACTAAGACAGTAGTTATGTAGTGTGGGGGGGGGGGGGAGAACAAAAATTGTATATCCTATCCTCCTTCTTTTGAACCAAATCCCCTCCTCCCATAGGATAATTTTAAATATATTGATGAATAAGATTGGATTAGCTAACAAGATAGATATATCCTATCCTATTAGCTCACCAAGAAATAACCTATAAACAAACTAAACTATCCTATCCTATCTTCCTATCTTGACCATCAAATGACCCCTAAAATTATTGCAACTGGATTGCTACTATAGTATTTCCATTTATAAAAAAATTTATGTATTCTTGTTAAAATAGTTCAGGACTTTCTCCTTTTTGTAAGCATGGATTGTTATAATTGATAGATATTTGCATGCTCTCTTAACTGGACTGAACCGATTTCAGCCTACATTTTGCAAAATTCTTTATATTAGAAATGCACTATTATTTTATGGGTTGTGTTTTGTTTTATTGTTTGTTCTATCCATGGGCTAACTATTTGTGACAATTTAGTTGCCTTGTAGTTATAATGTCATTGATTATCTGCCTTTTCTCCTGTTGCTTTATTAATTTATATTTGCATCAGTGAATAGGTAGCAAGTTTTACTCAAATTATTGTAACTTAATGCATGTTTTACTTTTAAAACTGTCTATTCATAAATTTCATATTAAAACCTAATCCAGGTGGCATTCGAAGCGGGATTTTATTTTCTCTAGGCAATGGTTTCGGGCACAAGATGGAACGCACAGTAAGAATAAGAATTTTCTATAATTTATTTTTGTTGAAATTTCAACAGGTGGATGCTTTTAAGTAATACTTGTCAAATTGAAATAACTCCCTAGAAGTGAAGTTTCTCTAATTAAGCATAGGGTTAGCATTCATTTTTCTTAATCTTATGCAAGCATCTTATCAATTCTTTGGTGCAGCAGTTTACTATTAATATGTTGTTGTTGTAGCCTTGATTGGCATAGATCATAAGAAGTGATTCTTGTGTCTGTTAATTTACTTTGAATTATGCTGTACTTTGACTTTGTTTAATTATGCTGACATATGTGTTTATGATTCAGCTATCTTGCAATTTCCTGCTATACATAAGAAAAAGCCTCCAAGATCAGGATATCGACGAACAAAAATTAATCGTAAGATGTATTCTTTGCATAAGTAATTTGTCTTCATTATTGGAGCATTAGCTTTGGGAATATTTTGTGTTGACTTTGTTTTGAATTATTTGCATCCTAAAAGCTTAAGTGGTTTGAGACCAAGCCAACTGTGTAGATCAACCCTCTGCCTCCGATCTCATGTTTTGTTGAAAGCAAATGAAAAGATGAGAAAAAGGTGATTCAAACCACAAGGAAATCTGTGTAATGACGACTTTATATGATCATATAATAGTGAAACATCACTACTGAGGCACTCAAACCACCTGGAAAACATTGTTTTCTCTCTTTATATGATCATATGAAGTTTGAATGATAAGGGATACTCTATACCGTAAAAAGAAAATACAAAAAAAGAACAAAAGAAAAAGATCAATGAAGAAAAAGCTACCCATTCTCCACATGTTTGTCATGAAAATTCCCAAACAGGACCACATGCTTTACACCTAATCTTTATTCCAAATTGTTTGCTTATCCAACAAAACCGCCGTAAAGATGTGAGAGTTATACTCCAATCTAATGCACCAAAGTTGAGCATAGATTGCAACATGTCATTAGTATCATTTCTATGAAGTATAGAAATTCTAATAAAATACTAGAACTTAGAGGGAGTAGTGCTGCTTTCTTATTTGAGCTCATTCAAGGGTTACAGTCAATTGTATGAATATAAAGTTTCTACGTTTTTTACCGATTATCCATTGTATGGTTTCGACCATAATGCATAGGATGCTAATAGAGCAACCCAAGCATATTTTAGTCAGTGGAAATCTATCTCACATGGCAGGTTGTATGCCAGTTTTTGGGAGGACCATTCAGTAGTACATCCCTCCTCTTATAATTAGGTTTTCCCGTGACTCTATTGCACAATTGATATAGTTCTCAAGACTCTACTTTTTCAAGGTATTTCTACATTTTATGTAACTTCAATGATAAGAATCCTTTGGGTTGGAGATTCTCTTGGCTCTCCTTGACTCCATTCATCTGTCCCCTAACCCAGATAACGGTATTGGTCTCTCGATACTTCTGGGTGTTTTCGTGCAAATCTTACTCTCAAATCTCAATTCCTCATTTGGTGAATATCATATCATTTCTTTTTTATTAGACTGTTTGGAAATCCTAAACTCCCTCTACAGTTTGCTCCTTCATTTGGAAAATAATGCTTAATTGATACCAATGACATGTTGCAAGTTTGTAAGGATCATAAGGCTATTTCCTCTTTTTATTGTTTCATTAGTTTTATACTGTTTGTTTTTCTTTAAGAGGGATATTTTATTTTATCTTTCTAACTCTTTGTCTAAATGAATTTCATTTTTATTAAAAAAAAACAAAAGAAATACTTTCAACAGCGAGGTATTAATAGATATTTATGGTTCTTATTCATACGCTAGTATACCATTCTACAGGTCCTGGTATTTGTAATCCTAATCAGAATTCTCTTGCACACTCTCTTTCATTTCAAGTATATTAAAATTTTGGGCAGTCTGAAATCTTTTGGAACTGTCTTTTGATACCTTGGTTTTCTTTTGAACTTTGTAGAATCCATTTAATTGCCCTTGTTCTTTCCCATTAATTGATATTCTTACTCCTTGAGATTTGTGGTGTGCTTGCTTTAATTCAATCAAAGGTTACATCAACAAGTGGTTTGCTTCTGGTTATGGTAGAAACTGCATAAAATCTTAATCTTCCTTTAAATTTATTACTTTCTGAAAACTGATGAAAAGTAACATAAAATATTACCATTGAGTTCTTTATGACTGTTAACCAATTTTAGCCTCATGTGTATTTTTTTGTGGCTGAAGCATCCACATGGGAGATCAGATATTTGAACACACCTATGGGATCAAATAGATCAAGATGTTTAGTGACCCAAACTTTAGAGATACACTCTGCATACTGGCATCGATGGAAGAACAGCCAATGCTCAAAATTTGAGAAGAGCATCCCTTATGCATTGTTGTGCCAAGTGGCAGGTCAAGTAATTGAACTTTTGTTTTCTTCTTGTACCTATCCAAACTCTCTACAAACATTGGCGATTCAGACTGTGAAAAGTATGAGATATAAACTACTCACATCTAATCATTTAATTTTTCACTCAGTTTTGGGGTATAAATTCTTTTTTCTTTTTTCATTAAATTTAAACTACTCACAAATACAGGAGAAATTCTTTGCCATAATATCACGAAAAAAAAAGGGGATAACTGAGGGGAATGTAGAAAAAGCTTTGAATATTATTTAGTATCCCAATTCAGAGAAAAATAATTTTGGGTAGATTCATATCTGATTACTTGATATCCGATACCATTTTATTGTTACCATCATATATTTGGAATCATACGATAGAATAATAAAGAACTGTTGGATACTCATTTTGAAAATTGGAATCAGTGATGATTGACTGGTTCTGTTTTCCTGGGGTTCCATTAGTTGGACCATCTGTAATCTAATTTATATACTTTCCTTAAAGGGATTGTTTGTATTTAAAAGCCTTCCAGTTTTTAGCTGTTGTGATAACTTCCTTTGTTAGGGAAAGGTCTCATTCCTTACCATTTTAGGATCCTAACTTACTGACAGTTTCATTATTTATTTCTGCCATTGAATTCATATTCCATTGTGGATTGAAAACCCAGATTTCTTCTTAATTCCAAATTTGGCATGGTATTAGAGCTCACTCTGAACTACATATTAGTCTGTTAAAAGCACTATTCCTCCATGACTGGTGGGCCAGGGAGCTCTAGCCAGCATGAAATCAAAATTGGTAGCTGGCATTTCGAACATCCCCAAATAACTATAAATAATCAAATCCTGATAAATAAAGAAGTAGGGGTTTAGGGAAAGAAAGAACAACCTTCAACATCTTTAAATCATCCTTTTCCATTTCAAAAACAAAATAGAAACTAAAAAAATTACATGATGTATACTATCAGGGTGATGTGTGGCCTTCATTCCCATATTGAACAGTGCCAGTTAATACCTGTTGTTAAATAATGGCAGGTCTAAAGGAATATATTGGAGCCAATCCGGCACTCCACCAACAATATGCCACCACTGTTGTTCATTCCAAAATCTCTGATGCTTCTATGTCCCCTGCTGCGTATATAGATGCAGAAGTGCAAGATGAGTTTTATGATGCAATCGCTGCTGAGTCGTCATCTGATGAAGAAAGTGATGAGGATAAGGAGCTAGATCAGGTTTACTTCAATCTTCTTATCAACTACAAGAAAATTTTCAAAAGAAATGAATGTTATTTGTGTGTGCCGGGTTTGAAAGAAACATTTAAGTACTTTTTCTGTTAAGTTCTATAATTTAATACCTTGTTCAATTTGTCAGGAGCAGAGAGTCAAACAAAAGCGAACTGCAGGTCAGCTTTTTCCTTTGTTTCTCATTATATTCAAGGGATAAAGGCCAAAAAGGAATTATAATAATCTTTGTTTAGTTCAATTTATTTATACCATCCAATTCCCAAATACATCAACTGCTTGATTCTAACTTCAAAATAAAAGTTGATTTCTTAATCTGATTCCTCCAAAATTGACAGTACGGGATCATATTCTTCAAAGAATAGAACAAAACCAAAAATGTAGGCAAGACATACAATAATTCTAGTCATTACATGCAATTGAATCCATATACATGTTGGAGTCACCTTCGTTTTTATAATGTGTTCTGTTTTTGGATTTCTTTTTTACTTGAGTCCTTCAAACAGATGTCTTATAATTTGTGCCTTTCAAATATAACTTATCGAAAAGGGGATCTTATGGTTTGTTATCTCTTTTATTTGGACCTTAATCATCTATTAAATGCGTAGTGGCCATATAATTCACTATTCCCTTGAGGAATAGAAAAAAAAATGCTAGATTAACAGAGATGCCAATTACAATTGACAAGGACAATTAAAATCACTTCAGCTTCTTAATTTCTCAATTCTCCTTTTACCTTCTTACCATTCTAAATTTCAGTCTAAACAAACTATTTGGTCATTCTGCCTTCAGCTCCAGAACTAACAAAAGAATTAGACCCTCAAGCAAGACCTATCTCAATTGATGCATGTGACTTGCATGGTTCTTTACGCAAAGGAGAGAATGAGAATGACACAGACTGTTGGACTTCTCCTAGTGGTGAAGGATTTATGATTAGAGGAAAGAACTACCTGAAAGATAATTCTAAGGTGAGTTAACCATTTAAATCCATTGATTTATGTGTTGGCATTGCAGGGCGTGATTAGAGTGGGATTTTCCTATCTGAACAAATAATAATGATAATGATAAAAACAGATTTGAAAACATTCCATACTAAGGTGTGCACCAGAGCAAGGCACAGGATGAATAAGAAAAATTGTCAATAAAATAAATTATAAAGTTATAACAGCTTTAGTATACTTTTTTTTTTTTAGAAATTGCAATAATTTGATATTAGAAGAATAATATAATAGTAATTTTTTTTTATTCAAAAGAATCTAAAAGAAGTTTATGGAATGACACCAAGAGGAAACAACTCTTAACACTTGAGTTTAAGTTTTCAACCAAAATATTAATAAAAGCATTACATATTTTTATCCTATCATAATTTGATCTATTATACCATGATTTTTGTTACTTATTCACTTTATGTCTGATAAAATTAACTAAGAATTAAGTTTGTTGAATTTGTTGTCACATGTTTTTCAACTGTAAAATGAACTATAAAGATGAAGAATTTATTGTAGTGAAAATTTTGAGTCATGATCATTATCTTTTTTAATATTTTAGAAAAATAATATAAAGAAATTATGCTAATATCGTATGATTTATACCTGTTGTATTTTTATTAATTCATTAAAAATTAAACAAGCTACTAATATTTTTACAATCATGGGATACTAGAATCTTCATCTGCCAGTGTTTTGAATCATTTCCCAACAATCCATCCTGTTTAGTTCGTACTCTTAGTGAGGATGGTTAGTTGGTCACAAAATCTCCCTTCTTAGTATGATTGTGTAGCTCCATTGGGCTTGGCCCCATTTATTATATAAAAGGTATGTAAAAATAATGTAAGAGTCATCATAATCAAATTTATATTATTATGCAAGTTAATGGTATTTTAATAAGCAAAGAATCAGTAAAAATTTTCTTATTTAGAATTTTAAGGCAAATTTGGGAAAAATGTCTTTAGGAGCTTATAAACCCTGGATTAAAAAAAGGTATTAGAAGGACAATGTATATGGTACAAAATTTTATTCATTTTTCTTTTTCTGAAATTTAAATATGACATTGGTAGTTCATATGCTTCAAGTTTGCCCCTTATTTTTTATCCAATAAACACTGGGGGATTTCAGGCATATTGGTAATTTCAATGCTCTTCAATTTTTCAAAGATCTAAATCTTTAAACTTTAGAACAAGTAACATGTTTACAAATATTCTTGTGTTCTGGCTGATGTCATGGACATGAAATTTCTCATGCAGGTAGTTGGAGGAGATCCTCTTCTCAAGCTCATTGCAGTTGATTGGTTAAAAGTTAATAAACCTGTAGACAAAATTGCACTGCACCAAAGAAATCTGGTTCAGGTAGAATTGATATTATAAGATTTTTTATCTTTAATATTCATATAGATTGTTATGTAATAGAGTTGGAAAAATATGCTCAATTTTGTTTTATATGTAGATTTAAGAAAATGACTTTCTCTAAACCATTAATTAAGTCAAGCTTTAAAATTTTTCATGTTCAACTGAAAAAGTTAGACTTTATGGAAATTAATTACTGCTTTAGTCTCTCTCTGATGCGTACCATCATCCAATCATTATTTGAATGGAGTTTTTTTGGCTTCCTCTTCAGTTTGCATTAAAGCATAGTTTGTATATAAGTTCTAGATGCTTAATTCTGATTTAGTTTCATGATTTTGCCAGTTATGTATAATGCCATATGTATGGTTGTGTCCCCTTTACGTTCTCTTCTACATTTCATTTCAATGTGGGTTGCCATGTGTTCCAAAATCCAGATCATCTATTTTTCAGTCATATCTTCACTTGTGAATTCTGTTCTGGGATAAATTCTGTTACGATATATTACATAACAATTACATGTATATATAGGAGTCTAATCCTAATATTTACATAATAGAATATCTAATAATAATTTCAATGAATAAACAGAAATAATGAAAATAAATCTATAAAATAAATAGTAATAATAAGGATATATTCTCAACACCTTCACTGCAAATTCTTAAAATTAGTGTTCTAGTGTGTTGTGCTTTTTAATCTTGTACATGCTGTAGGTTTGAAGCTCGTGGTCAAAATTATGTGTGTTACCTTAATATTCTGGAAATCATATGATGAAGATTTTGAGATTCTTAATGTTTTATATTAAAAGTCATTACACTGTGTAATCCTTCCCTTCTGAATTGCAGTCAGAAGCTGGGAAAAAGCTTCCATTTGTCCTTGTATTTAATTTACAGGTAAGGATATCTTTGTTATTATTTATCATATACATTATTTTACTACAAAAGTGAAGCTTAATTTTAATAAGCATGCTAGTATTACAAAAACCATCCTTTGGTATTTGGTTGGGCTCTTTAAGATGGAATTAAAGCATAGTTGACTGATAGGTATACATAACTCTATCTCTTAAGCAATAATTCTAATTAAGTGGTTATCCAGCTAGCCTCTGTTAGCAACAGCCCAATTAGGAACAAATTATGGAAGTACATGCTAAAACCTCTAAACTTAAGAAACTTCTAAGTAAAACTGTGTGATCTCCTGCAAGAGAATTCTCATATACATACTGTTTAATACAATCTGATATTCTGCCCCATAAATCAGCTAAATTTCCATATATACATTTATCCCGCAGCTAAGCATCTTAATTAAGAGAGGATAACAGTTTTACAAAATTACAACTGTATTGACACAGGCTTTTCTGGCTTTAAATGTGGCTATCCTATGCTAAGAATTTGCTGGTTTTAATGACTAGTTGTTTTGCCAATTATTTCTGCTTTTAATGGCCAGCACGTTTTCTCAATTATTCCATTGATATCCACCCTCAAATTGATGCTGCTAAGTCGATAAGCATCAATTTTCCTTCTATGAAATCATGGCACTGATGTGTCAATGATTTTGTGTAAAAAACATCTAGCAGATTTTATTTCAGCTACCCCATTTTGTTGGGGAGTTGAGGGGCATGACCGCTGAGTTACAATACCATTAGTTTGCCGGAATTCTTGACATTAGTTTGCCGGAATTCTTGAAATAAATTAGATGTGTATTCCCCTCCATTATTAGAGTATAATTTTAAAGAAAACTAGGTTTCGATATAAGCTTGTAAAAATTGAAAGCATAGAATACACCTTCAAAGCATAGGAAATAGACCCAAGTGAAACAACTATAAAACTATTATTTGTAATTAGTATGATTTATAGCTGGTGTCTCCTTCCATAAATCACTATGGATTATATCAAAAGGTTGTCCTACATCTGATTTATGTTTTGGGAAGAGGTGGGGACTCTTCTTTTACAAGAAAACCAGACTTTTGCAACTCATGAAGTAAATTTGAGTTTAGAAGTCCAAGACACTTATGCCACACATGGTAATCAATGTTAGAAAAATTACGATTAATATAAAAGAGATGAATAGATAGGGCGGAGCCGGCTGAAGGAAGGGCTTGCGCCCCTGCAATCTTTATAAAGCAAGAACCGAGAAACTTGACCTTGAGAAAGAAGCTCCTTAGCATAAGCACTAATTAAGAAACCTACCTTTTGACAACCTTACTAATAGAAAGGGGAAAGCTCCAGGATGCGAAGAAAGCTCGAAGAGCTTCCCTTATATATATTCTAGAAAGGTTTGTAGAAAGGGACTTCTTCTAATAAAGTAGGGGCTTCAAAGCTAGCTTGTAGTTTAGGGGTGCGCAGGTTTGGAACCCTATACAAGACAAGAGGCTAGCATGCAAATGGCTTTCTCTTATGGGGGCTCGCTTCAAAATTTTGGCAAGGAAAAATTTGAAGAAAAATATAAATCTCCAGTGAAAGAATAATTCATACAAAGAAGATAAAGAAGTACAGAAAACGAGATAAAAAAACACTGCTAAAGGAACCAAGAAGCAATATCAGCCTAGAGTTTTGATCAGTCATTATGAGTTTTCCTGATTGATAAAACCTCCCTCCATGCTGATTGGATATCCGCTTAACTCTTCACTATACTCCTGTAGTTACTATCCTCTCTCTCCTGACCCATTCACTGGAGCATGTTCGGCTGGAATACCTCCATTCTCATTTCTTCATGATCTCTGGACCTTCCCACTAACATTCCCAAGAAGCATATTCTTGATGATCTTTTGTTGAATGCTGGCTTTACAGCTTAATATGCTTCGTTTATTGGTTCCTTCAAATAATCTTTTTGCTTATAAATAGTATGAAAGATGGCAGACATGTTGTTGTTAGTCGCCTCTGACAGTGAATGAAGGTAGATTTACAAAATGTACAGTGTTAAATGCTCCCCGTTGTGACCAAGGAACGGATTTAGCTAATTTTCTTATTGAATATCATATGAAGCATAAACACAGTTTTAAATGTAGCTGAAATCACAAATATTGTACATTATGTTCATCTTTGTCTATAGTTAGTCAATCTGTGGTGTTGCCAACAATGTCATATTTCAATGGGCGAAGAGATCTTTGTCTGCATGAATGTGTATGTATGTATGTATAACCAGATGCAATGTGAAATTTGTTATATGTATATGGATCTGTTTATCAAGGCATATTTTTATTTCATCATAATTCTCAGGTTCCAGCTAAACCAAACTACAGCTTGGTTCTATATTACGCATCTGACAGACCTATAAATAAAGATTCTCTACTGGCTAAGTTTTTAGATGGAAATGACACATTTCGGGACTCCAGATTCAAATTAATTCCAAGCATAGTTGAGGTGTGTGATTCTCAAATGAAGAGTGATATGCCCTTTTTGATGCTTAAAAGCATTGAGCAGCTAATGATTTTCAATGGATACAGGGATATTGGATGGTCAAGCGAGCTGTTGGGACAAAAGCTTGCTTACTGGGGAAAGCTGTGACTTGTAAATACTATAGACAGGACAATTTTATGGAGGTATAGTTACAATAGCAAGTTAAGAAGTAAAAATTTAGTTTATGTTGTCTCTCAAATATTACAGAACAACTTTGAAGTTTCTGCCTTTATGTATAGTATTGCCTGTTCTGCAATGTTAACTTGAGTTTAGAATATTCTACTTTTCAATGGTATTCCCCAGCTCCTATTTGTCCATTAAATTCTGATGCAATTTTTTCTTGAAAATATTATGCTTCACATCTCTCCATATTTAATTTTTAAGTAATTTATTACATATAGTTTGAGAATTGTGTTGTTTGTCAGCAGTCCTTATTTTGGAATTAAGAAGGCACACATAGGTGCACACGAACAGCCCTCTCCTGTCCATTCCAAATTCCTAGACGTGTAAATTATACCGCAGTTGTAACACAACCGTTCACATTTTTACCCTTCCTACAAGCAAACTACCATGTTAATTTACCATCTACTCTTTACGCAACAGTGGTATCACACTACATTTTTAATCCCATCTTTGTTTTAGTTGTGGTTCAGTGCAACTGACATTACAATATTAACTTCGTAAATTTCAAGTCCCCATTCACATCAACTACAGGATCTTGTGGAACCTTAATTTTATTTTGAAATTGGTTTAATTTGCTGCTTGCCAATCATTAAAGATTCCCAATTCAGTCTTGTTGAAATTGTGAAACAATATGCTGAACATGGAATTGAACTTCAATATACCTGTAACTTTTCTGCAGATGTTGTAATTTGTCTGCTGGATTACACTTTGATTGCAGTTTCCTGTATTATGCAGATAGATGTAGATATTGGATCATCCTCTGTAGCTAGGAGTGTCATTGGCCTTGTTTTGGGATACGTCACAAGCCTAGTTGTTGACCTTGCAATTTTGATAGAGGTTTGTGCCTTTATGATCATAATATTTATGGACAAACTATGCTCTTTTTCCATGCTCCTTTGAAGTAGACTTCTGAATTGTGAAATTATGTGATTTATTTGGTATATTTTCTTGGGAGAGGGATGCTCATGTGTTCAAGGGTAAACGGATACATTTGTTATGGGAGAGGATTATTTTTACAGTGTGGCTTCTGTTTGGTGCCCTACTCATGGTCTTTCTAGGTAATTTGCAATGCTGATAATGCAGAGATTATGCAACCTTGTATATTTGAGCAAGTTTATCTGTTTCTTTCTTTCAGCTCTTGGATTTTGCAGGAATTCTTATACTATATTGTACTTATGCCTCCCTTATGCCTGCAAGTGTAATATTATTTTATCGGAAGTAATATATGTACATACATACCACAGGCTCACCATCCCTGATTTTAGATAAGATGCCATATAACAATAGGGAAATTTGCATGTTTCTGAGAGGGGAGATGGTGAGCTGATATGAATGTTTCTGAACTGAATCATTTACTCCTACCGAATAAGAATTTGCTTAAATTTCTTTCCAACTTATAGAAGTTTTCTTTATTAGTATTAAAGATAAACCATTCCTCTCAAACCAAAACATTAAATAACCAAAATAAAATATTTGAATTTTGTTGTGTCCATACTTTGTCTCAAGTTATTTTAGCTGAGAATCATGAAGTAAATGTCCTGCAAAATGTTGAATTGCCACGAACTCTTGGCGTGTTTGGTTTCTTGCATAAAGCTGTACACATCTATTGCCTTCCAATAGTGTGGGCTAGTAATAATAAATGAATTAACTCTTGGATTCATCAACCTTTTCACTTGATCCACATATTTACTGATGCCATATTTGCAGGCAAAAGAAGAGGCAGAGCTCCCAGAGTATATTCTTGGAACTGTCCGATTAAACCGCTTAAAACCTGAATCTGCGGTACCATTTGAGGTTTGAGGTGTTCTGCCAAAAGTATTAAATAGTCTGGTTCTACTTTTTCATTTGGCTCAAATGTTTTCACTCACACTGAGTACTCAAATCAGATTTGATAATCTGATTATTTTTCTGTAGAAACATGCAGCTCTTTTGCTTTTATTTTCTCCCCGTTGATTCCAACTTAATCAAGATGGGTCCCCTTTATAAGTTTACTGGCCCCTTGTTTTGATTCTGTTGCGTGTGTTGCTTCTTCTTCTCTCCCCTCGTCTATGACATTCCCACGGGAATGGATCTTCTCATGTTCAAATTTCAAAAGACAAGGCCATATGTAATTTTTGTATCAGTCTCTTTCTTGATAGACATTAAATAAGTTAAGACCTCGTAAAACTTACTAAGGAGAGATGTGAGAATGATTTACATTTGAGGATTGAGGTTGCCCTTTCCAATGGCAACGGCTATTTCTGTGGGGCTGACATGTAAACCCTCTGCTTTGTCTAAAACTATTTTATTCTTTACCAAAAATGAAAAGAAAAACAAAAAAACAGAAAATAAGTGCATTTAGTGTGTTTGGATAGTAACTATCAAAAAAGTAATTTTAAAAGAGAATGATGTTTGGATACTTTATTCAAAATTACTTTTGGAATATGTAATTACTAAAATGGCCTTTTATATCCATATAACTAAAAATAAATAAATTTGCCATAGTAGTTTTGTTATCATGTCTAGCATGAGTAAGTATTGTTACTAATTTTTTATGGAATATAGAATTAGAAGTCCCCAATACATGTGAAAAAGTACAAAAGAAAAATCAAGAAACAATGGCAACAATATGGTGTGAGCCTATCATAAAGAACATGGAGTAGAGCATGTGCACCCATACATAGGAAGTGTGCCTTGGAGCCCCAACTACCGGCGTATGTGTGTGACAACGTTGGTGGCGAGCCATGTCAAGTAGCAAAAACAAGGGTAAAACAGGGATCAAGCTAATACATTTAGAGTAAAACACGAATAAGGAACAACATATGTTAGCGTGGTTGGTTTTGCATAATTTCAGAGGTATTCTAATGCTATGCATTGTATACGCTATATGCACATTCTAATGATACGCAGGTATACACCAATAAAATGGTTAATTTTATGGATAAAATGGTTAATTTTATGGATATAATTGATTCACTAAAAAATTATATTGTTATATTAAATAGGGTAAATTATACTTTTTTTTCTCCTAATAAATTAATATTTATTACACTGAGCGGGCTTTTAGAGACAACTTTTCTCTTTAGGTATTTTTAGGGTTAGCTTTAGAATGCACATGATGAAATGAAAATTCAAAGTTGATTGTATAAATACATAAAGCATCATTTCATTTAGTAAAGTTCTAAAATAAAAACATTACTTTATGTTTAAAATTAAAAGCAATAATATTGGAAGTTGAAAATTGAAGAAACGTAGACTTAACTAGGGTTTTGCTCATCCAAAAATTTGTAACTTTTTTATTTGGTCCTTTATTTTTAATTTGAAAATGGGATTTGAGAATATGAAAGAAATGAAAATATTACATAAATTTCATGCCAACAACTAGATAAAAAATAAGTTTTAGTTGCTACTGTAGTAATGTAATATTCATATTCTTATGCTATTAATCAGTCATCACAAAAGTCACCTAATTGTCATTAAGGTTACTAGATGCTAAGCAGGTGGCTTGCTCAATAAGATTACCCACTTTATCAAGAAAACAAAAAGCCATTCAATCACGCAATTATCTTGTTAATAATTCCACCCTCTACGCTTTTCTCATGACTTGAGAGATTTGATTAATAAAAGGGGCACCAAATCAGATGCAAATTCATGAGACCCAACACTTTTGACCTTAGTGGGAATCTAGTCCAACTGAATCCACTTTTCTTCTTTCTTAAAAGGCGTGCAATTGTGCAAACCAAGGCCACACGGTCACTTATAATTATGGTTCTTTTTCCAAACGTTTTCCTTTGGGAATTTCCATGAAATTCCCTTCTTTTCCTTTTTATCTGTATTCTTCTCTCACTTTTTTACCCACTTATCGTGATCGTAACCGGTTTTGGGGTGCTTGGCGTGCCTCTTTTCTTTCATTCAAATTATCCACTCATGGCAATATTCACTTTTCAATTTTGATCCAACAAGGGAAAACTATTAAGGGGAAATTAACATCAAGTGAAAAGTTTTTTCTTTCTCGGAGAAAAGTAGGTGAAGCTGCAAAATTAGGTAGAAAGTAGAGTGCAAGTACCAAGCACCATGTGATATAGATCATCAGGGTTTTTCAAATGAAATCTGTAGCAGAATTTTAATAAAAAAAAATTCATCTTTTTTGTGATTATTGACCAGCTTGAAAGAGTTTACTTTTAATTTATTCTAATAAAGTTTATTACTAAATTTATTATATAAGTTGTATATTTTAATCCTTTAGAAATATGTGTTTATTGTGAATTTGTTTGCATCAATTTATGTTCAATTTAAAACCTTTTCATATTGTCTTTCAAAAAAGAGAAACATTTTTCGCTGTTCTATGTACTGCATTCTTGAGTTTGGCACGGACTTGTGAAGCTTTACATGGTACTGTTGTCAGGTTAATACCCTTTCACATGTTAACTTTAAACCTTGAGAATAAAAATAAATAATTAATAATAATAAAATTTTATTAAAAAGAAAAATATTTATTATATTTTTATAATTTCAAGACAATAATTATATATTTTTTTATAAAAAATTTTATTTGTAATATTTAAACTTAATCTTAAAGATTAAAGTTAACAAAACTCAAGAAATAATATCATCTCACGGTTAAGAAACAAAAATGATGCATTGATTATGTGTTAAACAGTGTAGGAAGAAAACAGTAGGAACAACAAAAAATCACTGAGCATCATATTTAAGGAAGACTTATATGTTGAAACTTATTAACTATAACAGTAGTAATGAGATTTGAAATTATGCAAATTATTTAGATCCTTTATCATTAACCTAATCCGTACGAATTTGCTACTAATTGAAATTGAAAGCATAGTTTAATGTTTGGTAAAAAGCTGACATGAGAAATGGTATTTCATGATATCATTTATTATTTATGAACGCATTCACGTCACATAAAATAATGATAGCAGTAGCATGCAAACGCAGTGAACAAAGTAAGTATTGGATATATATATTTCCCTAAGTCACGGGGCCTCTGTGAAAGGGCCCTGCCTCTCGTGAAAAGGCACCAATTAAGTTATGTTGCATACGTTTTCATTGCCATTATTCACAAATTCTTATGCACAGACTCAACTTTGTATTCACTCTGCTACTTGTCTTTGGTCATTTTTGTGAACGTCAAGGACAGGCATTCAAAAACCAATGAAAGAAAAGACAAGGTTTTGGTGTCCATTATACTCTAAAAGCAATGGTACTTTCATCAATTTTATTCTGAAAGTTCTCTCACAAATACTAAAGTAAACTCATTTAGATTACTTTAAAAAGTTACGAATAAATTTACCATAAAAATGTTTTAAATAAATTAAACTAACGTATCATCTAATGACTTGTAATTAACTTACCTTTTTAGGTTATGGAAAAATAAAACAAAGGGTGCTTTTGGTACATATAGAGAGATAATACAAGTAGAACAATGTTATACAACTACCTAAGCAATAACAGCAACTTTTGTTCAATCTGTCATTTAGCTGTCGATAAACAACAAAAGCAATGTTATATTGTATAGTAAATGATAAAATTATCCTTAAGGTTTATATGCCATCTAAGGTTATTTGATTGTATTTTGTTTATTCTTTTTTATCTATAACTAAAGTTATTTAATACAGTTTAATAAAATTAAATAATGTTTATATAAAATTTAATATTTTGTTAATCTCAACTTTTAAGATTAAAGATAAATTGCCAATAATTATAAAATTTTATTAGAGAATGAAACATTTATTATATTTTTATAACTTTAATATAATAACTTGAATAATTTTTTTATAATTTTTTTTTATTTATGGATGCTTAAACTCAGTAGTAAGAGTTGAAGTTAACAAAAGTCTAAAATTTATTATTTAATTTTTAATTTTGTCATTATATTATCTTATTTATTTTACTTTTCTTTAATGTATTAGTTTGTTAAAAAAGTAAGATTATAATAATTAAAAAGTGATAAATAAAAAAGAGAATTTTTTTTAAAATGGTGACGGATGGAAAAAAAAACTAACGAAGTACCAATTTAATAGTGCTCATTAATTATAATATTGACATGAAAAAGGATTAAGATGAAAAAAAGTTATCTTTCTGATGATAATGTTACGTGAAAGAGAAGTTGTCTATCGATTTATTTATATGTTTTGTAATTTGTGTGATATACTTTTTTTTATTTTTTTATTGATATCATATGAACATTTTCAACTTGTGATATACTATCCAACCTTCTCATTTTTTTTCTAGTCGCATGGACTCAAAGAACTACATAGAGAATTTACCAATGAAGTCTACATTGTAGCAAATCTTTTAGGATAATTAGAAAATGGTATGAATCACTGAATATGGAAAAAAGAAACCCCACTAAAATAATCTCACCAAATTGTAAAATATTTTCTGTTCAAATAAAGATTTCTAACATACCGATCCTATTCAAAAGGAATAAGTCACTTAGTGAAGTGTCACTCAATTTTCATGTAATGTCGCACAGATTGTTTTCCATGTTTTGAAAATGAATAACAATTGTTTTCCCTATTCATGCACTGAGAGAGTGAAGATACGAACAGGGTGAAATGCTTAATCAAACCAATGTTCACACATGTCAGAACTCAGAAGCGCAACAATTGGCCAATGCCCACAATATCATAATATGAGGGACAAAGGAAACTCCTTTACATCACAAGCCTTGTCTTTCTCTGCTCCTTTGATGCACCTGCTACTCTCTCGTTGATACGGATTAAAGCTCTACACTGTGTAATTTTGGAGATGTATTATTGGTACTCATGTATATATAATTTTCCTAAAAAAAAAATGCATTCCAGTTACACCTAAAGAGCAATATGTTGATCTTGAGATCCCTCTAATCAGGAAAACCTGGTTATATCTCTCAGGAAAATACGGTTTAGTTATTCGCTTAATCTTTTGAGAAAGGAATATATCTTTTTGCCGCCTCCAGCTCAAAGTACATGGGTAACCATTTTGTTTTAAGCTCGAAGTTCAATTTTTTACATTGACAGTGTATTAAGATTAAGTGACAGTGCAAAGTTAAAAAAATTTACAACTGTTAATGTATTTAAATTAAATTCATATATATATGTATAAGAAAAATAATAGTAATAATAATAATAAGGTCTAAGCTCTCTTGTCTTCCTCCTTATAACTGTCATCAACAAGAAAATTTGCAGCATTTTAACTTTATCCTGTTGAAAATTGGTTGTGAAAGGAAAGGGCGATTATAATATGAATTTACATGGCACTTATATCCAAGTTAATGACGAAAAACATAATCATATCTCATCCTTTTGAACCCATGCAAGATGCATCATACCACATAATTATTTAGCTAGCCAAAAAATGGGACTATAGATGTAATGCACTGGAGGCAGCTGTAATTGTAAGCTTATAGTCTAGAAAATTGCAATTTTCTACCCACATAAATGTCTTTTTCACACAAGAGTTACCCATGTTACTTGATTCAGAAATTTGGCTTTCCGTCCAACCGAAAAAGACCATGCAACGGGCCTATATGATCTCCATATATACAAAGACATGGATATGGACGAACTTGATCCATGTCCCCACTTGGCACAGAGTAAAGATAAAAGTATTTGAATTAGCCATGACGTTTCCTACCTATGGGATTCCCCCAAATGAAAAGTTAGAAAAAGATAATTTGAGATTTGAAGACTTTATTCCCTAATGGCAAACACCATCCACATAAATAAACAATCCAGGGTCCCCTCTTGCTCCCAAAAGTAACCCAATAATATATTCTTTTGAACCAACTAATCAATCAGAATAGTCATTCTCTTCATTCATATGTACAGTGTCATTTCCTTTCCCTATTCCCCATGCATCCCTAATGCAACAAAACAAAAAATATACACGACCTTATTTTATTCTGACACCATTGCCTTTGCTTGGGGTACTTACAATTGTCCCTCTTCCTTATGCTCTTCAAGTTCCAATGGAGATTTTCAAATGCTTGTACTTCAATCTTCTCGCCACCTTCATGTTATCAACAGTTTTAGCAATCGACCCTTACTCAGAGGCACTCTTGAGCTTAAAATCTGAAGTTGTAGATGCTGATAACAGTTTGCATGACTGGGTGGTGCCCTCTGGAGGGAAGTTAACTGGGAAATCCTATGCATGTTCTTGGTCAGGTATCAACTGTGACAATTACTCAACAAGTGTAACTTCCATAGACTTGTCCATGAAGAAACTGGCAGGTGTATTGTCAGGGAAGCAATTCAGCATCTTCACAAACCTTACTAGTCTCAACCTGAGCCACAATTTCTTCTCTGGGCACCTGCCAGCAGAGATTTTCAACCTCACAAGCCTCAGAAGCTTGGATATCAGCAGAAACAATTTTTCTGGACCCTTCCCAGGTGGAATTCCCAGCCTCAAAAATTTGGTTGTGCTTGATGCCTTTAGCAACAGCTTTTCAGGGCCATTACCTGCTGAATTTTCACAGTTAGCATATCTTAAAGTTCTTAATCTAGCTGGGAGCTACTTCAAAGGATCAATACCATCTGAATATGGTTCTTTCAAAAGCCTTGAGTTTCTTCATCTTGCAGGAAATTCTCTAACAGGAAGTATACCTCCAGAACTGGGAAACCTCAAAACAGTGACCCACATGGAGATAGGCTACAACTTATACCAGGGTTCTATTCCATCCCAGATAGGTAATATGAGTCAGCTTCAGTATCTTGACATAGCAGGAGCAAATCTATCAGGTCCAATACCAAAGCAACTCTCCAACCTCACCAGTTTGCAATCACTTTTTCTATTCAGAAACCAGCTCACAGGATCAGTACCAAGGGATCTCAGCAAAATCACACCTCTGGCAGATTTTGATCTCTCTGATAACTTCCTTTCAGGGTCCATTCCTGAAAGTTTTTCAGAGTTGAAGAACCTAAGACTGCTCAGTCTCATGTACAATGACATGAGTGGCACTGTTCCCGAAGGCATTGCACAGCTACCATCCTTGGAAACTCTCCTCATTTGGAGCAACCGCTTCTCTGGATCACTTCCACAGAGCTTAGGCAGAAACTCCAAACTCAAGTGGGTTGATGCTTCCACAAACAGTTTAGTTGGAAGCATTCCACCAGACATTTGTGTGAGTGGAGTACTATTTAAGCTAATTCTGTTTTCAAACAAATTCACAGGTGGTCTTTCATCAATTTCCAACTGTTCTTCTCTTGTTCGTCTTCGCCTAGAAGAGAATTCATTCTCAGGAGACATCCCTTTGAAATTCAGCCATCTTCCTGATATCTTATATGTTGATCTATCCAGGAACGACTTTGTTGGCGGGATTCCCTCGGATATTTCTCAAGCTACTCAACTGGAGTATTTCAATGTCTCTTATAATCAGCAATTAGGAGGCATCATACCTGCAAGAATTTGGTCTTCGCCCCAACTTCAAAATTTTTCAGCATCTTCTTGTGGTATTTTAGGAGATCTTCCCCCATTTGAGTCCTGCAAATCCATTTCAGTTATTGATCTAGATAGGAACCACATAACTGGAATCATCCCAAACAGTGTTTCCAAATGTCAATCTCTTGAGAAAATCAAGTTATCTAACAATAATCTGGCAGGTCATATACCTGATGAACTTGCTAGTATTCCAGTTCTTGGTGTACTGGACCTATCAAACAACAGGATCAATGGCCGCATACCTGCAAAGTTCGGTAGTTCTTCTAGTTTACAACTTCTCAATGTGTCGTTCAACAATATCTCTGGTTCAATACCTGCAGGAAAGTTATTCAAATTGATGGGTAGCAGTGCATTTGCTGGAAATTCAGAGCTATGTGGAGCACCACTGCAACCATGTCCTGATTCAGTTGGAATATTGGGTGGCAAAGGCACGTGGAATATTACACGTATTGTGCTACTCTCTGTAGGGTTGCTAATAGTCCTTCTTGGATTGGCTTTTGGAGTATTTTATTTCAGAAAGGGACTTAAAAGTCAATGGAAGATGGTCTCATTTGCTGGTCTCCCTCAATTCACAGCAAATGATGTTTTGACAAGCCTCAATTCCACAAAGCCTACAGAAGTTCCATCGCCATCACCTGTAGTTACAAAGGCTGTTCTTCCTACAGGAATAACGGTTTTGGTCAAGAAGATTGAATGGGAAGCGAGAAGCATTAAGGTTGTGTCAGAATTTATAATAAGACTAGGGAATGCAAGGCACAAGAATTTAATCAGATTGTTGGGATTTTGCCACAACCAGCATCTAGTCTATCTTTTGTACGATTACTTGCCCAATGGGAATTTGGCTGAGAAAATTGGAACCAAATGGGATTGGGCAGCAAAATTCAGAACAGTAATGGGAATTGCAAGGGGACTTTGCTTCCTTCACCATGACTGTTACCCAGCAATACCACATGGAGACTTGAGGTCCAGCAATGTTGTATTTGACGAAAATTTGGAACCCCATTTGGCAGAATTTGGGTTCAAACATTTGTTTAAGTTGAGCAAAGGCTCATCACCAACCACAACTAAGTGGGAGACAGGTATGACAAACAAATTTGTTCAACATACATTTGCATAATATATCACTATCCTTTTGGAATATGCTGTAATAAATATATAATATAAAATCATTAAGCTTTTGGAATAGTTGGTTCATGATATGGTATCCAAGTGGGTCAGATGCCTACAATGAACTTTATATCATGGACTGATTTGTGTTCATTTTTGGATGACAGAAAACAATGAAGCAACGAAGGAGGAACTATGCATGGATATCTACAAATTTGGGGAGATGATTTTGGAAATTTTAACTAGTGGAAGATTGACAAATGCAGCAACTGGCATACATAGCAAACCATGGGAGGTTCTTTTAAGAGAAATTTACAATGAGAATGAAACAAGTTCTGCCAGTTCATTGCAAGAGATTAAACTGGTTCTTGAGGTTGCTATGCTTTGCACCAGAAGCAGGTCATCCGATCGGCCATCCATGGAAGATGCTCTGAAGCTTTTGTCAGGGATAAAGCATCTAGATGATGGCAGAACTTCAAAAGAAGGGCCATAAAAATCTTCATATTTGTATCACCGGGTTGAAAGCCATTAGAAACATATAGTATAATTGCTTAGCTAACAAGTTTTCACGTGTGTAATTAAATGAGTTTGCAGCTTGTATAATAGATATTTCCATTGTTTCGGTGTGCCATAATATTCTGTCCGTCTCCCTCAATCTACCTCAAAATATTTTGTATCTGAGATGGGATTCATTTGAATTCATGATATTCATAGTGCACTTTCCTTCTATCAGATAAGTACAATCTTTTGATTCTTATTTCTTACTAATTACTATTACTTAGATATCATTATTTCAAGACTTAATTGCAAGGAGCCAGGTACCTTGATGCTGTTAGCTTTCCTTTTGTTTCCAAAATCTTTGGAGAAAATTATTAATCTAGAGGTCAATAACATTGTATGATCATTGTCTAAGTTACTGAAATAAGCCTTAATTATTGTTGTTGTTACATCCTTTGACAATGATTGCATCAAGAGGGTTCAACGAAGCTATCTAAAAAACCCCTAGCAGAGCATTGAAGAATTGAGCAAGCCAATGCTGCGGTTTGACTTGAAGTGAAGCAAACAAGGGGACCAAAGCATCACATAAATTAACACGCTACCATACATATATATGTCACAAGAAGAGAACTTTAATTAAGAAGCGAAATTCTGCATTTGAATGAACATTTTAATCTCTAAATCTTGGCAATGTGACATTAAGAACATCCACAACTCCATCAAAACTATCAAACTTGGAACTAACAACATCAACCTCCACTCCAAGCCTCTTTGCCCCAGCCGCAGTGACGGGCCCATGGGCCGCCACCACCAATCTGGGACACCTCTTCCTTAAGTCCCCAAAGCCCAGCCCAAATTCCCTCAGGCTCTTAAGCAACCCCTCCACCTCAGCGCTACTGGTGAACACCACCGCATCCAATCCTCGCTCCTCACTCGCACTCACAATCCCCTCAGCACACCTGGGCCCGGCCCACCTCGTCTCGTATGCCTCGACCCGAACCGGAGCCCATCCAACGGCCCGAAGCTCCCGGAGAAAATCGGGCACCACCGGCGGCTCCTCCAGTCCCACGACGAGCGGAACCGGACAAAGCACCCTCCGGCCGCCACCGGCCCCGAGCGCCGCCGCCAAGGCACTGGGCGTGGCGGTGGGCGGAACCAGAACCCTAACTCGCTCGGAATTACTGCAAATTTTGGAAATGAATTCATGGTGGAGAAGTTGGGAATCTTTGCCGAGGGCGGCGAGGGTGAAGATGGGACCAGAGGGGGGGAGCGGAGGTTGGGAGAGAGGGGTGGTGGCTTGGAGGAAGGCTTGGATTGCGGCTCGGGAGGTGAAGGCGATGGCGGAGAAGGGGTCGAGGGAGTGAGGGGAAAGGTAAGGGGTGAGAGTGAAAGGGGTGGGTTGAATGAGTAGTGTGGGGCACCATAGGGTGTTGTAGGCGTTGTGTGTGAGGAGTTTTGAGATTCTTGATGCGTAGTTGGATGGCGTTGTGAATGCTACGGTGGGGCTGTGCAGGTTCATCACTGTGATGCTCAACATGCTCCTCACTTCCACTTTTCACTTCTTCATTTTTTATTTGCACATTCACCTCCCACTCCCACCTACTGTTCTTACCATTTCTCTCTTTCTTCTCAAAAACATTATCAAGTTTATACTTTTCCTGGTCCTATTGGTTCAGAATAGGATAATGACACCTTAGAATTTCTTGTTCAAGGTCAAAGGGAGAATGTTCATCTTTATGAACCAATCTAGTCTTAAAAAGGATCTGTTATCCAAGTTGTCCATGCCTCGCATTTGTTAGTAGTAACATATGAGAATAGACCTCGATTCAAGCTTTTGTCTTTTTTATGTTAGTCTCTTATTAAATTATAATATATAAAATAGTTAGAGACTTAAAAATACATTGCATGTAATGATCTCATTTGGATCAACAAAGACGTTCTATCAAAGAAATTTACCTTCTTTTAAATAAAAAAATATATGTAAACTACGAAAGTCACTTTCATCATCAAATTTTAAATTCTTATGGAAGCTTGAAATACACGATAATACTAATATTGATAACATCTTCAATAATTATATAAACATGTTTCCAACACAAAATATGTCTTAGTTCGGCTAAATCAATGTTATGACCGTTCTTTGGATAAATGTTTTCACTAATTTTTATTTTTTTTTAATTTCACAGTTGGAAGAATAAAGATAAAAAGATTGATAAAAAAAAGTAAGAAAAAAAGAGAGGTAAAAATAGAGGAAGACAAAATAAACGATACATGTTAGGAATAAAAAAACAAGAAATATTAAAAAATCTAATTTTTTTAATGAAAAAATTATTAAGACCTTTTAAAAAGTGTACAAATTTAAAAAAAAAAATTATTTTTAAACACTACTTAATTAGGCTTCATAATTAAAATTAAAATGAAAATTTTGTTAAAATATTTAAACTTGACACCTTTTTGCCTTTTAGTAAAAAGATGTATGCGGTTTAGTCTTTGGGCGTTGCCTCCTGTTTCGAGGAAGAGGAAGAGGTTCGGTGGAGATGCAGAGCCTCAATCTATGGGCGAACCCTCATCCATGGACTTTTGTGGGGCGTTCAGCATCTCCCACTCTGAATGTTGTCTATGCTATTCCCCCAACTCCTTCTTCACTTCGCTACCATTGCTCTCTAACTCAACATCCTCTCAGGTGCTCTTTCATAACCACACGCACCCACATCCCTATCTCTTGTACTAATTAACACGCAATTCTTGTTGCCTTAGGTGCGCAGTGCTCGGTGCTGGATTCGCTGGCCTATCAGTTGTTTGGCATTTGTTGAAGGTTCGTGTTTTAATTCCATTCCTTTTTCTTTAACTACTATTAATATATGCCCCCTTCTTTATGGATGCTAACATAATGTATTAATATGTGCCTTCTTTATGGCATTTGTTGAAATTGTCTGTCAGCAACTGATTTTATTTCATTTTATCTTTTTTGGTGAAAATTAACGTTGCAGCAAAGTCCTAAGGACATGAATCTAAGAATTGATATATATGATGAAGTGGGCATTGGGGGTGGCGCTTCTGGAATATCTGGTGGTCTTCTTCACCCTTATTCCCCAAAAGGTATATAGCTGTGTTGAGTTATTTCATCTTTTCCTTTAAAATCTGCTGATGGATGAATGCCAATGTAGTTAAGCTTCTCTGGGAGGGTGCACAGTGTTGGAAAGAGAGCATAAAGCTTTTGAGAGTTGCTGAAGAAGCTAGTGTCTCCATGGACTGCAAAACTGGAGAATCTGCTGATGATATGAAAGCTTTTGCGGTTCACAGAAGGTTCTCTAGTTTGTTTTCCTTTCAGAAATGAAGATTGTCTCCCCCTTCCCCCACCCCTAACTCTTGCAAAAAAAATTATTCTCCTTTTGAACACTCATATATTCTGTGCTTTTTGCATTTTATGCTCTCCGTTGGAATCTTAGAGTTGCTTTACATTGCTGATGATCAGCTGACTTCAGGGGCATCTTAAGACCGGCAACGGATATGAAGAATATGATCAAGTTAACTGATGTAATCTCTGATTTAATAGGTTTCTGAAATATTGGTTATTAGACTTGGGTTCTGTACTGATATAGTCTCCCTTTATGTGATTAGAATGTCAAGACTTGTCTTCCTAGCTGCAGAGTAATAACACTCAATGATGAAGAGGCTCAAAGTCTCTTACCTGGTGTATGCCTACCATTCAACAAAGCTTTCTATATGCCTGAAGCTCTAAATATCCATTCTCAACAATATCTTCAGGTTTGGATGAGTAATGCAAAAGTTTTTCTATTGTTTAATGTCTACTTCTTTCTTTCTCCTAGTTTGCTTTCATTCATTTTGATAATTCTATTAGGCACTTTTCCAAGCATGTGAAAATTTGGTGAAAGAATCCTCCACTTTTAATTCAGGACAGAAACAGCTTAGTTTACACAAAGCATCTGTCGATAGACTTTCTGAGTTTGAAGGTATTATTGCATTGCCATACTTTTGGTCTTTTGTAATTTTATTCAATGTGTTGCCCTTCTATTGTCAACCCTCCAAAGTTTTCTAACGTCTGACTCCATTTGCTTTTTTCTTTAAATTAAATGAATGTAACAAATTAAATTTAGCAATTTTATTCAAGAAAATGAAGCTCAATAAAGAACGAGCAATCATAAATTATAAAAAACATGAATTTGTGCACTTTCCAAACAGTCTTTCTACTTCACCAAAGTCTAACTCTGAAGATTGATTATTATGGACTAACCAACTTAGATTATATTGGTAAATTAGTCAAACCATAAGGAAAAAGGCTTCTAACACAAAGGATGATTGTATTAATATTGGGCGAACTTTGAATATGTAAATGTTGAATCCTAAGATGACTGTAACACGAGAAAAGTAATGAAAGCTTTTATAGAGAGTAAGTTTAGGCAGTATAAAATTATTGCAATATTCACACACATACATAGAGGATGTATCATCACTATCATGTGAGAATGACTTCCTTATATAAATGAGAACAACTATTTTTAGTCCCATAGATTAAAATGAATGACTGAGATTAAAAGATCAACAGTCATGTGACTCTTTTTCTCGCCAAACATCCATCTTCTTCCACAGGCCCTTCCAGCCACACTCACATTGTGAAGCTGAACTCCATGCCTCAACTTGCTTGAGCCACTTCATCAATGAATTAGATTGGCAAACTACAGAGAAGAGGATCCGTCAGCATACCCTGCCTGATATTTGACATTTTTCAGTGGAGACAAAATGGGAATTGTAAATTCTTTAGCTGATGAGTACCTTTAGTTGAATATATAAGTGGCAGTTACAATTAGAGTGCTGCATCATATAACTAATATCAGTGTAGGATACTAGAAATAATATAAAAAAAATTGAATATTTAAAAAGTACTATTAACATTGTATTGAAAAATCTACAAAAGCGAATTTAGTATCGATACATTGTATTCAACTTCACACACACACACATATTTTGTGATAGGTTTTGTTTCTCTGTCATGTACCTACATCTGGCAGAGCTTTTCATTGTTCAAGACTATGGTTTAATATCCTTGATGTCTCATGTGTCACATACACTGGAAAAATGAAGGTTAAGGTTCTCACTTTTAAATGTTATTCACACAAACAGCTTTGAAATATTTTTGCTTGCTTTTTCTGTGATAGATTTAGTTTGTATGTCATGAGCATACTTCTGCAGAGCTTTTCATTGTTCAAGACTAAGATTTAATATCTTTCATGCCTCAGGGGAATATGATGCAGTCATTGTATGCCTAGGTGCCAAGGTGAACATGCTTCCTGAGATCTCTGGGAGGCTTCCTTTGAGAACCTGTAGGGGTGTAATTGTACACCTGGAATTGCCTGATGATACGAAGTAAAGTTTTAATGTTTTGCGTCGCATATGCATTCATCTTAAAAAACGTATATTTTGGTATAATGATGTCTCATGTTATGACTATTTAGCTGTATTTTGCTTCAAGAGCATTATTTTCTAGGAAAGAGCCTTCCATGGCATATGGCAGGTGGAGATAGAATTAGTTAATACATTGATTTATATACATGGAAGAGAGACTAACTAATCTAATTATCAACTTCACCAACGAACTACTTTCTAACTAAATCTAATTATCTTCAACAATATGCTATTGAATTGCTTCAATGTCATATTCCATGTATTTGATATTTTCTGCAATTGTCTTCCAGAGGTTATCCTGAAAATGGGCCGTCTATATTATCAGATGCATGGATTTCTGTTCAGGGCCCTCGCAGTCTGAATCTGGGCTCAACTTGGGAGTGGAAATCCATAAATTCATCACGAAATGTTTCAACTGATGAAGCTTCAGAAGCTCTTCTACAGCTTTTACCAAAGGCATCTTCCGTTTATCCGGGAATAAAGGATTGGGTTTTCAATGGAGCAAGAGCTGGTCTAAGGGCAATGCCTCCACTCACGCCGCTTGGATCACTTCCACTTTTGGGTTGTATCAACGATATCATAGGCGGAAATCATACTTGTAAGTATTGGTTATTTGGAGGACTAGGCTCAAGAGGATTGTTATACCATGGTTGGCTTGGTAATTTGATGGCACACGCTGTGCTTTCCTGTAATGAAGAAGTAATTTCATCCGAATTGACATCTTGGAAAGCGTCTAAACCCAAATTTTAGCGTTGTTTATACATTATAACATTGTTGAGTTTAGAAAATAATTTTTTTCCTGTGCTTTGAATCTTAGATAACTTTACTATGTGATGCGTAAGGAAAGTAACAAATTATTGGTTGTATATATATGTTGAATTTCACGCTGACATCAAACAGTCTAAGACAACTGGAGTGTTTGAAATCCTCCAATATGCAGGCAGTTGTCCAATTTCCACATCGATAAAGTGTAACGGATAGAATAAGTAGGAGAAATATGAATAAGACAAGCTTTGGTGAACATACGATAATTCAATAGATGGTAATAGAAATTATAAATAAATGATAAACTTTTCCTCTTTTTGAAAATTTTTTCCTTTTTAAGTTTAGAAAATGTGTCTTAATAGGTATAAGTTTCAAGCATTCATAATAGGTTGATTACATTAGTTTTACATGACAGATTATTTAACTTTACTTTTTTATTTTTCGTTAGGTCTGAACTTTACTAGCATGGTATTTATACTTGTTTCTTTGTCACGAGTTTTTTCTTTAAACACTTTAAAGATATGGTATAACTTTTTTTTCTTTTCGTTTATTTGATTTCTATATAACTCATGTATTTTGAAAGAATTGAGTAGTTCTTCAAGATTTATGGTTTAAAGAATCTTCATATTATTTTTTTCAATGATGTACTCATTTTGAAAAACTTTCAAACTATTGAGAATAGTCAAAAAAAAATTTTTTATCATCTCACGAATAGTTTCACCTTTGTTCATCTTGAATGAGTTATTTTACGAATCAATGTGTCAATTTTGATTTGTCTAACATTGCTTATTCCTTCACGAGTGGTCCTTGTCATTTATGTTTTAATCTTTGTTAGCAATATTATAATAATAATGCTTAAAATGTAACAAAACATTCGTACATAAACTAAAAATAAGTTTTTTTTAAAGTATAGGAATTAATTTATAAACAAATATTAATTATAGAGATTAAATAAATACTTTAAGCAGAAATTAAAAATATGGTAGACTTATCTATACAAAATTTAAAAGAAAGTACTAAATAAAAGAATTGTGAATGTTTGAAATATTTATGTCAAAGATCATCATGGTTTAAGATAATACATATTTATTAATATAGAATTTATTGATTTGATGAATACATAGATCAATAAAAAAAAAAAATTATTATAATTAATAAAATAATAAGAATAATTCACTTATGCTAGACTTTTTACTACGATTAAAAAAAATATCTGTCTTGAATAAATATATCTAATTTATAGATAAAATATCATAAAAAATTAATTAACGAGATTTTGAGTTGATACTTATGATAAATTAGTTACAAATTTATTTATATAATAAAATTAACTCTCTAAAATTTTAAATAATGATATAATTTTACATATCAAATATAGTAAAAATTTTATTTTTTATAAAAAATAATTTTTAAAGATTTGATAGAGGTTGATATATCATATAAAAAATATATTACATATAAATTAAGATATTTACATAATAAAAATTTGTAATAACAATGCTAATGTTGATATTTTATTATTCCTCTGAATATAAAATAAAAAGTAAAAATATAGAATTAAATAAAAAAAGTTATTCATCAAGAATAAAAAGTTATGAAAATAATATTGAGTTATAATACAATTGTTTACTCAATTAAGTTTAATGTATTGTGTTCTTTTAAAATTTTGACTGGTTAAAATATAAATTTTATTCATATGTTTAAAATGTATACAAATTAGTCTCTACACTTAAAAAAATTGTTTTATTCCTTTTATAAATATATTGTTATGTTTTTTATCCTTTTATTGTTAACTATAATATAATAACAAGGATCAAAACATAACAAAACATTTGATTAGGAATTAAAACATATTTTTTAAGTATAAAAAATAAATTGTAAATAATAATTAATTGTAAAAATTAAATGTATATTTTAGATACCTAACCTAGCTGATTCAGCACGTCTTTCGGCCTGCTCAGCAATTTCAGAATGTTAATGGTTACTACTTCTGTGGGATCCATGAGCTTGAAGACCATGCATCGTACGCTGAGGCGCTGCCCATTAGGCCTTCCTCTCTCCCTTGCCGTAGTCCTTCGTTGTTGTGAAAGCAGTCTACATCAACAGACATTATGATAATTGAGCAAAGACAGAACTTGGATTTAAAAAAAAAAACTTAGATCATGAATTTGTAGAATATCAATCATTTTCTTAATCTGTATACAATGTTTTAAACGTCAAAGAAAAAAACAAAATTGATATTGTTTAATTTGTGAACTTGAAGTTCATTTTCCCTAAAAGAAATGTCATAAATAAAAAAATATTTAGAAATGGGTAGTAATTAGATTGTTGTAAACCTTGTTTTGGAGTATATTGTCTCAAGCACAGGCAGTGAGTCCCAAGCGAATTAAAAATTTAAGGATGTCAAGAGGGATGTAAGTAATAATGCTGTAGATCCATATCACTCCTGCCCAACCCCATCCAACTCCATTGATTCTGGCAAAGTCCCAGTGTGCATACACAGCAATGATAGTGGCCACCTAAGTTGACCATTTGCAAGGTTAAACCCATTTGCTTTTTTACATTGAAGACAAATTTTCAAAGAAAAAATAAAATGTTTAATAGAAGAAAACTAACCAACTGTGCAGCAACAAAGGCTCCACAAAGCATGGTGCCAGGGCGTTCAATATATGACCAGCTTCTTGATCTGGTCACAAAGATGAGTGCTTGACTAATGATACTCACTTGAAGATAAAGAGCTGAGTTCAGCTGCTCCTCACTTTCTGCAATTGACCTGACACCAAAAGTTCTCTAGAAAAAGGAGAGAAAACACACTTTCATGTCATCATTCTATAATGGTTTCTGTTTTTAGTTGCATCAAATGGACAACTTATAAACAGTTCTTTAGGTGCTTTTAGTACTATTTACAGTAACTCACAATAGCATTAAATGTGCACATTTTACCAAATTAAAAACTCTAATTTTAATTGATAAACAACATTAAATGTGGACATTTAATCAAATAGAAACTCTAGTTTGTAAAGGAAACTAAAAACACCTAAAGAACTGCACCTAACTTTTGTTACTTAATTTGGGTTGTGTTACTTACAGAGAAGAAATCGGTGTCATGAATAGCATAGAAGAAGACTGCGGTCATGATAGCCATGTATGCTCCAAGAACAATTCCAGTTGCAAAGATTTCCTTGAGCTTCCATGAGTCAGGCACAGGAGATGGCTTCACCCTATCCTTGGAGATAGTCATGATGGTTCCATCATTCAAGATGGCAATGATTAGAACCATGAAAGGTGAGAAGTCAAACTTCCATATTAGAGCAACAAGCAAGAATCCGAATACAATACGGATTGTGATGGAAACAGCATAGATTGTGTAGTTCTTCATTCTTTGGAAGATGGCTCTGCTTGTCAACACAGCACTCACAATCACACTGAGTCCTGGCTCTGTCAAGACAATGTCTGAGGCACTCCTTGCTGCATCAGTTGCATCAGCCACTGCAATGCCAATGTCTGCTTTCTTCAGTGCTGGTGCATCATTCACACCATCTCCAGTCATTCCACAAATGTGCTTTCTATCCTGCAACCTCTTCACGATCTCATACTTGTGCTCTATACATGTAAAAATACTTATCAGTTTTTGTTTGTTAGACTTGTGTATTTCTCTTTCTGGAGTTTCACCTAAGTAACGTGTGTTGAACTTTAATGTCAATATTGTGTGGATTATGGACGTGGAATTCCATCTTTGATTGAAGAATACATCCAAAACCATCTATGCTATTGCATATAAGTTTTATTTTTATATATTTTTTTTTTGTTGTGATTAAAGTTTTTTATAAACAGTTGCAATATCAAGGTTTTAAGAATCTCTACTAGGGAATTTTATTAAATTGCAGGACAATATACAATAGCCACTATTGCAATCATAATATAAAATCATGGTTACTATGTTTAGCATAAAAAAAACTTAAGTAATTACCAGGGAAGACTCCAGCAAATCCATCAGCCTTCTCTATGAGTTCATCAATAGGGACTGATGCAATGGTTGCATCCTTGCTTTCACCAAGGAGAGAGGATGAAGGGTACATGTTGGTGCCCATTCCAAGCCTGCGTCCAGTTTCTTTCCCAATGGCCAATTGATCACCAGTGATCATTTTAACACTGACACCAAGTTCAAGAGCACGCCGAATAGTCTCAGCACTATCGTGCCTTGGAGGGTCAAAGAGAGGTAGCAAACCTAAGAATTCCCATGCTTCTCCTGCACTCTCCTTGCTCTTTTCTGACACAGTCTATCAACAAATATAATACACTTTAAACGTTAGAATTTTCCTTATTTTTATTCAGTTTAAATATAGTTTTAGTCTTGTGCTTTCAAGTTTTCGTAAATTTGTTATTTTGTTCCTTATATTTGTTTAACTTAAATGTTTTGATCCTTCTTATTGACATGATCATACAAAAAATTAATATATGACATTTGTTTGTTAATCATGTCACTATTTAGCATTCAATTGACACTAAATAAAAAAAATTAAAAACTCATAAAAAATACAAGAACTAAAATAAATTTAAGCAGATATTTCCGGTAATGACTTTGATTACTCACCTGGCGAGTAACACCCAAGGAACGCAAACCACGATCAGCAAATTCATCAATGACCTTGTGAGCCTTTTTCAAAACCTCTCCCTTGAGGCCACAAAGATCAATAATCTGATGTATATAAATGGATAATTAGATAACAGTATTTATTTAAAGTATAAATATTTCATTGGTAGTTATAATGTTGTGTATTTCACATATCTTAACAATATATAAAGCCTTACTTGCTCAGGAGCACCTTTGCTGCTTCTGTGCCAGTTACCATTGCTATCAATATAGGTAATAGCAGTGCGCTTATCCACAGGATTAAAAGGCAAGAAATGCACCTCGGTGAGTCCTGCTCTTGCCTGAGACATCATAATAGAAGCCAATTACAATGATAAGCCACTTAGTTTGCATACTTCAATATTTCATGTTGACAAAATCTTTGTTTTATAAAAAAAAAGTGTGAATCATGGTACCTCCTTAGGGTCACCCAGCATTCCAACAATTGATGCATCAATGGCATCCTGATTTTCAGTTCTCGAAGCCTTGGCCGCATACAAGACAAGGGTGTCCTTATCTATTCCAGTGGGGAACACCTGGTTTTGCAAGATGTCCATTGTTAAAACGAAGGAAGCTTTAATTTTGGTGCAATTACATCTTCGCACTCGTTTTTGTTTTCTAATCCAATACTAAGACACATAATAATATTGTTGTTATGTTACATAAAATCCATACCTTAATAATTGTTATGAAAAATTTATTTATTAGTGAAAATTTACTATCCTCTAACTTTCACACTGAATACACACGATAAAACATGTATTCAGTTTATATTAATTAATTTTATAATTATTGGTGATATATAAAGTTATTTGTGTTGATAAAATTATTTTTTGTATAATTTCAAATGATTAATTCTTACAATATAATACCCCACACGTGATTTTTAATTTAGACAATACAAGTAAGACTATATTTAACACTCCATCTAAGTTTTTTATACTTTTGATTAATTTATTATTGATAATTGTTTTTAATTGAATTAACTTTTAATATTCAAATTTCAACACTTTTTTATTTTTATTAAAAAACTATCCAGTAAAATAATTTAACATCAATTAAATATTTAAATTTATAAAAACTGGGTATTCTATATTTTATTGAATTTTGGGGAAATAAAATATTGTATGTCAGTGACAAACCTCAATCAAGTTTTTGTCGACAGTAAGCTTATTAAGGGTGAGGGTTCCAGTTTTGTCACTGCAAAGAACATCCATCCCAGCCATTTCTTCAATGGCTGTCATCCTCTTGGTGATGGCACCTTGCTCAGACAAGCGGTGAGACCCAATAGCCATTGTCACAGACAAAACAGTTGGCATGGCAATTGGGATACCTCCAATAAGAAGCACCAACAAATTATCAATTCCATCTCTATAAGACCTCCGTTGGATGGGGTACATCACAATTATCTCAATCACCATCCCCGCAGCAATTGAGCAGATACAGAAGTTACCAATGGATGTTAGCACCTAAAACATAACCCCAAAAATAATTGTCAAAAGTTGGATTCTTTTAGAGTGTATTTGTTATTACTCTTTAAGTTTTTATAGTCTATGCTTAAAAGTATCATACTTAGTTTAGGTAAACTTTTACGCAATATTTTATAAGAAAAAAAATCAGTATAACATATGCATAAAAAATGCCGATAATCATTTTCCATTAACTCAATTTGAAACTATAAAGATTAAAAATTTAGAAGCATCAAGTTTAAAGATATGATAGTATACTTTTTGGAAGTGGCCAACATTGTTGGTGCTGTCTACAAGGTGTGCAGCTTTACCAAAGAAGGTGTGGACACCAGTAGCAATGACAACAGCTTCAATCTCACCCTGTTTGCAAGTGGAACCAGAGAAAACTTCCTCACCAGGGTTCCTTGTGACTGGCAAGGACTCACCAGTGAGGGCAGATTGGTCAATTTTGAGAGGATCTCCTTCCAAGAGACGAGCATCAGCAGGGACAATATCTCCCAATTTTATGCTAATCACATCTCCTGGGACCAAAATTGATGCATCTTGCTCACTCCATTTTCCATCCCTCAACACCTACAACATTAGATAGTCTGAAAACTATGTAGTAGAGAAATTTTCCTCAACATGGCAAATTTTACATGACTGAAAAAATTAAATGTGCTGCTACCTTGGTTTTGGGTGCAAGACCAGCCATCAAAGCTGCTGCAGCGTTTCCTGCATTGTTTTCCTCAATGAAACTAATAGTTGAGTTGATAATAAGCAACACTACAATTCCAGTGAAATCTTGCCAATCCGGTGGCTTGCCCTGTCACATTTAGCAGCTTTTGTCAGAGACTAAAATATATCAGGCACAACAGAAGGACATAAATATAATTAAGATTCGAGACATACAATGTTTAAAATTAATAAAATTTGTTTTCAAATCTTAAATCAGAATAGAGGATTGATGTTTTAAAAATGAGCATGTCGTTGTAAATATATTAAAATGATACAGTATATTTAATTATTATGATATTCATATTATAATAATAAAATAAATTGTATCATTTTAATATTCAAAGTTTTGTAGTATTTATCCATGACATGATATGATTATTGTTTTAAGAATTTAATTTAAATACATTGCAGTGTAAATATTTTTTATATTGTCATTTTATTATAAATTGTGATAACAACAACAATCATTTATTTTTATAATAATTAATATAAAAATTATATCTATAATATATTTTAATTGATTAACAATATAATTTTTTTATATATATTTAAAGTATAATAAAACCGATCTCTTATTTTTTAAAAATGGATTGATCGGAGAACAACACAACAATCTCAAGAGACATTAGATGAGAGAATTGTAATTACCCCACCATTAGCCAATACAATGGCCATGACAGCTGCTGCCTCCATAACCCATGATAGTGGATTCCACATAAAACCTAAGAACTTAAGGAACTTGCATTCCTTTTTCTCCTCTAACTTGTTAGGGCCAAAAATCTTGAACCTTTTCTCTCCTTCGGCCGTTGTCAGACCCTCTTTGGTACATTTTAGCTTCTCGAAGACCTCTTCAACGGGAATGTTTTCCTACACATATACAATGAATTAACAGCATGCCATGGAAAGGGAAGAACAAGGCTAATATATTGTAAACTGAAACAAACAAGTGGTGGTATTTATTATTGTTATAATAGATGAAGAGTATAATAAGAGGTTAAATTACTAATTTTTTTCATTACTGTGCAAAATCTTAATCATCAAACGATATATAACGGAGTTTCCTCCATAATATTCTTACTCAATTCTAATAGGATTGTATTTAAAATACGAAGAGAAGAGTATTATACTTACAAGATCAATATTCTCCTTCGTGAGGCCATCAAAAGAGATTTCCGAAGCCATGATGAAGGAAAGAAGGGTTTAAAATATTCAGCTCTTTCCTTCTTTTTTATTTTTTTAAATTTTATTTATCTGTCTACTTTCAGACGCTCTCTAAGCTCCTACTACCTACCCATAGGCAGGTCGAAAGAAACTGAGAACGAAGAAACCAGACAGTAGAAAAGAGAGATAATTTAAATATATAATTACAAGCCACCCTAAGGTGTGGCAGCAACCATTGTCTTGGTTTCCCTTCCATTTTATAGTGATGGAGGAGACACAAATGAGAGAACCTGTGATTGCCCATGTAATGCTGTAATTGTTGACCACTTGCGTGTTTGTTCGTGTTCCTCGGCGTTTGTCTATTATGGGTTGCTTGCTTTTTGTGGCTTACCAAAGTCCTCTGTTGTCTTTGGAGTCTTAAAATTTACGTAGTATGAGTTTCACCGGGTTGTTCAATGAAACTCAAATATATATCTCTCTGGTCCAAATAAAGATGATGCAAACCCATTTGATTAAAATATGCAAATTCAGTCTTAACCTTTGTTTTCTCATGACCAAAAACAAAACTTTTGTTTTCATTTATATTCATTTGTCTCTACACGTGAGGCTCTCTTGCCTATTTTCAGTAGTAACTAGACCTAATGCGGGAAATCCTGAACAAAAAATCTTTTAGAATTAACTTTGTCATAATTTATTAAAACACAATAATAAAATATAGATGTGATTAAAAATAATTAATTAATATACAAAAGACAATAAAATTTTGACAAATAAAAAAATATACTTTTAATCCTTTTTACAAGAAATAGCAATAAATAATTTTTATCTTAATTATAAGAAATAAAGACTATTTTTTGATGCATTAACTGCTAGATTATCTTTACAACACTTATCTATTCTTCGTATAAGTAAATATATTCAGTAATTTAATAAATAAGTCACCAATTTGGCCTTTAATATTATGCATATTTTTTAAATATAATTTAATTTTATAATGTATAATTATTTTTTATTATTCTTGATAAATTAGGTATTTGTTTTTTTTTATAAAAATTAATTACAGGAAGTAAATGTTAACAGTTATGCAACAATGAAATAAAATGACAAATGAAAGTGAGATGGAAATACCAAAACCAATAAATAGAAGAACAGAACATAATAAGTTTTTACTATTAGTTAATAAGTCACCAATAAGTTTTTCTTTAAGCTTTTACTATTAATTAAATTACTTTGAGTTTGTTCAATATGCCTATAATAGGTTTGGTTAGTTACAATTAAATTGATTTCTATCAAAAAAGAAGTTATTTAAAATGCTTGGAGCAATTTGGTTTGCTTAGGTTTGATTGAATTAGGATTTTTAATGTTTTGTGAACAGCCAGTTAGTAGTTATGCAATGGTAGCTAGTTCTAACATTCTCCAGTGGAACACAGTACGCAGATACTCTTTGTTGTTGTTTTATACTTTTAACAGTTGATAGTGTTTGTGGCGATCGTGATTGTAGTTAATCGTAATCTAAACAATTCAAACTTAAAAGAGTATGAAAAATTGTGGTTGTAATTTTAGACTCGTCATCAGTTTTAATTAATTTTAAAAAATATTTTTTTAAAAATTATAAATTAGTCTAAAACAAAAAGTTGAGTCCTAAAATCGATTGTGCATGTTGGAAATGGTGGAGACTAAACTCCACGGCGTCCTTAATGGTTATTTAAAATTAATTATACGAATTAATTTAAACATACTAATTTATCCCATCAAAATAAATAATAAAAAGAATAAAGCAAGAAATTAAACCTTCACGCAGAGAGAATAAGAACAAATATAAGGAATTACATTAGAAATATTATAAATTCATGAACTAAATATTTTAAAACAATAATAAAACATCAGTTAATTATTTATAAATTAAATGCGATGGACAAGACTAGTGTTTTAATTTTAGAAAAATGAATTAATAGTTTTAAAATAGTCTTACTATCGTTTCCCATTGATTCTAAAATCATAAAGCATGCTTCATCAAGCGGCAACTGACCCTATTGCCAGCTTAAACTGAAGATGTAAACCAATCTATATACCGTAGGCACGCCAGTGTAGCAGTTAATCTCACAATTGCTAAGCACGCCATAATACAAGTCACAGTTTCATCATAGTTGAAGAATCTGATTCAGATATTGACCAATTCAAATGTGAAATAAAAAGAAGGCAACAAATAAAAACTAACATCACAGTTTCACAGCAATAGCGAAAAAAAGGTTATGGAAACGCTCTTGAAAGATCCCTCTTGAGTGAGCATGACCAAATCTACAACATTTCCAAATCTCTCTGAACATTCTAAAGAACCAAAAGGTTTAAAATCCGAGTTTAGTGCGGCGCCAGTGCCTGCGCTTGGCGTTGTACCTGATGGTGTTGTCGGTCCTCATTCGGATCCAGTAAGGAATGGGTCTGTTCTGCCTCATCTTCTTCGCCAGCTTCTTCTTTATCCTGAAGGTCTTGTGGGAAGGCTATACCAAATCAAAACAGAACGTGTCATAATAAACAACGATTCAAATAACCATTCACACTGTGTCAATGAACAGAGATTCTTTCTTACCATTTTCGCTGCTGATTCTCGAACAAAGCTCAGAGCAGGTTCAACAGCTTCTCAATCAAACCCTACTCAGCCGAAGTCACCAACTTCTGAATCTTTTACCAACACGCTCGTGGGATATTGGGCCTGAGGCCCATCAAACCATTGGGCTACATTTTGTCCATTATTAGTGATGCAAATTAATAAACAATTTTGGGGGTTGCTTTTCTGATATAATTTTGATCGTTGAAAACATAACTTCTTTTCTGATATAATTTTAATCTTTGCAAATATAAATTCTTTTCTGATAAATATTTCCATTATAAAGCTTAACATGAAAGATTATCAAAATTTAATTACACGTTCCTCGAAAAACATTAATATTAAATAAAAATATTGCGTTTTTTCCAATTTTAATTTTGTCTCGTTAATAATATTTTTTTAATGATATTAATAATATAATTTTTTAATATATATATATATATATATATATCAAAACATAGTTAAAATTCTAATCATATTTTAGTTAATAACCTTAAATTATTTAAGTTAAATTTTTTCTTGCTTTTATTATATCGGGTGCCTCACTAGTCAATGTTAATTTAACATATTTGTAAACCTGCGCTAAATATATTTGTCAAAAGATAATATATAGAAAAAATTGAATTTTAGAATTATAAAGAAATAAGACCTTTAGCAATGAATTTTTTTTCTTAATTTAAACAATAGTATTTTAAAAATTCTCATTGAGTTGTACAATTTTTCCTGACTATTTAACTTTATTATTTTAATAAAAATAAAGAATTATTATTTGATTTATATATTTAAAAATAATTTAATTGAAATTTAAATCTCAATATATTTTATCAAATAAAAAATCCTTAATTTTTAAACAAATCAAAATTTAAAATCATGATAATCTTAATCAATCTTACGTAATTTTAAATTTTGAAATACCATATATTGATTTTAAGAATTTGTTTCTACAATTTTTTCTCAATTTTAAAACTTTTTTTTTATAATTTGATAAAATATCTGATATCAATAATAAAAATAGTAAATGTTCACTTTAATTTACTTTTATTCACAAGAGTATTATCATTTAAATTTAAAATTAGGGGCCCAATAGTTTCCTTTCTGGGTGTAACAAACAAAGGGGTAAAAATGGCAGAGTGACATAAATAGCATTATTTTTCAAAAAGAAGAATTTAAAAGACAGTGACAGAGAAGAGTTTGGCGCTTCATACCGTTCCATGCCGCGGGATTTCCATTTGCTAAGATATAAATGAAGCAGCGATATTTCCATTTCCGAAGACACAAATACAAGAGAGAGTTTGGTGCTTTGCTATTTCCTCTTCGGTGACCATTTTCATCCCTTCATCCATCGAACCATTTTCCCTCCAAAGATGCCTCGCCGCAAAGAAACACCAACCAGATCAATCCTTCCTTCTCAGTCTCGTTCCGGTACTTCTTCTTCTTGTCGCCTTCCCGCCAAAACCATAAGAGATTTCGAAATTAGTACTAATTATTAATAAACTAAAATGTGTTGTTAATGCAAATATTCTGATTTTCTTTTTCATTCTTGCCATATATTTCTTCTTGTTTACTCAGCGTCAAAGAAAACAGCATCAAACCATGTGGATCCGATTGATCGCTTATTTCAATCATACGCAAATATGTCATCCGGCATGATTGAGTAAGTGACCATAACATGTTGCAATCATCTATGCTTTTGCTATTCATATATAGTTGCGTGTTTGGATTCATGTGGAAACCATAACCTCTATATATTTTACATGACTCTCAAGATAATTCCAAACCCACATTGAGGGATTATAGGGTTGAATTGTGGCAGGAAAGATAAGGCCTTCTTTGCTTTTAATATGATTCCGCAATTAATGCAGCACTGACTTATGAATATTTTTGCGTTTTATCTTATTTACTTGCCCATACGGAGAATAATACAATAGCTTAACGTATTGAACGAGGCTCAAAGCAAAATCAACAGGATATAATTTTTTATGACACCCAAAGAAAGTTATTTCAGACGTTCATAAGGTTTAATAATAATCATATTTCAATTATTTTTCTTTTTTTTTTTTTGGGTGATATTATGATGAGTATAATATTATATATAATTTTTATTAAGAATTATCCATTAATAAATTACGATTTCAAGATTTATTTTTACATTTTGTATAATTTAATAAACTTATAGTTTATCGAAAATGAACAAACCAAACACATTTTTACTATTTTCTATTTTTAAAAGCAGGAAATTAGGTGCCAAAGTAAACATGTTTTCTATTTTCAAAAATTATGAAAATGAAAACAATTTTAGGAAATTGAAAATAAAATATTAAAATAGAAAATATTTTCTTTGCCCAGCCTAATTAATTAAGTGCTTGGATTGTTGGAATAGGCATCACTGAGCAAATGCTCATGTATGCGTGTTTGATAAAGCAATTCTGTTAGGCGTCACGTTTACTTCTGGTAATGTCCATATAACATGGCTATCTATTTCTGCATATCAGGAATATCAATTTGGATGATGTTAAACGGGTGGTGTGTTTATAAGTGGATATCTGTTTGTTCTTTTTTTTTTCTCTCCTCTCTTGTGACATGATGGACAATAGTAAAAGAAAATTTTGTTTGTACTGCCTCTCTTATTATTTATAAAAATTAAATATCTAATTCTTCAAGATTAATAAAAAATAATTATAGAAAATTATACTGTATTTTAAAATAATCATATTGATGGAAGTATATATTAAATGAATAAATATATTCATTTAAGTAAGTAGTGAGTATTTCATTAACATAAATCTCATAATAAGTAAGGGTATTAAAAAAATAATAATTAATGTATATAAAAAAAAAATATTTTTTATAATTGGGAAAAAATATTTATAATTATTTTTTATATAAAGGATCCAAGGTAGTAAATTTTTATATGATATCTCATCTCTCTTCCCTTTCTTTGGCCGGGCTAACGATCAAATTGGCAATGTTCTTGAAAACTTTTATCAACTCAAGGATTGGCAATGTACTCGTAAGATATCAACAACAGACATCAATTTGCACTCTGTAAAATGGATGGCTTTTTTCATTTGTGGAAGAAATATGCTTCTTGCTTACAAGAAATACTTACACATTTAGTCAAAGTTGACATCTGTCCAGGATGTAGGTTCATAGTGTGTTCTTTTCTACAAATAAATAATTAATGAAGTGGATGCACCGTTGATGTTATTATCTACAAAATGGATTTTTTTTTCTTTTCTGAAAGAAGTAAAAAACTTCAGAAAACCATAAAGAGATGCATGTTGTGGTCCTGAACTTGCTTTTCCTTCATGTTTAGAGCTTGTTTTTGCCGCCATCCATCCTGTTAAAATAACAGATGTAGTCGCTCTCAACCTTTTGCAATGCACTCATGAAAATTGTCTTTTGATGTATCATGTATCATTACTGAAAATATAATGTTGATCCGAGTCATCTGACTCTTGATATATAATGTTTTATTACTCATTTGGTTGATCAGGCCAGCAGGGATTGAAGCTCTTTGTAAAGATTTGAATGTGCACTATGCAGATATCAGGATACTGATTTTCGCTTGGTATGTATCATATTGTGAATTTCGTTTTCTTTACCTCTATCTAACTTATTTTTAATCTTTGTGATCATATTAGGAAAATGAAAGCTGAAACTCAGGGTTTCATTTCTAAGGTAGGCAGAGCATAACTTTACTTTCATTCTTTTGTTAATAATTTCACTGCTGAATATTGAATTGCACAATACTTATTCATGCATTATTAATTCGTCATCATCAATTCACTGGACACACAAGTATATGAATGGCTTGACACTTTTGATTGAAAATGGTAGAATACCTCAGGATATATTGCGTATATTTAGAGTATTTTTTTTATTATCTTTGAAGATCATCTGTGTCCTTCTCTTCTTCTCACTGACTTTGGGACACCTCCTCCGCGGCAGCCTCATCAGTCATCGTAACGGTGCGCAAGGGTAGAGGAGCTAGTAGGGATGGTGGTCTTAGGACAAGACTGCGTGGCCGGCCTAGGCAAATGCAACTGTCAATTTTAGTACAATAGACCACGTCGGTCACATCTGAAAGGACCTCACCGTCCTTCATCACACAATTATTGAGCCACTGAAGCTCGTACAAATTAAAGAGCTCACTCAAGCATGGTCTTAATAATCATCAACATATCATTCTTTCCACTTAAATCTCGTCTCTCTGAATTACGTACATTATAAAACGTTTATTAACCCGTACGTACATTCCTGTCAACGTGCACTTTTGAAACACTATCATGTCATCCTTAGTTGAGACTTGAGACATTTTGAATTTTATTATCATAATTTATTTAGTTTTTGGATATCATAGTAATTAGTAACCAGTTTTTCTGTAACCATGAATAGGATGAGTGGCGACGAGGCCTTCAATGCCTAGGGGTTGACCCAGTCACAAAATTAGGAAGTAAAATAGCTGGTCTGAAGAAAGAGGTATTTAATTTTTTTTATAAATTAGTGAGTGGATTTATTTTCTTGAATTCTTACTGTGATTAACCATTAACTATTGATGTCCTTCAAGATGATTTTTGGTGCTTCTAAGTTCTGTTTTTTCTTTGTTTTCTTGGTTAGATAATGGCGCCGGAGTCCTTTGAGGATTTTTATTCTTATGCATTTCAATATAACCTAATTGGTAAGTGTGGTATTTATGGTTTTATATTTCAATTATAATTCATATTTGCATGTTATACTGCTGCCTTTCTGTTCTCGCTCATCTCTTTTAAATGTATGCTCTTTCAGATGATAAGCAACGGACTATAGACATTAATTCTGCTTGTGAGCTGTTAAATATTGTTTTGAGACCCGCATTCCCTATTTTAGTCGATTTATTAGTTGACTATCTAAAGGTGGGTAACTGCTTATATCTTGTTTTATAACTTTACTGAATCTATGCTACTGTAGATAATCTAAATGTCAATAAGTGTTTATATATATGTTTTTATTACATTTAATTTATGCTACTCTAGCCTTTTGTGTATCATCTTCTAAGAAGCATATAAAGGTTTGCGTTATTTGGAGATAAAGACTTCCAATGGTATCCCGTTCGCTTACTAAGAATGTCAAAAAATAAAAAATATTTATTGAAATTTGGGATAATTATGAATTTCATGGAACAATTAAAAATAAAAAATATTTATAGTTCTAATATATATATTGTTTAATTGTATTTAATTGTTATTTCACTCCAAACACTACTGACGTTCGTTTATCAATATAGTGATATAAAATATCATTGGAGGATTTCATGGAATTTCTCTAATGTGAAAACATGTGATAGTAAAGTTTCTCCTGATTACAACTGGTGTTTTGCATATCGGTCATGTTTAGGCGATAGATGTTGATAAAAAAAGCCTTCGATTTGATATTTATATTTTGTTTACGTAAATTATTTTCTCAGGGTTTAACTATTTATGTGGCAGATCCAGAAGGACTTTCGGGCTGTAAACAGAGATCAGTGGACTAGTTTCTATCATTTCTTTAAAAAGGTAATAATTTTGTCCTCCTCTTTGCCTTGCAAGTTATTTAAGCAAACGGTGAAAATGGTAGTTTAGTCCTCTGAAGGGAATACCTTGTCCACATTTCCCTTTTTGATATTTTTTTATGAGCACTACTGATTCTATGCGGCAGTAACACCTATTGAAGATAACTCAATGCCCATTGAGTCGGATCAGACTTTTCGATAGTGTTGTGAACTTAGTTTACTTGGTTCCTTCCCCTCCTACAATTAACATTTGGTTTGTTAAATAAACACAAGAAGTTCATCTTAGCTGTTTCCGTATGTGGCCTTAAATATACGCATTATAATGTTAGTATATAGTTATATGGAAATAACAACATTAAAGTGAGAATTGTAAAGTGAGTAAGGGAGGGGTTATTTATCGTTAATTTAAATTGAGTATGTTATAAACATAATCAACCATAAATAAATGATAAATAGCTTCTTATTTTGTCACTTTATACATCTCATTTTAGAGTGGTCAAATCTATAGTGATACACCTGCGTTAATTTTGAAAAGTTCCATGCAGAAAAATGTTTGATCTTTTGTTGCTGCCAGGTAAACTGTGTATACCTTCTGAGTTACGACTCCAGTCAAGGCTGGCCAGTGATCATCGACAATTTTGTTGAATGGTTAAGAAAGAAGGAATAAAGTTTAGTTTTCAAGTCCCTCAAGTAGAATCTCAGTTCAACTTTTATCTACCAACTCCAAGCCAGAATACCGTTTTGGGCGGATTTTGCAGTTGTATAGATTGTTATCGGTATAATGTTTCAGCATTCATTTTGCGAAAGATGTTATTGTGATTGGCCATTTAGTCCTATGTAAGAACTTCTATAGTGCAGAAGTTATCTCATGTTTTAGTGACCTGGAGATGTTGCTAGCAACTCCTTTATTTCCTTTTTTGGCTTGGTTTCTCATTCTTTCAACAGGTGAAAGGTGGGTGAATCGTGAACACCCCTTCACTCTGAGAATATTATAAATAGGTGATATAAATTCGTATATTTTTCTCCTTCTATCTCTATGATTTTAAACTTACTAATTAAGATTCATTGAAAAAAAAAGAGAAAATGTCTCTACATACATAACGATTTTGGTAATAACATTTTCATGCTTTTCTTTTCTGTTTACTAACACTCCTGGCTAGAATTCAACTCGGAATCTGAATGTGGGGAAAATAATAGTGTATTCCTGCACCTAATTTATCCGTTTTCAAGGCTTAAAATCAATCATGAATCTACAACGTAGTTCCTTTTACCAAGTATTATGTTCAAGGCCTTTATATGATTAGATAGGCTGCAAGTAATAGTTGAAAGGTTGGCCACCTACCTTGGTTTTCAAAATCTTTATTGTGCATGTCTTCATTTTCATGACTTGCGAAGTTACTTAATGATTAGTGCCCTTAATTTGGACCGGTTCAGCTCATTTAGATTGATGTATTGTACAATGATATTTTTTGCTTATAAATTTGGGGGCTTATGATGCTAGTCATTTTGTTCTGGCTTGAACCAACAAGACTCCGTTAGTGATTAAACTAAAAGTGTTGGTATAAATATACATCATCAGTGATTTTATCATACACACATCATCACAAAACCAAAATATAAGAGTCTAATTAATTTCCCTATGATTTTCCACAAAGTAAAACAAAATAAAAATTAGCTGTTAGTAGTGTAGCTTATCATTACCATGATCAGATACATCTTTTTCATTCTCTTTTGACATGTTGTGACCTACCACGAGCAAGAACAAAACCTAATGATGTTACCGATCCCACCACGTAACTGGCTATGGTTCCATAGCTCACAGAAATAGGCCATTCCTACAAATTAAGATGAAATATTATGACCTTAATTCTACAAAACAACATAAAGAATGGACTACATTTGAAATGCAATCAGACAAATAATCGATCAATTATATTTATACTGCTATAACAACTTTACAGCTTTTAGGTTTGGCGAAAAAAAGTTAATGTTTCAAAAATAAACAATGCCACACAGATGAATCTGGTATCTTAAACTGTAATTGTTCCACTTTCTACATTTATATATGGTCTATATTTGTTTTAGTAGTCTAGATTCTGGACCAAAAATTAAATGAGAATACAATTACAAAAAGAAAAATGCAATGTTCTCAAAGGGCTACACAGCTGCTGTCTATCACACTGCTGAAAACTTTTCCCTTGCTGAAACAAACCTCAAAAGCATGGTAAGAAGAGTGGTTCTGCTTTCAGAAACAATTGATCATAAACTCTTGAGAAGGAATATAATGAAACATGTGCACTGATTAGACAAGTAAAATAGGATTGATAAAAGCGACAAAAAAAAAAAAATAGTGACAAGTGTACAAAGGATTTTGAAATAACATAACTGGCAAGAAACAAAAGACTAGAAAAGAAGGATTACCTGCCACGGCCTTTCCCAGTCAAGTGGCATTGGCCAAGCCCCAAACCAGGCCCCAATAACTGCTCCATGAGCTGGTAAACAAATTAAGTACTCTACAGATCCATTTGGCCTAAAAGTAGGATACGGATAACAATAATGTAATTAAAACAAATTGGAGTGATCAACATATAGCATTGTATTCTCCAGAACCCCAATAAAAGAAGCTTTACATAACCAAACATGGAAGGGATCAATAAACTATTAGCTAGAAGGAACATACTTTGTCTGCGCAAATATACGTTGCCAGTCAGCCCATGACGAACCAAGAACACATGATGCTGGAACGGTCTGCAATAGCACAAGATATGTGTTTATAAATGTACACAAACATGGGCCTGCAGTTTTAAAAAAATGTCTTTCTCGACAAATGTTGTAAGCTTGTAATTGATTCAGGGAAAAGGAAGAGGATTGATAAGAAACCTCCGAAAATTAATTTCACAAATTAATAATATAGTAGTGGGAGATCTCAATAATTGAAAATCTTCTAAGAAATAAAGATATGTTGGAATTTTGAACTAATATTGCATGTCTGAAATTTCTAATGGTAAAATTCACTGACTATCAATGCAATTTTCAAACAATAAAAACGGAAAAGAATATCGAGACATCCTAGTACAGAATATCAAGTGTTTAAATTGATGCAGAGACAGAGTGTATGTGAGACGAGTCCCACTCAAAAACATCAAAATAATCTCAAAGAAGTTGTAACTGAAAACAAGAGAAAATCGACAAAATAGTCACTCACCGTGAACAATGACATCATAAGAGACCAATTAACAGTCTTGGGAAGATACCTGTCTCAAGTAAATTTGCATAGTCACGATATGCTCTAGTTATGATAGGATCTGATAACACAATGTATATAGTTTGTTATTTCGATATGCATCAAATGTAAAATTAGATAATACCCCATGCTACTCTTATCCTATCTTGTTCTTATCCAACACTCCCATCCTAGGCACCAAACGGACCTTTAATCCTTTTTCTCATACATTTAGAGTTGTAAAGAAAAAACACTGTACTGTATAAACAAACTTATTTCACATACTGAAAGGTAACAGGCGCCCCCAAAGCAATAGCTCCTAATGACATTAATAGTGCCCCTGCAGAGTAATCAGTAATAACAATTAATACTCCACGAAGCAGTTATTAGTAAAATTAAATTTTCACCGGCATTGTTAGTCACTACCATTGCAAGAAAAGAAGTAGCAGAAGAAAAAGCCGAAGTCTGAACTAACCTATAGGCACTCCTAGAATACCTCTTCCAACAGCTCGCAGGTACTGCATAGACGCGAAAACAGAACACGATAAAAACTTAGAATAAGCTAAAATAAAACATAGAATCGCTCGGTTTCTGAGAAATTAAGGAACACACAGTACCGTGCATCGCTGGGGATTCTGTCGATAGCGACTGAAAAGAAGAATCACAATCGGTAGTTCTGTAATCTAAAAGACGCCGGAGAATGAGAGAATGAGAAAGAAAAAGGGGAATTAAGGAACCGAAAAGGGGGTAATAAAAAAATACGGTACCCAAATGATGAATAGTGTGAGAGATGGATCAGTGACAAGGTCGATGGAGTAGACACTGTTTGCGAGCCAGAATGCTAAGGCCAAGCCAAACACGCACAATCCGTTCACTATAAATGCCTCTGAAAGTGAGATTTGGGGTGATGCCTCCATTGTTGAGGCTTTCGCCGTCGTCCTTTTCTCACTGCTTTTCCGGCGATCCATGGAAGAGATCACCGCAACTTCCAATTTCGAATAAAATTTAAGCAGCCAAACTACAGAAGATCTCGCGGTTACGAATGGGCTTGGCCCAATAACACTAACATAAGTGGGCTTATGTCTGGGCTAAGATAACCGTGTTTGGAGGCATGTTTGTCAACAAAATAAATGATAAATTTATATATCATTTAAAATAAATGACGTGAAAAAATTATTAATTTCGTTTCTTATATATTTGGATTTTACGTATATTATCTTTCTTTATATTGTCAATCGATGGTGCCATTTTTTGCTTTTTACTGTTTGCTAATCACAATCCAGGTTCATAATTTTTCATTTTTTTGAAGACCTAATCAGAGAACTGTGTTTCCTTATACAGTTTTCATTATTCTCATTTTATACCATTTTTCTATTTCATCATTTATGACCTACCAACTCCTTTATTTCTACCCCTTTCCTCCTCTTATTTCTTATTGCACATGAGTATGTAGAGATATATAGGCATTCAACCAATTACCCAGGGACTTGTAAATCGAAAAATGACGACACATGAATACTTATTTTATAATTTTTCATTAAATATGAGATGAATCTATTTAACAATTCATTAAAAAGTTCTTATAAAAATATCAATTTTATATAAAAATAAAATCAATAAGTACAAACTGATAGTAAAGCGAACAAAACAAAAATGAACAAGAACTTGCATTTTAAGGCATTATTCTAGCAAATGACAGTAAAAGTTCTGATATGGATTATGTGGTAACGGCAAGTGGGGACAAAAATAATATAACTGAACCAACGCATAGTAAACATGAGAGGCATAAAATATGGAAGTTATTGATCAATGTGTATCTTATATATAATAAGTAGTAACTGCATTGTAAGTGTGAAACTTGTATTATTTGAATTTCTCTTCTGTTCTCTATTTTTTTTCTCTATCTCTTGGCCAATATCATGTTTGACTTGGATTTCTTTATTTCTATCTTACTGCATTACTACTTGTAATTTTCAGTACATAAAATATATCTGAGAAACTTTTCTCTATTCAGTGGATTATTTACAATTTATGTTTTATAGTAATATAACAAGTTCTGACTCCACTTTAAAGTATAAAATTCAAATGGTTGCTAAAGCAAAAGCATTGGTATGTTGTATTGAATGGTATTCATAGCAGTGTGTTAATTTTCTCCATCCCAAAGGTCAGAAATGAATTTTGCTGGTCCATTCTTGCTCAAGTGATGTTGCTTGATCTGATCAATCTTTTCATAGTCATCTTTTGTAAGAGACCAATCAAATATTTCCAAATTTTGCTTCATTCTATCCTTGTTGTAGCTTTTAACTGCGACAGCTAAACCTTGCTCGTACAACCATCTAAGACATACCTGTTATACCATAAAGGACTAGCTTAGTATTCGTATACACAAACAATTTTAATGATAATTGATAAGAAACAGATACATTTTTCACTAAAATCAGTAAAACGAACTGTTAACTTTTTTAGTGATATTATGGTAAAAGTAAAATGTATTACCAAGATAATTATACCGTAATAATTCATTATATATTTCACTATAAACTATATTTGTAATGTAATATGCATATTCTTAATTCCACATAATAAGAAGGATCCACAACTCCTTCAGTAATTTCTTTCTACATATGATTAATCATGCATAAAAAATTATTTAAAATGTTATAAGATATTTGTCAACCTTATTTAAGTTTCTTTACTATTTTTCTAATCATTCAATCATATTTGTAGTATAATTAATTATTTCATAAAAAATGTAACATATATATTTTTAAGTATTTTATTTTTAAATAAGTATTTTTTAAATAGTTTATTAATAAAAAATGATTCATTCAATAGACATCTATTGAATTTAATAACTTTAGTAAATATTTTATTTTTAATATATATATATATAATTTTTTTATAAATATTTTTGAAATTAATTATATATAATTATGTTTTCCTACCTAAAAAAATTATTATATATTATACTTTCCCTATTTCTTTTTATCTGTCACTTTTAAAATAAAATTTTTTGTTATATTAATTATTTTTTACTCATTATATCTTTAACATTAAATAAATAAATAATAAGAGAGATAAAAGAGTATAACGAAAATTCATATAATAATTATAATAAAAATAGGAATATTAAATTTATTCTTTAGTTTTTAATTATACTAAAATCTTTAGAGATATTTTAATAATATATTTTTAAACACTCTTTCAATAAGGTTGTATTTAATAATAATTAAAAAATAAGTTTTGCTCTTAATTTAATGAGTTTTTTTTAATATTTTTTAATTTTTAATAAATTTTAATTAGTAATTGAAAGCGTGTTAAAAAAATCATGTTAAAAAATGAACACGTAGCACTTCTCAAATAATTATAAATTAAAAAATATATTTAATGAATATTATATTAAAAAATTGTTATGAAGTGAATTTTACTTAATATTTTATCAATACAAAAATTTACATATTTAATAAGTATATATTATATCTAATAAATATAATCTTAAAAATATATTTAAATTAAATTAATAATGTATTAAATGTTGCTATGCATTAAATTTTAATCACTTATATGCATTTACTTTAGTACTTAATACTGTGATAATAATTTTTAATATTTTATTAAAATAAAATATCATACATTTAATAAGCATTTATCACAGCTTTAAATGATATTAAACTTAATAAATATAGCCTTAAATGTTATTTTGTAATGAATTATATTATATATATTTTTCATTTTTCTAACTTTACTGAGCACCAATATGTGAATTAAAAACTCATTTCCATTTTGCTAAGAAGGGAAGATAAAGTTAAAATTTGTTACCTGAGCAACCGATTTGCCATGAGCCTCTGCAATTTCCTTAAGCCATTGGTTGTCCATAACATTATTGGAACCCCAAGGAGACCCCTTCGCTCCCAATGGAGAGTAAGCAGTTATGATTATACCTTTTGCTTGGCAATACCCTCTCAGCTTCTTTTGTTGCCATGTAGGATTCATCTCAACCTGTTTGATGGCACTCAATAATCAATTGTCTAAATTGAAGAATAGGATGATATTTAATATAAGCTTATGTGCTTACCTGATTGACAGAAGGAGGAATAGACGCAAAAGATAGCAGATTTTCAAGTTTTTTGCAAGTGAAATTGCTGACTCCAATACTTTTTGTAAGGCCTAGCTTTTGACATTCCTCCATTGCTGTCCAAACACCCTTTAAGTCAAATGATGTTAGGGCCTCCTCAGGATAAGGAAATTCCCAATTTCCAGGCTTCACAGTAATGGGCCAGTGGATCAAATATAGATCCAAATACTCTAATTTTAGAGACCTGCATTGTATTTTGACCCACATAGTTGAGTTGATTCAAAGAGTTTATTATTCCTACAACATTTTTTTATATATACATTTTTTATTTTCATCACATTAATCATTATATGTTATACTTTTCCATGCAAGAAATATTATATAAATAGCTTGAAAGAATGAACGTTATATGTATGTAGATATATACAATGTGAAAAATTGAGGAGGTTTTCCTTACTGAAGTGATTTCTGGAGAGCAGGAAGGACAAGATGAGGATAATTATCGGTGCACCAGAGCTTGGAAGTGATGAAGAGTTCATCTCTGGATCCTATGAGACCAAGTTGAAGTGCTTCAGATATGGCTTCTCCAAGGGCCTCCTCTGTCCCATAAATTGAAGCAGTATCAAAGTGTCTGTAACCAAGTTTGAGGGCCTCTAACACTGCCTCTTTGGTGGCATCACTGATGGGAGGCACTGAAGCAGTGCCAAGTCCAATCACTGGCATGTTTCCATGGTTGGAGGAGGATTGGAGCACCACATTAGGGACTTTTGATGAGGACATGTTTTGGTGTCACAGGCAACTTGGTTTAGATTGAGAGGAATGTCAGGTTGAGGACAAGCAACGTGCATCTCCTTATATAGACATTAAATTGGATTAAGTTTGAATAAATATATCAAGCTCACTGTATTTTCTATGTAAAAATAACCACTTGTCATTGTCACAAGAGTTTTGAAGAGTTGTCTTAGTATCAAATAAGAAAATACAACTGAAAAAAAGTTATCACCTATGATGAAAATGTACAAAACGTAAACGATTGCTTATAGTTTCAACCTATTTAAAGAAAAAACGTAGAGTATGCAAAGATTTAGAAAATTGCGACGTACAAACGAAAATAAGCAATGTTCGCTCTTCCGTACAAAATATCTTGAGCTTGTGGAGTTTCTTAAAAATTTGATAGAAAAAACAAGTGTAAAATTTATTAAAAAATAATTTAATAAAAAAATGTACGTGTTTAACAATGTTTTTTTAAAAATAAAATAAATTTAAATTGTGATATAGTTGAATTTTTTAAAGAGGAAAAGTTTTGTAGTTTTAAAAAGAGTGGTGTGATATACATATATTGAGACCAGATGGGGAGAGAGTAGGTAGACAGATAGATACGCTGATAACTTTATTTCCGTTGCGGCTAAATTTTTTAAATTACATTTTTTAAGAAAATATTTTCAGCAAATTCTCAGAAAAGAAAAAAGTTTTTAATGATATAAAATAAAATTATTATATGTATATATATAATCATGCACTTAATTTATATATAATTATTCACACACATTCTCATTTTATAACTATTTTATTTTAATTTTTTAAAATCTTTAAATAAGCATAAGTTTAATTAATAGTGTTAATATTTTTTTTAATTATCATAGAAAGTAAGAAAATATTTTAAAAAGAATCATTAATATTTAAAAAACAATATTAAAATCAAATATGATATTAAATTTTTTTGAGAATTATTAAATAACATTTTAAAGAAATTTTCAGATATATTAAACACATTTTTGACATTATCAAGAAATAAAACTCTTAGAAAAGATAATTCGTTTTAAATTCCATACACCAAACACTCCCTTACAGTGAGAATTTAATTCATATTCATGATTCATCCATGTTACTGAATCCAATTATATTTGGTAAAAAATTACTTTTAGTAGAATATTTATATGATTTAAATTATTCCCCTAGAGTATTGATTTAATTCTTTTTTTGTAAATAAATATTTTATGTTATTAACTTTTTTGTCCTTAATATTTTTCTTATCTAAATTACAAATACTTTTTACTTGAGAAAATTAATTTAGCACCATCCTTTATCGCTTAATTATAGTGCTTAGTGGTTAATTTTTGTTATTTTACATGTAATAAGATTATTAAAAATTATGAAATTGTAATATCATAAGTGAAAAAAATTAATGAAAGAAATAAAACTTATCAATAATGAGTTATTTTAAATGAGAACATTTTCATTACTTGATTATTTTTTATTATTTCATATAACTTTTCATGTATTAAATATTTATTTTATAATTTTATTTTATTTTATGTTTTATAATTTTAAAAATTTTATCTTGCAAATTTAATCTTACTTGATAGAGGTTATAGCAATTTCTCTTAAATTTTTCAATCTAATCAGGAGACAGTATACTTTGACATTATTTAATATTCTTTTATCTAAGAAATTCTTCCAGTCCAAATGAAAAGTAAAAAAAATTCTTGTTTAATTTATAATTAAAATATTTATAATTTTTTAAATATATAAATTTGTTAAATTTAAAAATAATCCCAAAATATTTTTTTAATTTTTTGTTTTAAAATATATTTTAATTTAATAATATTCATACCATGAGCAAGACTCCTTAAATCATATGAAAGTATTAAATCACCAGTCATTTATTATTTATAACAATCTTGATTAATGAAATTCACATAAAAAATATTTTTATCATCAAATAATCAGGTGAATATTTTCTTATTTTGGGCCTAATTAATTTAATGAAATTTTTTAAAAATTAATTAAATAAAACAATTTATAGCTCAAAGGATTCGTTATATGATTATTTTCTAACTTTAGAAAGAAGCAAAATATAAATTAAAAGCATATCAGATAAAAATATTCAAAATTAAAAAGGACATATTCATAGTCAATTCAAATAAATAAGAACAAAAAATAGCAGATCCAGCGTATTTGATTTTAATTTTTTAATAAAACTAATTTACAAGTGAGATCAACGTATTTACAATTGATAATTTAAAAACAAAACATGAAAGAGAACTAAATGATGAAAGTCATATATCAAATCAGATTTATTTATTTATTATTCCTTTTAAACACTATTAATTATATTTAATTGTTCTAAATTTCACATTTTAGTATGCTATATCAAATTACAAGCATAATTTTTAGATAAAATAAACTTTAAGATTATTATAAATTTAATCATTTTTATTTTAATGTTTTAATTTTGCAGACAAAAAATAAAATAAATAATGTGCTTTGCTTCAAAAATGTTATTTTTTTAATTTCTTCCTTATTTTTTAGGAGATGTACTAATTTTTGTCACGTCTTTTTTCTTGAGACTTTAGAATCATCTGAATTTACACACTTGACAATAGATTATATAGTTTGTCCATATTTTAAACTTGTATTATCATTAAAATTATCAAGGCCTATTAGACATTCTTAGTTCTAACATAAATTAAAGAGAACAAGATTTTTATTGACTTCTTCAAATGACTACAATGACTAAATTTGAAAGTATAAAATTCAAATTTTTTGATACTTCAAATTATGATATATCTAAGTAGATTAAATTTGAGGTGAGGTCTGGCCTGATTTTGAGGATAGTTTATAGGTGCGATCGCTTAGAGCCCAAATTTAAAACAGGGCTCAAAGTAAAAATCGTGTCCTACTTTTACTTGAAAAAAATTTCAGCTCTTATAGTTTGCAGTTGAAAAAAGTAGAAAAAACATAAAAAACTTTCTAATTCCTCGCATTTCACTTGCTATAAACGTTCGACTTATTGACTTTTAGAAACTTAAAACTTCATTTAATTATAAAATTTTACTATTCTTAACATTAAAGCTCATGGAGAATTTTAGTTTTCTCTAAAAAAATTAAACAGTTGTTGAGTTTGTCAAATCTTCAGATTGTTATCTAAATATTTTAATCACTTATAGAATTTATTTTACGGTCTCAGTGATTATATCATGAACTGAAAGAAGTTTTTTAGAGTTAAAGTTAATCAAAACCTACCTAAAGTTATCAATGTCATAAATACGTTGAATGATCTTATAATTTTATCAATCGATAAAGAATTTTTAAAAAAATATTAATGTTAATGTTATCATTAATAATTTTACATCTTAGAATATTTATAAAAACTATTTTTTTATGATTTTTTGTATTTTTGTAGTTAATTATAATACAAGAGTTGTTTAAATGAAAAATATTTTTTCTATAATTTTATTAGAAAAATTATAGCCACTTAAAAAAAGTATTATTTTAATAAAATTATTAATATATACTTTTATTTTATTTATTACATTTTATAATTTTTTTAAGGGACTCTAATTTTCCATTTTACCTGAGGTTTCAAAAAGGTCAATAACGATCCTGAGTGAGACCAAAACCTTTTGCAACGATGTTGTGAATAACATTCGTGGAGAGTGTTAATTTTCTCCATCCCAAAGATCAACAATGAATTTTGCTGGTCCATTCTTGATTGAACGATGTTGTTTGATCTTGTCAATCTTTTCGTAGTCATCTTTTGTAAGTGACCATGCAAATATTTCTAAATTTTGCTTCATTCTCTCTTTGTCGTAACTCTTAACTGCAATTGTTACCCCTAACTCATACAACCATCTTAGACATATCTGTTACACCAGAAGGAATTGCGTTAGTGAGGGCTCAACAATAGGAAGTAGATTGGTAGGTAGCATAAACAATTATTAATAATAATATACTATGTCTTGTTTATAATTTTATTAGTTAGCTATAAGCTATGTCTTGTTTAAAGTAGTGTTTAAATGTTTATCATTTATTGAAATTTTTAAATTTACAAATATCTCAAGAAAAATAAATAGCATTTTTTCCTTTTCACAAAATTACTTGATTACTTTGAATCTTAAAAGCAATTGCATTAAATCTCCATAGAAGATTTCTGCCTTTCTTTGTGGTTCTACTTCACTTGAAACGAAATGAGATGGGTCAAATCTAGAAAAGATACTTGGATAGATAGCTTCCACACGTTAGTCTTTCAAGAAATAATCTTTTTTAAAGATTTCTCGTTAAAAAATGTCTTTTTTCTGAGATAAATTAAACCAAATAAAATTACTTAGCTGCATCTACATGATCATTAGTGCATTTTGTTTTTAGTTTTAAATTTCCTAAGGATATTATTTTGCTTCACCAAATCACCAAAATGTGAACTAAATACACATTCAAAAAGTTTTACCTGAGCAACTGATTTGCCATGAGTCTCTGCAATTTCCTTAAGCAATTCGTTATCCATAACATTACTGGAACCCCAAGGGCACCCCTTTGCTCCCAAAGGAGAGTATGCAGTTATGATTATACCTTTTTCTTGGCAGTATTCTCTCAGCTTCTTTTGTTGCAATGTAGGATTCATCTCAACCTGTTTGATTGTTTTTCAGTAACCAATTACAATTATGGTCAAGTTTAATTGGTCTAGAGAGGAATTCTAATAATTAATTATCTAACACACTTTTTTTAATACACTTCTATCATTATTCATTAAAATTTATTTAAAACTATAAAAGTACGAGAGAAAAATATTAAATTAACAGTAAGAATCATATAATTTTTGTAATTTTTAAATAAACTTCAATAAAAAATAGAGAGTATGTTGCTAAATCATCTTTAATATCAGCTTACAGACTTACTTGATCGACAGACGGAGGAATAGTGGCAAATGAGAGCAGATTTTCAAGTTTTTTGCAAGTAAAATTGCTGACTCCAATACTTTTTGTAAGGCCAAGTTTTTGGCATTCCTCCATTGCTATCCATACGCCCTCTAAGTCAAATGATGTTAGAGCCTCTTCAAGATAAGGGAATTCCCATTTTCCAGGCTTCACAGCAATGGGCCAATGAATCAAATAAAGATCCAGATATTCTAATTTTAGTGACCTGCATTAGTTTTGACCCCACATATTAATATTTGTGTTGATCACTAAAATAAGATGTGTGCATTATAATTGTTTTTTGTTTCTTATAACTTTTATTTAATGAAAATTAAATTGTTAATATTAATATTTTAAGTCTATTATTATAATATTATGTTAATATTTGATATATTGACATATATATCAATTTTTTATACTAATTAGAGTTTTTATACTACTATATTTTTAGATTTTAGTGAACACTATTATTTTCATCAATTGAAAAACTATTCCCAAAACATAAAAATAAACAAAAAGTTTTTTAAAATCTAATTACTCTGAATAAACTCATGGTTAATAGCTCACACACGATGTCATATATGAACAAGAATAATGATTGCACATTAATTTATTTAAAAATAATAATAAAATGTTTCATATATGTTTAAAATCTAATAGAAAGCAAATATTATCTTCATATTTTTGTTTCTTTAAATAATAATTAAATAATTATTATCTACTTATGTATTATATACTACAGTCGAAAATGATCTCATAGGATTTAAGAACAGATATTGATAATGTTAACTAATAATAATAATAATAATAATAATAAACAGAACTAAGTTGGTTGCTCGCTTTCATACTTTCTAACACTACTTATAAATTGATATATGTAGTCTTAAAAATTGTTGTTTAATCTCATACTTGTAATAATAATTTTTAAACAGTAATGTTCTTTATCTTTCCTTTTGAATAACTTACATGTTTATTAAATTTAATATCTTTTCATTTGCAATAACTTGCAAGTTCATTAAATTATGCTTTAGATGATTTTCAGGATATAAATCGGTACTACAGGCTTGAAAAAATGACTAAAGTTGGTGAACTATAATATCCTAAAATTCATTAAAAATGAATAAATTAATAGTAGAGCTACTCAAAATTGTAAAGAGGGTAATAAAAAAGAAAAGTATAAAAATATGAAGAGTGAAAATAGAAGAGAAACAAAATAAATTATATACTTACGAGTTATAAGCTAGCACAAATAAGTGTTATTTGCCATTTAGTCAAACAAATTGATAAGTTGGTAAATAAGTTAAAAACTAACTTGATATTTAACAGTAAAACACACTCATATATGTATGCAGATAACTGGTCCTTACTGAAGTGTTTTGCGGAGAGCAGGAACAACAAGATTAGGATGATTATCAGAGCACCAGAGCTTGGAAGTGATGAAGAGTTCATCTCTTGATCCTATGAGGCCAAGTTGAAGTGCTTCAGATATGGCTTCTCCAAGGGGCTCCTCTGTCCCATAAATTGAAGCAGTGTCAAAGTGTGTGTAACCAAGTTTGATAGCCTCTAACACTGCCTCTTTGGTGGCATCGCTGGTGGAAGACACCGAAGCAGTGCCAAGTCCAATCACTGGCATGTTTCTATGGTTGGAGGAAGAGGATAGCACCACAAGAGGAACTTCTGATGCAGACATGTTTTGGTGTCACAAGGCACTATTGCAGGTGTGCTTGCATTGGGTAGTGGGATATTTGTAGTTGGTACAAGACAATAAACCATGCACCTCCTTTTATAGATATCAAATTAGTTTACATTATATAATAAACAATATTATTATGGTCAATGCTAATATATGCACGCACTAATTAATATTTTTTGTCAAAAAGATTAACATGTTTTTATGATTATTAGTATATAACTTATTTTTAATTCCATAATTAATCAGTACCCTTTTATAGAATGCCCTAATCATATTTGCATATGTCAAAGTTTAATAGAACTTTTTACAGTCAGATATTAAAGACACCACTTTTAGCATATCCTATTTTGTAAGGATTAGCCAATTCCACTAGTTCAGCCCAAATGATCTTTTTTTAAAAATAATATTTAAAATGATTTCTTTTCTTTGTGAAATGCTTTTTGTTACCTTTATATTTTAAATGTGAATTGTTATTCTCAAATGATAATATTTTTAGTATTTATTTTAAATTAGAGTGTTTTTAAATATTATTTTTTCATTCATTTTAAATACTGTACAATTTATTTTTTAAATTGAAAATGTTATTTTTTTTAATTTGGGTGTATTTAATATAATTAAATATTTATAATTAATGATTATAATATTTTTAATTTATTAAATTTAATATAATTATATAATATATATATATATATATTTAATCTTTATTTAAAAGGTTATTTTATTTTTATAATATGCAAATAGTACACGTAAAATTCACTAATATAATTTAATTAACGATGAGAAAAATGAACACCACAAACAACCTACGGTCATGACTCCGTTTGAAAATGACTAAAGATTTTATTTAATCGTCACGATGACGTTAATCACATTCTAAAATTGAATGATCATGTCAAACGAAGATATTTTGTGGTCATGTAAGGGATGGAAACAGGCCAGACCAGGCCAGACTTTACTCTAAACAGACCTCCTGTAACATAATTATTAGGCCTAAGCCTGACCTGTTACCTGTTAAAGACTTTATTTTAGGCCTGGACTGACCTGTTTAAGTGGCCTGACCTGACCTAAAGCCTGTTAACAAAGCTTGTTGAAAAAAAATTTAATATTAATAAAATTTATATTTATATTTATTTATTTATTTTTTAAAATTATATAAATAGTAAATATTTTAATTTTATTTTAGAAACATATTTTGTTTATTTAAAGACATCTTATATTCAACAAATAAAGTTATAGTAAATACATAAAATTGATAAAAAAAATAACATTCACACAGTTTGTTGAATCAATTAAAAGAAAATTATATGTTTTAAAAAAATAAATTTAAACTTACTGCAATTATATATATATATATATATATATATATATATATATATAATGACATTAATAATAACTATTAAATTAAAAAAATAATTACAAAAAATAACACTTATAAAATTTATTGAATCAGCTAAAAAAATTATTATATTATAAAAATTAAATAAATATCATCATTATAAAAATTGTAGATGATAAATACTTATATTATAAAATTCATAGATGAAGAAAAATAACATATGAGCATAGGAAGAATTATTAAAATTTATATTTAAATTAAAATAACTTATATTTCTAAATTTTTATCTTAATTAAAAAATATGTGATAAAACTTAATATAAAAATTTTAACTTAATGTACTATATATATAAAATAAAAACAATAATAACTATTAAATTAAAAAATAATTACAAAATATTTAATTTTATTTGTCTCATTAATTTTTTATTTTAAATTAACAAATAAATGTAAAATTAACTACACTATAATATTAATGTAATATAGAAAATATTACTGATACAATAAATTAAAACACATACTTATAAATTACATATAAATTGATAAATTGACTAATAATTTAATTAAAACATGTGCAAGTTATAAAAATATATATTATTATATAATTTATTTATAATTATATTATTTGTTACATAGTCTGATATTATATATATATATATATATATATATTATAATATGTTTTTTATTTTATTTTGTTATTATTTTTTAATAAATTTTTACTTTGAAATAAAATATAATTCATATTTAAGCAATCTTTATTTATTATAAATAAAAAGAATTATAACATAATATATTAATATAATAATTAAATTAATAATAATAAAATTAAGAGTATAAAAAATATATTAATATAATTTTATTATTTTATTTTTAAATTTTATTTCGTTTAATTTTGATTACGTCTTATTCATGTTCAAACACTTAACTATTTTTTAAATTGTTCAAATATAATAATAAATAAATAAAATTATAACATAATATATTAATTTAATAATAACAGAATTAATAATATAAAAATATATTATGAAATAACTTTATTATTTAAATATATTTTGATAGCTCTATTTTTAAATTATAATATATATATATATATATATATATTTATACAGGCCGACCTGTCAGGCTTAACAGGCTTTATAAACAGCTCAGGTCTGACTTGTTTACTTAAACAGACTTTGAAAAAGGCTTGCGCCTGATTTGTTTATTAAAAAGGTCAGGTGACTCAGGTCAGGCCACAGGCCCCTGTCAGGCGGCCTGACCTGTTTTCATCCCTATGTAAAATAAAGCTATTTACACACTAAATTTTTAATTATTTAACACACCTCTTAATAATAAATTTCAAAATAGGGAATCAAACCTTTTATTATCAACTAGCATTTTTCCGTATGAGTATTGTTAAATTAATTTTTTTAAATACATAATTAAAGATATATTATGTGATTATTTTTAAATTTAATATTTTATTAAAAATATAATATAATAATGATTAACAAAAAAAAAATTCTGTTATATTGAATAAGCAAAAAATTAAATATTGAAATATTAAAAATTAAATATTTAAATATTTAAATTAAAAAAATATTAAATAAAAATAAATACATAATGTAAAAATTACTTGTTATGATAAAAGAAAAATTATAAAAATAATCTTGTTTGGGATTCCTCTTAAAAATATTTTTGTTTAAAAATTCTCCTGACTATGTTATTCTATAATTAATATCACAATTTATATATCAAGGCGCCAATATTTATTTGTTCATTGTATATATAATATGATCGATTATAATACAAAAAGTCATTTCATTCAATTTTATAGATTATCTATTGTGTTATTTCATAAATTTAATTTTAAATATAGATTTTATATAATTGAATGACTTCTGAAAAAAAAAGTATAATTATATCTAGCCACTACAATAAAAAGTACGTTTTATAATTATAATTGATAAAAGTAACTCCTAATTTTTATAAAATCTATGAAAATAAAGCACTTATTATATATATTTAAAAAGTTAATTTTCTTAAAAGTTAAAACAAATAAGTCCTTAATCCATAACGAATTAAAATAAATTAATTTTTTGGTTTTTACTTTTTAAAAACATAAATATTTAAACTTTTAACATTATACATGCATACATGCGTATATATATCTGCCTAAAACTAACTTATAAGTTTCTTTCATCTTCATCCTTTATTTGATCTTTCATTTTCATCTTTTAGTTTGTTTTCTTCCATTTTAACCCATTCTCATCACTTTCTCTTTTATAAGAGAATAACATACTCCATTCTTTTTTCACTTTATCTGTTTATGATCGTTCCTGTAGTAAATAGGACACTATTTAATCTCAATAATAAAAGAAAGAATCTGAGAACTCTTTTCGAGTACCATCTCAGTTAAATTAAAAATAAATTAAAGAATAATTAAATTAATTAGGGTAAATAATTATATCATTATTTATTTAATTGGAGAGTCAAAATTAAGGGTGACTCACAAAAAGTCCATTAGCTTATAATACTGTATATAAAAAGAAGATAAAAAATACAGATAAATATAGTTGACTTTTAAATATTTAATAATATATATTACCTAAACTAATATCTGACTTTATTATTGGAGTATATTTTGCAAGTACACTCTCCTTATATTAGACAAAAGAAAAATTAACAGTATTGATAAGGATATCACTTTATTCCACGACATAAGAGTATCCTGAAGATCAATATATATTTATTAGGAACACCATTTATGTCCTAAGAAAAGAAGTTGATTTACTTGAAAGCGTCAGAGCTTAACGCTTTGATCGAGATCGAGGGTGAACTCAAAAGGAGGCTTAAAGCACTCATCCTACCACTTTTACCTCTTGGTTGAATTGGGTTCAATAGTCATGATTGTAAAATGTATTGTGCGAAGCCCGAAGTGAAGGGTACTTGTTCAAATGGGTTAAATGTTGTTGAGAAGTTGATGCAGTGATTGGACTTTGAAAAGTAATTAACACTTGGATTACCGGAGAATTTAAAAGAAAATTTCTCAGTTTGAACCGAGTAGTAGTTAATTAATAGAGTAACTATTTTTTTTATCACTTAGACTAATTTTTTGGAATTGACTTAGTTTTACATAAGTATAGAATTAAGAGACTAGAATAATTAGTTAAGTCGAATTTAAAAAATTAGTAAATAATCTCAAGTGGCTTATTTTTGTAATAATATACTTAGTTGGCCTTAGTAAACAAATTATAATTAAGAAATTTAATAAATTAAGCCCACTTAATTAAGTAAGGTAAGAAGTAGAAGTCTTAGAACTAGCTATAAACTTAGATTTTTAATTAACTTAAGCATTAAATAGCACTTAAGTGAGCTTAAGTATAATGAATGAATAAATGAAATCTAAAGATCTCACAATTCACGTAAACAATATAATAAAAAAACTATTCATAAATGCAAAAAACTATTAAATTAAAAATAAAAAAAATAAAACTTTTATAATTTTTGATAAAAGAAATAATTTAAAATGTGTTAAATACCGTTGCTAGTATTTTTGCACTATTCATAAATTTCTTGATAAAGTTTGGAGAAATCCTACTTCTGTTAATTTTATAGAGTGAGTTTAAAAGTTTAGCTAACGTCCGAAAAATGTATTATTAATTGCTGAGAGAGTGGATTTTGTTGGTGAGAAAGAAGAAAATGGTTCGAGTGAGCAACAATTTGATAGGGTTACTGAATTTTCTGACCCTTCTTCTGTCGATTCCGATTCTGATAACTGGCGTGTGGCTGAGTAAACAAGTCAACACCGACTGCGAAAGATGGCTCGAGAGACCCTTCATTGTGTTGGGCGTTTTCCTTTTGCTGGTGTCCCTCGCGGGTCTTGTGGGCGCGTGTTGCCGTGTCTCATGGCTCCTCTGGCTTTACCTTTTCGTTATGTTCCTTCTCATAATCGTTGTCTTTGCCTTCACCATCTTCACTTTTGTTGTGACCAATAAGGGTGCTGGTGAAGCCATTTCCAATAGAGGCTACAAGGAGTACAGGCTCGGTGATTACTCTAATTGGTTGCAGAAGAGAGTCAACAACAGCCACAACTGGAACAGGATTAGGAGCTGTCTTCAATCAGGAAAACTTTGCTCTCAGTTCCAAGCCCAATTCGCCAACGACACTGACCAACAATTCTATGCTGAAAACTTATCCGCACTTCAGGTTCTTTAAATGCTCATTCGCTTCGTTGAAATTATGTTTATTTCCTCTTTTCATCATAAAGTCTGCATTTTTATTTGACTTATTTTATTGGAAAATCGAATTCAACTAATATTTGAACACTAATTCAAGAACGAGAAGTTTTGCAAGGGAAAAAATGTACTTATTGCTCGGATCAAGCTTGTGGGCATGAGGGGTGTGCGTGTAATTTTATATTCCATCTTTTCCAGAATAGAATACTTTCCGATTCATTTCGTCAATTTTTTAAGGTGTCATGGATGCATGCTGGTGTTGTGAGGCTAAAAGGTGAATTGCTTTTTATTGCTTTTCAACTGCACTTGTGTTTCCAATTAGTTGTCTTCGGTTCCATGTGGTGCATGGGTACGGTTTTTTTTTTCTTTTTTATTCATGACTTGTATGGTTTTCATAAATATTCTTGAACCTTCTGAACTGAGATTACCACTAATTTGCTATGAATGTGAATAAATGTGTCAATAAACTGCAATTATAATCCCTTGAATTGATTATGAAGTATTAATAAATTTGCTTTGGCATATATGTTTGAACAATTGATTAAGCTGTTTGATTCTTAAATTGGCTACGAAGTTTTGAGGTTTTGTTGTGTTGTGGTGCAGTCTGGGTGTTGTAAGCCATCAAACGATTGCAATTTTGTGTACGAGGGTCCATCTAAGTGGAATAAAACGGAAGGTGTGAATTATTCCAATCCTGATTGTAATGCTTGGGATAATGACCCCAATGTTCTGTGCTTCAATTGCCAATCTTGCAAGGCTGGGTTATTGCAAAACCTTAAGACTGATTGGAAGAAGGTGGCTGTTGTCAACATCATATTCCTCGTCTGTCTCATTATTGTGTATTCTATTGGTTGCTGTGCATTCAGGAATAACAGGAGAGACAATTGGAAGTACTAGATTAGATGCAACATGTGCATCTGCATGTACATATATGTTGTAGTAAGTAGTCAAGCAATTTGGTTTCTCTTATGGATTCTATCTTTGTATGTTATTTGCATTGTAAATTGTCAATTCTAGATAATTTACAGTTATTTATTTGGTTGTTCCTTCGCCCCAACACCTTTGTATTTGCCCATTGCTGAATACTCCTCACCTCAACAACGTCTGTTGATTGTGTTTAGTGTGTTAGCCATGGCCACGTGCATGCATTAAGTATTGGAATTGTATCATAAGAAACGTTAACGATATTTCTTTTAAATGGTAAAAAGTAATTTTCCTTTTCTCTTATTTACAAAATCATTTTCCTTTTATCTTATCTGCTTGGGATAGGAGTGTGATGTCTGAAGATAAGGAAATCTATTAAGAAAATCATGAATGTCATCTCAATTTTGTGTAAAGGTTCAAAGAAGAGAGGGACTAAAAAGATGAAAAAAAATGAGAATTGAATATACTACAAGATAACACGTGTTTTGAAATAATGATAACTTAATGTCATGGTCTGCCACTTGTTTTCACCTTTCCGTCGTATAATCATGTCTATAATTTTGGCGTAGATATGAAAACATGGCTGAGGATAGAGATAGACTGTTATGAGATTTAGTTGTTCAAAATTGTTTGTGATGAAATGGGTCACGGGTTTTTACTTTATAATCAGCATCAACAGAAGGTGATTTGAGTGCGATACTGTTGTTGCAACTCAACGAGCCTTGTGTGGGAAACATGGCATCTTGGCCTTTAAACAACGTAAAATGAAGCACTGCTTTACTACTTTTAAGGGTCGTTGTCATGGCTTTGAGTGCGCCCATGCTTGCCTCCATCACAGCTATTCATGTCCCAACTCAACTACTACTTGTTTTGTGGTAGATGGAATCTTAAAAGTAAGACTTTTAAATGTGGCACTATTTTACTTTCTGATTTTTAATCATTGGAAATTATTTTTTACCACTCTTTTTAATTTTCAAATGATAAAATAAACTAATTGTATTAGTCTCGATACTTATTTTGAATTTCATAAAATAGTATTTAAAATAATTTATTTTTTAAATTTTATTTTCTTGAAATAATAATATTTTTTATTAAAAATTATTAATTTTAGTTGCATAAAATCAACCATTAATATTAAATAAATATTTTTAAAAATAAAAAGATAATTAAGAAGGTAATGAAAGAGCGGTTAATTGGTGAAAAAGATGTAGCCTTTTTCACTCGCCAGGAGTTTAAAGAAAATGACTCATTTTTTCAGAAAAATTAACGAAATATATAATATAAATAAATTAATATTTATTGGCATTTATTATACAAATACGAACATGAAAAAAAATTGAAATCTAAGGCAATAATCTCAGTAACCTTATGATTACCCGATCCGAATATATTAATATATTCAACGTTCGTGAATACGAACATTACCTTTTAAACGTTAAAGGAAGGACAATTATAGTCACAAAGAGAAAAAAACCGAAGGAAAGTTATTCGTGCTAACAATTTTACAATACTATCGAGCCACAGCTTCAGAGATTGATGCATCGTTGACTGAACATTTTTCTCGATGCATAATAAATTCATTCGGAGCTTTATTTGTTGAAAATGCAGGCCTTTTGGGAATTGTCTGAATATTGTCATTTTTCAACATTGAAGAAATTTCCTTCACAGAGGGTCTATCATTTGCATCTTCTTGCACGCATAATAGAGCTATTTGCATGCACTTTAATAGTTTACATGTTGAACTCATGTCATCAAGTGAAGGGTCCGTAAAATCCATGCCTTTCCCTTCTTTCCAAAGCTCATAAGCCTAAGAGAGAAAAACAAACTGTTGTGTATAAGAATTATTCATCATGGACTCTTCCAATAACCAAAAGCAACTCTACACTACTTTTACCAAAAGTATAGATTTTACTCACATACTCCATAAGGTTTAAATTTTCATGTTCACCATAAAGGCATGCCACCTTCCTACCACTTACAATTTGTAGAAGTAGAACCCCAAAGTTGTACACATCGGATTTAGTAGAATACAAGCCTTTCATAACATATTCAGGAGAAACATAACCACTGCATCAGATGAATAAAACCAACATGATGGATTACTAATTAGATGTATAGAGAAGAATGTAGAGGAAATTTCAAATCATGAAGCTTCAATAAACTTACTATGTTCCCACAATTTTGCTAGTGTTTGCTTCATGTTTGTCTTTTCTGAATATCCTTGCCATACCAAAGTCTGAGATTTTTGGTTTCATCTCACTGTCTAACAAAATATTGCTAGCTTTTATGTCTCTATGGATTATTGTCAATCTAGAATATTCTTGTAGATAAAGAAGCCCCTGAATAATTCCTTCAATGATATCTATGCGTTTTCCCCAATCCAGAAGGAACTTCCTCATAGGGTCTGTGTCAAAATCACTTAACTGTTAGCGGAAATTCCTTTGATTGTACCGAAATGGTTCAACAAACTACAATTGGGGAATTTCATATCATGGGTTCTAACTCAGTCTTTTGCTGTTCAATGGTTAATTGTGATCAATTTGATATTTTCATAGTCTTTTAATTATTGTATTTGAGGAGGATCCACTAAAAGTCATATAAAGTTTGTAATAGATGTAAAATTAACCATTTATGTGTCTTCATCTAACATATTAAACATTTGGATTATTGGTCCATGAAAATGGTAATTTTTCATATTTTAATAAGCCAAAAAAGGCTCTTGTGTAAAGGGTGCACATTAGATATGTAAAATAAAACCATTTAATATCCCTTTACCTAATGGCTTAAGCTTTTGGAATAGTAGGTTTATGGCAGTTTTGAGAAAAATAACAGCATAGATATCTTTAACTCGTTGCAGTGAGTATTGATGAGCAAAAGCTATTCCCACAAAAGGGTGAGAAAAAGTTCATTTTTATTTTATTAGAACCTTCATTAGGCATGGGGTGCATTGTAAGAAGAGTTCAACTTGTAATGCAAGAACTTAAAATTTAGAACTGTGAAAATTGCTGACCAAATAGGTAGAAGTCTAGGCTTTTGTTTGGCATGTATTCGTAGATCAACATTTGTTCTTCTCCGTCAATATAGTAACCCAACAGCCGAACATGATTCACATGTTGAAGTCTAGCAGTTAACATCACTTCAGTTTTGAATTCTTCAAATCCTTGTGTAGATGCTTTAGATAGCTTTTTCACAGCTATTTCTTGACCATCAGGTAGGATGCCCTGGACAAATAGGAACCTATGGTTAGTATCTTAATCTTGGACTGGATAAGGTAATTTTATAGAATGCATTCCATTTTCCTCCACTAATTCATAATTACCAATTTGAAATAGGGATTGCAAATAAATTTGCTATAAATTGGTTCTAGTAACCAACATGTGTTGGTCTAAGTCGAAAAGACTTTATCTTAATTGTTTATTGCTCGTCTTTATCTTAAAATTTATGTGCACAGAAAATTAATGCTGAAGGAAGTGAGTAGAAAAGCATCAGCAGCCCAATAAAAATGGAAGCCTAAAGTAAATTATAAAATATATATTTTTTAATTAATTAGTAAGAAGTCTTTTTTTTAAGGCATAAAAGGCTTATTTTTATTAGATAAAGAATTAATTTTATAAAAGAAAAGAATTTTAATAATTTAAAGAGTATATATTTTTAAAAAAATCACCTCTAATTATTACCCATCACTAATAAATAATTTTAAAAAAAAATTAATTATTACTAATATTTTTAAATATAATATAATAATTTTGAGGCCTTAAGACGGAGGAGCCTCCTTCTTGGGCCGTCCCTGATTGAAGCATAACAGTATCAGACACCATGAAAATGGGTTTGTTTACTTCATTTTGTACCTTGTAAACAGGACCATAGCCACCCTGGCCAAGCTTTTTTTCAATTGAAAATCCATCAGTAGCCAGCACAATATCAGAATAGCTGAAAACTTGTAAATCAGGAGCATTGCCGTGAAAAAGTTCTGAAGCGTCTTTATTCACATTAGATCTTGAATTTCTGGATGCATTAACTGTGGGCAGATTAAATAGCAGTTAAATAAACAAATATCATAGTATTCAACCATGACCATGAGCATCATCTATATTCAGCAATATCGGTTCAATAAATATACTTGAAGAAGATACCTGTTGGTTTGAAGAATCTCCTCCTTAGGTAGTAAATTAAGATGCCGAATAGGAGAATAGACAGAGAGGTTGTGATCAAAATTATCACTAATAATCGCCGACTATGGTGTCTATTTTGGTCAACCTGTTCAGCTGAGACAATACCCAGGATACAAATTATTAAGGTTAAATATTATGACACATAATTATGGAATTTAAATACCTCATTGGAGCATGCATTTTTCCTACTGTTTACTTAAAGCCAATTCCATAATTTATTTTCAATATTTCGATTTCTGTGACACCCACACAAGGCATGTACTGTTCTAAGTTTGCAATGTCTATGGATGACAATTTTCAATGGTGCTTTTATGGAATACTTGCTATCAATAACCTGCGTTAGACAAATAGCTATAATCTTAGTCAAAATAAGAACATTAGAACACTCTTTCTATGGCTTGAGCAAATGCTTACACAAAAGAATAATTACGGATCAGAACTAATTAAGTTCCTCAGCTCCGAAACAAGCATGAATTCTTTTGAGTTGGCACTAAGAGAAAACTATAGTCAACTCATGGGTTCAATGCTTTACCTGCAGCACTAGAAAGCACCCAATTGTCATCATAAGGAACTTGCCACACAGCGTAACCAAGCAACTTCTTTTCCTTGGCATAAGACACCTTAATTTTGATGACCTCAACATCATCAAAATCTATCCAAGTTGATCCAACGGAGAAGTAATTGACTACATAAGTAGCATTGTACAGGACTATAGCTCCATATCGTTGAATATAAGCCTTAATATCCTTATAGCTCATATCTCCCCCTTCTGTAATTGCTGGACCTGTTGCTGATGCACCTATTGAATTTTCCTTGGAGTTTCTAAGTTTCCAAGCATATCCATAGAAAGCAAACCCCAAAATCAACTTGTTAGCTGCTACTCCACTACCAATCCATTCCTTTATACCACTGTCTGTGTTTACATAACTTGAAGGGTCATACAAGGCTGCAAATGCAGCAGTAAAATTTGTCCGCTGGGGCATGTAGTAATCAAAGGCCATAACAGTTACCCAATTCAAGTTACTCTGAATAGACTCCACCGGGTAAGATGAAAAAGCCAAAACTGGTCTAAATTGAACAGATGCAGTTAAGATCAACTCAGTAGTAGAAGAGTTATTTTCTGCCTCAGATTTTGCTGCTGCTCTCCACTCTTCAAAAAGCCTTCCCATATTGCTCGTGTCAGAACTTGTCTCAACAGTAGCCCAAGACAGGTCCAAGCCTTGAAACCCATAAAGCATGGCTATTTTTATTGAAGATTGAATGAAAGATTTCCTTGAAGAAGAACTGCGTACCATTGATGATAAGACAGTGTAATTACCATTTCCACCACCAATGGAAAGAAGTGTAGTGATGGATGGGTTCTTTTGTTTGACAGTAGCTGTGAATGAAGAGAAGGATTGCTCATCATCTGGGGAGACAGAGAGCTCATATGAAGAAGAGTTCACTTCAGCAAAAGCACATATGAGGTGAGTATATAGAGCTGAGTTGATATCTGAAATGGGAAATCCACTCCCAGAATACCAATAACCAGCTTGTACCCAAGTTTGTGCTTCTAAAGGTTGAAACTTTTGGCAGAGAAAAACCTGGAATAGAACATGCGCAATGGCAATTTTGGAGACCATGGAGGAACAATATACGAGTGATCAAGTTTTCAGCTTGTTATCGTAAACACAGAAAAACAAGGCACATGTATGCCTTTTTAATTTCTATGAAAATTTTGAGATTCTTGGATTATGAACATGGATAAAGTAAAATTTATAAAAATAAAAATAATTTTTATTTATGAATTATTTTTTAAGGTTGAATTAATTTTAAGTTCAAATTTAAGATAATATTATATCTCATCATAAATTCAATATTAGGTGACCCATACTTAGAAAAGAAAAACTTGACTCTAATAACTATCTATCTCCTTATAATTAAGTTGATCTGATGAAATGTGTTCGAATAATTGCTAATTTAAGTATTTATTTAATAATTTTTTAAAATAATAATTTATGTGATAAATTTAATAACGAAATTTATTAAAAATAAGTTAAAATTGACTTCTTTTAGTAAGTTATATCAATTTTTATTTTTAAAATAAACTAAAAATATTTATAAAAGTCAGAAGCTATTTTTCATAATCTATTTATAAGCTCTTTCAGTGTAACCTACCTTGTCTTACCTCTGGTACCTTTTTTAATGTAATAATAAATAAAAAAATTCTATAATTTTCACGCTTAATATGTCTAATCTTTAACATAAAAAATTGTGTTAAAATATCATGTTAACTGTAAAGATATAGTTAAATACAACTTATAAAAAATAAAGTAATTCTCACTTGAGGACTTTTTCATGTTGAGTTAGATGTATTTACGAAAAATAATCGTAGAGACATTAAAAACATGAACGAAAGTAATTGATATTTTCCTTTTCTTTTCTCAAAAAAACATCATTACATGTTTAAGCTAATAAGTCAAGTCAAGTCTTTTTTTTTTTTTTGGTGGTGGGTTAACAAGTCACAAGTGGTAACTTTTTTTTCTAAAGAATGGATGCTGACATAAAATGAGTATATTGCTGAGACTTTTACAGTCTATGGTCTATACTACTGTACATGTATATGTCATCTAAGCAAACCAATAATAATAATAATAATGCAATTTGTTAATATATTTTAAAATAAATATAAGGAATCCTTGGCTCCGCTTGGATGCTGCTTAATGCTACATGATCTTTAGGAATGTTATTTTGTATGATTGCATGTTAATGACGTTATAAATTGTCTTAAAAGTAGTCCCAAATTATTACATATTATTTGTTTTACCCTTTCAGATTGAGGATTGGGATTCATGGATCATTCAGAATTTTGTTCTCTTTGCCTCTTTTTAGTAAGATTAGATGAAACCTATAGTTGTAGCTGATAAAAAGTTTATCTATTTTGTAATTGAAAGTTAGTGGAGGTACATTAACTTCCTCTGCAGTATAAAAAGACACCTTTACATGGTTTGTAGAAAATGGTCAATTGTGTATTGTATCTCCTGAAAGTTTATAAGCCTTTTCCTTTACAACAATACAATGCTACTAGATCCAGATTATTCAATTAGCAAGAAAATAATGCTACTCTCATGTTTAAAAGCATTAAATAGTCAAAACTATTACTTCTAAAAGATGGATATGCAAATGTACAATTATCCTTTTCATTGACGTCACCATTTGCAACATTCTTCAGCTTCTCAAAATCTTTTTATCGCTGCATCTATATTAAAAGAGTCGCTTACTCCCTTACCCCCTCCCCCTCCTGAGTTTGGAGTGACAAATTACAATTTACAAAACCTTCTTAAACAGAAAACTAAGGAAAATGCTTCATAACTTAATATGCAACATAAAAAATAAACCATAACAGCAACGAAAGGCTTCACAAAATTGCAGATTTAACCATTATTAGCAAATTAAAATATAACTAAATCTTAATTAATCGTTAATTAACATTAATTATAAGAAAATATGAGTGATTTAGTGAATGTCTAAAAAGGATTATTTTTAAAAATAACAACTTTTATTATAGTTTTTCTCAAAAATAAATAAATAAATAAATAATTATATCTTTAAAATAAACTAAATCAAACATGCATTCAAACATTACATAATACAGATAACTCAAATAAAGATTAATTATCATCAAGATACATTTAGGAAAACAAACAAAGCATTTTAGTATAAAACTTGTGCACATTAAAAATTATCATTTATTGTTTCCTTATTTTCTCTCTCAAGGTTAGAAGTTGGATCTGTTTTCTACCGCTCTTCACATTCCTTCTTTGGTTTCATCTCACCACACGCCACATGGAATTGGAACACACAAAACTATTTTCCATCATTGAAACCAATTGAACCCAGCACAACAACATCCTCCCTCTTCCACAAAATACAAAAACAAAAGTTCTAAAAACAAATTTGTTTTTCATACACACATAAAACACAACAAAAGAAAGGGATCATGGTATCCCAAGAAATCTGACCAAGCATTGTAAAGGTACAACAAAGTGTGTATTGTTAAATGGGCAATGCAACTGCAAGCGTGGCCGCAAAATTCGCGTTTTTCCCGCCAAACCCACCAACGTACGGAGTTTCGAGGAAGCAAGATGGGAAGGTGGTGATTTCGGGAGTGACCGTGGACAAGAACTTTGATGTTCATGTTCTTGAGACAAAGGGTGGGAACAATATCGTTGCCATGTTCTGGAAACACCCTTTTCCGAGGTTCACGTTTCTCTATTCGCATGGCAATGCCGCTGACTTGGGTCAGATGCAAGAACTTCTCCTTGAGCTCAGGGCTCATCTTCGTGTCAATATCATGAGGTGATGTTTCCTTAAATATATCATCATTGTTGTTGTTGCTGCTTTGTCAATGTTTCCATTTTTGGTTAATTTATGTATAGATTGTCATGTATGATTTTTTTATTTTTTTTTGTTCATGGTTCTGCAAAGTTTTTAGTGTTTTTAATTTCTTGTCTTCGTTTTAAAACCCGTCTTCCTGTGAACTTCTTTTCCTTATTGAATTCTGAGTTTGGTACCTGTGTTTTTTCTTTTCTTTTTGCAACTGAGTTAAATACAATTTAAAGAAGAAGAAAAATATTAAAAGTAAAGTAATTTTTTCTAATGAAAAATGAGAGTAGAGTTTTTATAATTTATTTAGAAGAACCTCTTCTTTTGAAAAAGATAAAAGCCCAATGGGCCGAACATTATAGAATCAGAAATTGAGCAATCATGGTGTTACGGTATACCTCCTCAATAACTAGCCACTGTATTATATTGAAGAAGGAATAAGGTTTTATTTTGAATATGATAAAATGGAACAGTTAATTTTTGTCAGATAAAGGAGGGGAAAGGTTGTCTTTTGGCTTGGATCAAGACTTTGTGAATTATATGTTTTCTTAACTTACATTTTGCTTTTCTTTTCTGGGTACATAATGTTTATTTTGTTCATAGATAGGTCATAAAATTTTGAGTTCAATAAGATTCCTTTTGAATTTTTTCTTGAAACTTTTTGTTACTATGCAGCTATGACTATTCAGGATATGGAGGGTCCACAGGTAAGGTAACACCTCAGATTCCTCTTGCCTTTTTTTGTTTTTTTGTCATTTTATAGAATTGATTCTAAGTTTGCATTTACTAATTCGAGTTTATTTCTTATTAAAAAAATAAAATAGTGATCTCAATTTTTTAATTACCATAAATTTTATCTTATGTATCTTTATCTTTCTAAACAAATTACATAAATACAAATCTCAAAATTTTCCATTCGTTTAATTCTAATTTATATTAATGCAATATTACAAATATTTTTCTGTCATTTAATACATCTTAATTAATTTTATCAACCATAATTTATAAAGTTATAAACTTTCAGTTATAAGATATAAATTTTCATCAACTATATAAGTTATATAATCTATAAGCTTCCAAATTAGTTTTATTATGTAAGCCCCAAATAAAATTTTTGAGAGCCTCAACTAAAATCAAAGAAATCTAGAGAAATGTAGAATGTTATGATGTTTGGGAGCGTGTATACCATGAAAGATGATATAAGGAAGCAGCATTATTGATTCCATTTGAATTCTATATCTTCCACAAAACTACTCCATCAATCTAACATGGATGTCTTATGCCTGATTATCTCTGGAACTACAATAGCCAAGTGAGTTCAACACATATTATGACATAGAGGCCGTGTATGATTGTTTGACGAGTGAGCATGGAATTAAGCCAGAAGATTTGATTTTGTACGGTCAATCAGTTGGTAGTGGGCCTACTATACACTTGGCTTGTAAGCTACAAAATTTGAGAGGTGTTGTTCTTCACAGTGCCATCCTTTCAGGGATAAGGGTCTTGTATCCTGTCAAGATGACATTTTGGTTTGACATATTCAAAGTAAGCTTTGTCCGAGTTTTCTTCATACTTCTTAACCTCTTCTTTATCTATGCCTGAGTTTTTATTAACAAAGGTTTCTTTTGTCAATTTCAGAATATAGACAAAATAAGACATGTTGACTGTCCAGTCTTAGTTATACATGTATGTATATCTTTCCCGCTATTTTTCTTATTAATTTTTGCATTTATGTTTCTTTCAATTTTTAAACTTGGTGAATAGTTTCTTTCTTTAGGCTTCTATCCAGAAGAGATTTTAGGTTTTGTTATAGTATACAAGGCAACTAGATCCAGCATAATTACCAGTCTCCACTATAGTTGTAACCAAAATTTTAGTAAGAAAATTATTTTTGTTAGGGTCCCGGCTTTGTATCACTGTTCATAAATTTAGTATACAGTCTTGATAAACACCTTATCTTTTGCTGGATAATGCACTTTCCACTGTTCTAATAGTAATTTTGTTTGTTTGCTTGTGTATTATGGGTAGGGAACTAATGATGACATTGTTAATTGGTCTCATGGAAAACGATTGTGGGAACTTTCCAAGGAAAAATACGACCCTTTGTGGATTAAGGGTGGGGGCCATTGCAACCTTGAGACATTCCCTGAGTACATTAAGCACTTGCGCACATTCCTAAATGCCATGGAGAAATTCATAATCACAGGAGAGACAAGCAAACAACTCACTCAAAATCCTAGTATAACTCATGAATCAAAACATAACAAATGTCTTAGATTTGGTAAAAGATAGTTGAATCTATTTGAGGTTTTGGACTCTCATATTGAAGGTTGATATACATTTACACAAGGACTATTGGTGCCATCACTAGTAGGTTCAAGATTTGTAAGCTAGTCTATTACTTGATGATATCTAGCAAAGTTGAGTTTATGTATAGGCACTGTAGGTTTGCCTCGGATTGAGGAGAGATAAATGATCCTTTTGATGTTAAAACCCCGTTAATAAATCCAAAATATGATGCTGAATTTAAAGCAATACAAGTATAGATTCTTCAATGTTCATTTCCCAAAAAATTTAGTTAGGGCATGAGAGGCAACCAATATGATTGAGTATGTGTTTATCTACAGTGTAGACAATTTGTGATGCCTTCACAGAGATCATTAATTATTCATTTTAAAGCAAACTATATCAATATATATAGATAGATATAGAGAGAGAGACCTGAGGGATATAATGCTTCCACATCTGCAATATTGACAATTCCACATTTGGCACATTATCTTCTTTTCATTAGTCTCCTCAATAAAATTTTCAATATTCTCGTTTATTGATTAAAAGTGTTTTTACCTTCTTATTATTTAGTAACTTATTTTTTATATTATATTTAGTAACTTTTAAATTGCGTCTTAGTGCATTTTTGTTCAAGATCGAGTAAATTTTAAAATAATTTATTAAATATGTATAAAAAAGTTATTTAATTAGTTTAAGATAACTTTTATTGTAGAATAGCCTACTCTAATAATTTTTAATATTTGTATTTTGCCAATTTTATTAATGAATCACGCTTTCAAAAAAAAAAAAAAGCAATTAATTACAGCAGGTGTCCTACTATATGTGTCTTTTTAATTAAAATATCGCTTTTATTAATAATTAGTAATGCATCTTGTGAATTTTACAGGTTTGTAAAATGATAGAGTATATAAAAAATAGATATTCTATTCAAATTTTTAGTTTAAGAATATTGTTCTTATAACAACTAAATAAGTTAATGTTTTAAAATAGATATTGTACATCTTATCATAAATAAGTAGACTTAGGAAGTTTTTATTTCATAAGAACAAGACTAGCAATAAATTATAAATTTTTTAGGAAAGATTCAATTAAAATATTTTGAGTTTCAACATGCCTAATAGAATATTCAACTTCAATTCCTATTAACATGCAGTAATCATAAAAATGCTTTGGAAGTAAACTCATTTGCATTGTTTAGAAAAACCGTTTTTAAAGGTCCACATGATAAATAAATTGGGCCACAATGTCTCCTTATATTCTTTGAAAAGAAAAACAAGAGGCTACATAATTTAGATGGAGAAAGTTTCATAATTAATATTTTCATTGAGCACAAGACGTACTTAAATAATTATTGAGTAAAGCAAAATTATGATCATTTAATGGGAATTCATAAGTTTCATAATTAAACTTTTTTTTTATTTTAATAGATATTTTTAGCAATATTTTTACTAATAAAAAGAAGATTGAGAGAAGATTAATGTTATTCAACAAAGTCTTATTGATAATTTTTTCTATTTTCTTTGGAGTTTGCAAAAAATGCTTTAAGGTTAGTATTAGAAAATCCTTAAGTAAGGGAATATTTTGCGGTTTAAACAATCGAAAAATTAAGTTAAGTTTGGAGACATGAACAATTAGAGTTTCCTTGTTTTTTATTTTTTAAAAAAATATTTTTTAAAAATAATATTAGTTTGTTAACAAGTTTAATTTTCATTATTTTAAAAAATTTTAAAAATTTAATTTAAAAAAATTAAAAATCAAAACAAGAACAACCAAACTTTTACTTTCTTTCATATCCAAGCAATTATTAGAAAGAAGAAGAATACAATTCATAAGTTTCATAGGTTAAAGGATGAAGTTGTTAAAATTTTTAAAAATCACTTTTGTTCTTTAGAGGACACCAATTTGGACTTCAGTCTTTGTTGCTTTCAATTTTAAACCTTACAAATCTCTTGATCCTTAGCTTTTGAGTTATCTTTTTAAAGACATTTTAAAATACCGTGGGATACATTGTTTTGAAATTCTATCTCTTACATTTTTTTTTAATTATAATAAACTTATTTTTAATGTTAAAGTTTTTTTCTCTATTAAAATATCATTATATATATATATATATATATATAATTCATGTACTTTTTATATTTACATTTTTTACATAATATTATAAATGTAAAATATATTTGTATCGAGATGTACATCATTTAATTTTTATTAGCATATTTTATTTTATTAATATTATAATTATATAAAGTTTTAAATTTTTACATCTTCCAATCTTTATAGTACATTATAATTTTTTATATTTATAGAATTTATTTTTTAATTATTAAATTATATGTATTCTTATTTTAAAATAAAATATTGGTCTCCCAAATTACTAAACTAATTATTATTATTTTTAAATTTTATATTTCCACACCAAAGGTACATATAAATACCTTCATGTTATCGTCTGTGAGATTAGATTTAATTTCTCTGTTTTCTTACGCATAGCTACAAGCAAACGTACAACATAAATGTATACCACACATCTATTTAGTTATAGCATAAGATACAGTTTTTAAAAGTACAATAAAGTATCATAAATCAATTTTCTTTAAATATAATATATAATTGTGATTCAATTTAGCTGTAAACAAGCTAATTACCATAATAGTACTAATCAAGTTAATTACAGTAACAATTCTAACAACGTTAATTATGGTAACAGTACTAATTACTACTTAAATATGTAAAGTTAACTCTATAGAACTACCATTAATTTACACACAGAAAAATATCTCTAAGATACTCCTTGAAAAAAATTATTATTATATACACACATGTTTATATATGACCAAAATATATAAAAAATAATAATTTTAGAAGTTAAGCATGAAGATATAATGACACAAGAAATAAAGATGACAAAAGTTTTTATATATCCATGAAAGAGATATGCTTTCTTTTTCTTCCAAATTTTTCCAATTGTAAATACTTTTTTTTTTCTAACTTTCTAGATAAAATTAAAAGAAAATCATCTTTCTAGTCCCCTCACATTTATTTTCTTTCAACAGAAGTGTAAAAGAAACAAATTTAAGCCGAGTCTGATATTCTGGTGGCCAAATAATATGAAAAGAATATGAGATCAAATTGATATTATATGAATAGAATAAAGAAAGCAATTAATGAATGAAACGTACTGTTCACTTTAGCTTTGATTAATCTCACAGAAATGATGGAGCATTGATTGGTGCACACATCCCTTGTAATCTTAGAGTAATGGATCTTGGTTCCATCTACCAGTTTAGTGGTGTGGTTGGTAAACGTCTTGCGATTGTTTGTTTGTCCTTTCGTTATCTTCTTGTATCTAGAAAGCATCATTTGTGCTGGGCTGAATGCTGCATGCTGAATGCTGAATGCTGAATGCTGATGCATCTAAAGCAAATTATTGGTTATCTTGTCCTTGCCCAAAAGGAAACAAGATTCAATACATATAACCAACCACGTTAAATATATATGTCCAAGACATGTGTTTGCTTTTTTGTTCTTCTCCAACAATTGTCTATGTGCATGCCCTCCTATCTATGTTCTTGTCACTTTCAATTCATATCAAACTTTTGTTTGCAAATTAAGCTATGTGTGCCAACCTTTATGTATATTTTAGAGGAGCTATTACTTTGTTATGATTCTAAACTTTTTAATTAATACAACTAGGTTTATGTTTCATCTTCTAATTTACAAAACTTTATGATGTAAAATAATCCCATGTTATGTTGACCAGAAGCATCTTGTGACTTTGAGTAATGCGATGTGTACGTACCTTGTAGTCTAAACAACATTTCTTAAGATGGATTAATTCATGGGTTCAAGACTAATTACACCTAATCAATTAAGTTGTTGTACAAGAATATCACGCTATTAATTAAAATATTTCGGTTTGAAAATTTTTATTAAGGACATGTGGTTTGAGATGGTGTTGAGTGTGGCCCAGCTGACATATTGTTTAAACAGTAAACAAATAAAATATTAAAACATGTCAATGAGTGTCTTTAAAAAAGATTAAAATAGTTTTAAGTCTCCTAATAATATTTTTATTTTTTAAATGAAAAGTATTCAATACTTTATTTTAATTATTTGTATTATCTTAATTAATTTCCTTAAAACACTCTCAACACGAAAGATAAGGGAGAAAATTAAGATTCAAGAACTCGCGGTAAACTGGTAGCTGCTCGCTCATTAAGTCTGTGATCAACATTTTGAAAATGGGAATATTGCAAAACAACCAACAAGGTATGAATTTAACTTTTACTTTAATAGGTAATTTGAAAATTAGGAATTATTAATAATAAATAAGCGTAAACACGCATTGATCATCATTATTGAGATATGTTTAACAAATTCTTAAAGAGCATATGCCAAAGGAATAAATTTGTGATTAAGAACTTTCCATCTGTGGGGGTCTAGCCACTAACTTGCACTTCAAGAGACAACACCGAGCCAACACCCCATCTTAGCTGACAAACAGCATTAAGTAGTTGAATGATGAAAACTTTGCCTTCTAATCATATTAAACTTACAAAATATAAAAAATGGTTATCTAAAATTACGGCATTAAAAATTATATTTAAAGGAAAATATTCTCCTGAAAAGTTTTTGACCATATTCCTGTATAGAGAACTCTAATGGTATATACATTTAACAGGAAACAATAACATACTATCAAATTAGCCAGATTCTTTTTAGAAATTTCCTTAAATTCTTCTCAGGATACTTTCCTGAGTTGACTATATTGTATAATTATAGTATTTGTGCATACAATTTAAGAAAATTTAAACTCCATAAAACCTCAATAAACACCAAAAAACCTAGTAACATATATATAAAATTTTGAATAAAAGGACACATTCATCGTAGGCATGATTGAAATCATTTGCCAAAATCATGTCAACTGTTTTTGGTTGAGTGGGGCATAGGGATTGTGGGGGTGCCATTTGCATTGATCGGTTGGGCACATGAGCATTACCATATCAATCCCCAAAAGGGTCTAATTAGGGACATGTTCCACTGGCATTGGCGTGTAGAGGAGAGAGAAATTACAGAATGTGGTGTATAAAAAACTATAGAGGGTGGAAGCAAGCTGCATTATTGTATTGTATTTTGCATCAGCGATTAACAAATAATTAAAGTCAAAGGCTTTTTTTTTCCTGTTCCTTTGGTAGAAAAAGGGAAGGACAAATAACAGAGAAGAGAGATATAGAGAGAGAGAGAGAGAGAGAGAGAGAGAGAGAGAACTTTCACTAAAATACTAAAAGATTTCTGTTTTGTTTTGTTGGCTACAAATCCATCGCTGTCAAATTTGTACAGGTTTCGTAACCTTCTTCCAGTTCTACATTTTTTTCTCTCTCTCTCCTGAGTCTCTCCTTTTCTCTCTTAGTCATATCCTTTTGTTGTTGGTGAAATAGAGGCCTTGAGGACAAAGTTCCCGTTTCCAAAATTGAAGCTTTTTGCTCTGTGAGGTTTGATCTCTGCACCAAAACTTGGTGTTCTCATCTGGGTGTGTTTGGTTCTGCTCTGCTGGCTCAATATGGCTGTGGAGAACCAAAGGGGTCATTTGGGGGATGAAGATGGGGGCAGTGACCGTTTTCCTGTGGGTATGCGTGTTCTTGCTGTGGATGACGACCCAACTTGCCTTATTGTGTTGGAGAACCTGCTTCGCAAATGCCAGTATCAGGGTTAGTTACTCTATGGGTTTTGGTTCAGTAAAAATTCATATATGTAACAATTGTACTGACATAGAGCCATGTTGGTAGCTTTGAGTTGTATAAATTTAGTCTTGTGTTTAATTAGACCTGTAAATCCCAGTTAATTTATATTTTTGGATGCATTCTGAATGGATATTGTGTTTGGTGGCTTGTATACAATACCTTCAAATTCCAATTCAAAATTTGTTTCTTGATGGTATGTGAAATTTCTTACTTTTCCTAAAGTTGAAGGCTTTGGTCTAAATATATATATGTGTGTTTGTGTTGTGATTTTTTCGGTCTTACATTATTTTAGAGCTATTAAACAATATGTGTGGGCTTTGGTTATGGGGTGAATTTAATATCTGATTTGTGCTTGTTGTTGCAGTTACCACAACTAATCAGGCAGTTGAGGCGCTGAAAATGTTGAGGGAAAACAGAAATAAGTTTGACCTCGTTATTAGTGATGTGAGTATGCCTGACATGGATGGATTTAAGCTCCTTGAATTGGTGGGACTTGAAATGGACCTACCTGTCATCAGTAAGTTCATACACTTTTTGTCTTGACATGCATTTGACTTGAGCTTTACCTATCCATATTCTCAGGTTTTTGTTATGTAACTTATGAAGATTATCCTAATTATTATTCAACTTGTTTACACAATGTTCTTTTTTGTTTTAACTAAAATTAGTAGTTGATTTATCCTTAAAAGAATTAATTATTGTACAAAAACTGAACTTGAGAGAAGTTTGTTTGTCTCAGAATAATGGGTTGAACTGATTGACTGACCTAAACTATTGTTTTTACATTGTTCTAGTGTTGTCATCACACAGTGATACAAAGCTGGTGATGCAGGGTGTTACACATGGGGCATGTGACTATTTGCTGAAACCTGTTCGAATTGAAGAGCTGAAGAACATATGGCAACATGTGATCCGAAGAAAGAATTTTGATTCCAGGGATCAGAATAAAGCTTCCAATGAGGAAAGGGCACTTACTACTGCTGGGGAAGGTAGTCAAGGCCTCAAATCAGATAACAGTGCTGACCAGAATAAAAAGCTTGGTAAAAAACGGAAGGACCAAAGTGAAGAAGATGAAGAAGATGGTGAAGGGAATGGAGATGAGGAGGATCCCTCAACACCGAAGAAACCTCGTGTAGTTTGGTCTGTTGAGCTGCATAGAAAATTTGTTGCTGCTGTTAATCAACTGGGCCTAGAGAGTGAGTTTCTGATGACACAAACTTAATGTTCCTAATTTTTTTGACTTCAGTACATTACATTTCATATCTCAACATGAGCACTATGATTCCTAATACCAGGTTTATTCACCTGTTATTGCAGAGGCTGTTCCTAAGAAAATACTTGACCTGATGAATGTCGATGGGCTTACAAGGGAAAACGTTGCAAGCCATCTACAAGTATAAATTCTTGGTTTTATAGTTTTCATAATTGTTCTATTCTGTCTTTTACAAATCATTGAATGAAAACCTTTTTAGTAAGATGATTCTTTAAATTTTATTTAACGGATATATGATGAAAAGAAAGTTTGTCCAATGAATTAAAAGCTCTTCAAAGTGGTTATCAATATCAACTATCAAAGGGGTAAAAACTTCACATCCATTTGGAGAATGTGCCTAGTATAATATTTTAGATGTCTTGTAATAGTTTGTTTGAATAAAATAGGATAGTTCATATTCAAAAAATGGCTTGTTAATAATGAAATGCTTAAGACTTCAGACACAAGTTTTCAAGTCCCACTGAGCATAGGTTGGTTACTGGATCTACTTTGAGTCTCTGACTATCTTTTGTTTATTTAAGCAGAGATGTGCTGCTTTTCTAGGGGATGGCTGTTCCTTTTACTTGACAAAGTATACTTTACTTTATTGTGGCATATTAAGCTTGCTGTCATTATGTATTGCAGAAATATAGACTCTATCTGAAAAAGGCAACCCAGCAAGCTAGCATGGTTGCTGCATTAGGTAGTGGTGATTCTTATCTACGTATGAGTTCATTAGATGGATATGGAGATTTTTGCACTTCACCTGGATCAGGAAGGATCTCAAGCTCCACATTACCATCATATGCATCCAGTGGAATTTTTGGTAGGCTGAATTCACCATCTGGCTTGAGCATGAGAGGAATTAGTTCTTCTTCACTAATCCGGCCTGTTCAGTCACAAAACATTAATAGCTCCTTAAACACACTTGGAAACATTCAGCCTTCCATGTTTCCAGCAAATCAAAGCTCAAGTTTATTACCAGGTATTCCAACATCAATTGAGCTTGACCAATCTAAGCAAGGCAACTGTACAACAGGAATATCACAGTTAAATCATGTTGACTCAAGTGGATTTGCAGTTGCCTCTGGCTTCCCAGACAGCAGAGCCACTGTTAATGGTGCAAACAATCACATGATGTTACAAGGAAATCCACCACAAACTCATAACCCAGGACCATTTAGAACTCAGCCTTCTGTTAGAGCGCCTTCCTTGAGTACAGAGTCTTTTGACATCAGCATGTGTGGTTCTTCTAATCTGTTGGATTATAATCGGTGTAATGAAAATTGGCAGAGTGCAGCCCAGTTATCTAAATATCCTGCCAATTCTTTACCACTGTGTGAGGCTTTCAGTAATGAGCAATTGCCTCGCACTAGCATAAATGTTTCCAACTCAAGTACTCATATTGGTAACAATCCAGTTGATTTTTCTTCCAGAAATCCAATTCCTGTTCCTTTGGAGGATGCCAGAAATGAGCTGCAATGCCAAGAAGGCTTGATCGGGAATATTGTACACCCTTCGAGTTACACACCACAACAAAGGTGGGAAGAACAACATAAACTGGATTACAACCAGAATATTACTCGTCCCTTCAATCCTGTAAAATCTCATGTTTCTTCCAGCGGAGTGTCAAGTTCTATGGGGCATAGTTTAAACCAACATAATACAATTTGTGGCAACAGAGTTGATGCATCTTTCGTTGGTCAACTAAATGGGGCTTCCCCATCAATTGCCCGGTGCACTGAGGTTGAGAAATTCTCGTCAGACATTCGACTTAAGTCAAATGATGCCTACATTTTGGAGCAAATGAAGTCCCAAGATGGATTTATGCCGAATGCTTTTGGGACCTTGGATGACATAATGGGTGCAATGGTCAAAAGGGTATGATATAATAGCCTACTTTTGCTGGTTCCATTCTTAAAAAAAACAAACAAACATGTTTCTTCACCCCTCCCCATCTACCCCTTTTCTTTTAAATGGTTCTGTGGTTGCAACGGTATCATGAAACTATTGAATTGCGTTGGATCTGTTGCATAAATTTACATTTAGATACTTATAATGTAAGCACAACCGTCTTTGAATTTGCTGTTGCTTTTAGGTGTTTGTGTAGGTTTTGTTTCTCATTGTTCTAAACAGTCATCAACCTAATTTATTATCAGAAATATACCTTGCAGAAATTATGCAAGATTAGTTCTATATATTTTTTATATCCATAACGTGTGATATTCATTAGCCTATGAAAACAAATGGTACATAATTGGCAAGTTTCTCTTTTATATGCTGATGCCATTTCTTAGTTTCTTTTAACACATGAAGTTTCGCGATGATTTTTTTAACAACCAAAGAAGATTTTAGATTTAGTCATATGTCATCTCTTCTACGTTTTTCAACACCATTTATTAGAAAAAAAGGAATTTTAACTGTGCAACTCGTTTCTGAATATTATGTTATTGCTACTATTGGAATAAATTGGTGATGCAAATCCTGGAAAGTGAAGGTAAAAATGACAATTCAGTAAACAGTACACGAGAAGTTAAGTAATTGATCAATATATCGAATGTTACCAAATATAGACACAGATTTTGCAGTCATAATTGCTGCATTATTTTATAAAGCGGTTTTGTGGATTACTCCCCTGAATTTGTTTAAATTAAAATAACACCCTCTCGTTTCACAAGTTAAGGAGAATTTGTCTATGTTATAAAAATAGAAAATGGACTAATCAAACAACACCTTAATTGTCTTTATGTTCACTTGTATGGGAGGGGCTGTGCAACAGGTTTTTCAAGATCTTATAAATGGATTGATAAAAAAATTCATACTGTGTTATTTTAATGTTATCAAGTGTTTTTAGATTCAATTTGGATTAGTTTCTAGCTTATGCGGGATTTTCAATTATACAACATTAGTTTTAAATTTATTTGGTACTTATGAAGAAGTTGTGAGTAAAGTTAAGAGGTTGAGATGCATGAGTTAATTTTAAGTTACATAGAAAGTTTGATTCATATGATTTCTTTGATATATTTTGTTTTCTTCTCTTGTAAATGTTCTGTTGTTGAAACGTATATATCAACTGGCTTATGTATTTAATTATGAAAACAATGTTTGAATCATGAACTGAAAGCTTCTCTAATGTCAGAATCATAAACTGATTTGACGAGGTAGTGATAAGACTTTTTGTTTTACTAGAGTAGTTTTTAACTAGAGATATCCTTTGAATTCTTTCTGAAATTTATCTCCCAAATAATTTATAGGGGTGTGTATGTATAGAGTCAAAAAATAACTCGTGTGGTTTCTTATAGTTCGCTTTTAGTTTTGGTCTTTAATGACAGAAAATACTTTGGTTGTTTTTTCCGTTATTTCATGAAAGGCTCTTTATGATGATGATACAGGAGCAAAATGAGTTGACACTGATGGATGGAGAAATGGGATTTGATGCTTACCCTGTTGGATCATGTAGCTGATCTCTTCTTATTCAGAAAGAAAGAATCAACTAGTATTCTGATTGTGAAACTTACTCCTACCTCTGGAGCTGATTTGATTGTGTAGTTTCTTTGATGTACTTATTTTTATGTTCTGCTACTAAATTTATTCTCTTATGCCAACATTTTGTTGTTTCCCTTATGAACTTCTTGTCAGCCAACTGATCCGTTTCATCTCTTCTTCATTCTTGTAGTGTATCCACATAAAAAATTTCTGCCTTTTTTTCTATATAAAATAATTGTAAGAATGTGTATTTCTTAGTTCTTAGTGGTCTTTCTTACTTTCTTAAGGGAAAAAATTTAAATTTTATTTTATTGATACTTCATATAAAAATGGGAAAAGTTAAAAATGGAAAGGAAATATTCTGTGACTGTTGACTATATCAATAGCATGAAAGTGATTTTCCGACTTTTGAGGTAAAGTTCTTTTTGTGGCATATTTTTTTATAGTTACTTTTGGAAGTTACTTTTTCATTAATTTACTAGAAAAGTCTTTAACTTTTTTTTCTGAGTTACCTTTTTATTTACAAGAATACTTTATGACTTAACCCCAGTATGATATTTGTGAATTACATCTACCAAAAATGAAGTTAGGGCAATTATCTATTGTGATATTTTCAATGAGGAATTAGTAAGGTACTATCAGCTGAACATGAAGGATATTCCATCCTTCCCTCGAAGTGTGCTGGGTTATGAGGTAAATGATCTTATATTATTAAAATTATTTTATATATTTCTTTTCCTGGTTTGCCAATTAATTTCTCCTTTCAATATTTCACCACAGAAAAACAAGACCCACGATTTTTTTTTCATATTTATCTACTCCTTCCCTTAAAATGATGACGCTTAACATATGTATTGGTTATTTTCTCCTTATTTACAAGTTTTTGTGCATAAAAATAAGAGAAAACTGTACAAAAGCTGAAAATTTTCTCCTAGACCCAAGATGGATAAAAATACCATCAACCTTGGACATTATTCTGCATGGCAAGGTGATTAAAGTGGGTCACTCTCATGGTTTGTTTGAACGAGAGAAAAGCAAATAAGAAAGTTTAAACTTATTTTTCCAAAAATAAAAAATCAATTTTAGTTACCGCGTGTTTCAACGGAGATCCAAACAAACCTGTATTTTCCTATGTTTAGTTTTAAGATGAATAAAGAGAAATTTTGACTTTTAAAAATGATAAAAAATTAAAATTTCTTCTCACTTTTTTTTTCAATTTAAGTTTCAACTTTTTTTCTCTCCCTTCATTTTCTCTCCTCTCAAACAGAGATAGGGTAACATATGATGATGCATATGCAGAACTTAGCTGAAGATTGACTACTATCAAAGGAAATTCCAACTGAGTTATCTTTATACTGAATAGTAGCAAAATCATAAATATTGGTCCACTGAAACAAAAATTAGAAGACGAGCTAAATTGCAAATCATGCATTGGAGACAAAAATAAATAAATAAAATCTGTTAGATTGTCTATTATTCAATGAATCACAAGAACAAACATTAGCGGAATACAATGGCTTGAAATTTTGCAGCACATATAATAGGAGATACCGTTCAACTCATTTTGCTAGAAAACAATGAGAATGTGTATCCGTCAAAAGAAAATTTTATATTCTCATTTATTAGGTAGAGATGTATCACATTTCAGTCTAATGAAATATAAACATAAATTGTCTAATTTTCTTCATTAAAATTTATTTTATTACATATGGTAAGTGCTCAGAAATATTTCATGATACAGTATCATAAAATAATAAAAACAAGAAACATTACATACAAACTTTTGATCAGTAAATGAAACAGTAAGAAATGAAAATAAAAAAATAATTAAATTACACAATAATAAGGGGGAAAATGCCACAGTAAGAGAGCCTGTTACAAGACAGTGCTGCCAAATATTTAATCTCAGCCTGTCCTAGGTTGCAGTTTTGAATTTGTAGACACATTATGCATTAGTTCCAACTTCAACCCACTGTTGAAAACTTGAAATGCTATATATCTTCTACATTGTCTCAAAGTCTTGTATGCATTGCATTAGATTTTTTTAGTTTTAGTCCAAACACCTTGAATGAGTTGAAAATGTCCACTTCAAAGCATTTAACTCAATTCAACTCAGTGAGCTGTGCTCTCTTTTGTGCAGCTCTTTTTCTGATAAATATGCCCCACCTTAAAGCAGCTTTGAGCTTAAGCCACCCAACAACAGCTTTCCCTGAAGACTTCCCATGATGCTCACCAAATGAATGATACATTTGAGGCTCATACTGAAGGCTATAAGCATAACAACTTTCACTAGAATGACCAAGATTAGTTGACATGCTAACTCCTGCATTAATTGTCTTAAGTAACCTCTGCATATCATCACTCTCCAACATTTCTGAACTCCTAAGCCGGAGTTCTTCTGCGACAATGTCTTCTAATCCTTGTTCATTTCTTGGCCGGGACCAATCGCCACCAAAATAAGGACCTTCAATTTCAGGATTTTCACTTGACATGTAATTCATGCTGCCTGGCAATGCTAATTGAGAGTTATTTAAGGATGTCCCTACCATCTGACTATCGCATCTTCCAAATGGATAATCACTCAAACCAGGACCAGATGCATAGTTATTTGTTATTTGCAAATGTTGATTTGGTTCTGAGGAAACATATGACATCCTGTTCTTTGCAGAGGTATACTGCTGCTCCTGGAAACTGTTGTGATATATTGTATGAGAAGCTACAGATCTTGATCCCTTTTTTGAATTACTAAGAGAATTCAAAACTTTTCCATCATATTCTACAACTTGGTCCCAATTTTCATATGCTTTCTTCACCAAGGAATCCACAGACATCTGTAATTCAAATTCTCAATAAATGAGCTAATGTAGTTACTAGTCACATAAACACACATGTTGATCACATATCAAAGCTAAGCATGATATCAAATTGATCAAGGAATTCCATTTTTCAATTAGTGTTAAAAATTGACCTTTTGATTTGGAGTAAGTGATTCCAAAGAGAAGAATTGGCCATCAGCAATAAGGCCTCTCAGCTCGTATATATTGTTGAACACAATGCCAGCGCTGTTGGTTCCATCAGTGTAGTAAACAAAGAGCTTGCCACCCAAGACACATGTCTTGGCATGCTCCACAGTATTCTCCCACATTCTGTTGGACATTCCACTACCAAGTATCTGTATTCAAGGTGTTAAAAAAGGAAGTTTGCAAAAGCGAGTATTTGGAAAAACTGGATTTGGTAAGAATGATATGAATTATTTTGAGCAAATAGCAGTGAATTCTTACACTTCTTAACTTCTGTGGCTCACGAACAAGAATACGTAAGAAATCTTCTACAGTTGCTATTTTTGCTTGAATCAATTTTTTGTGAAGTGCCCCATCCTTCGCTATCCGATCCAATCTCCAAACTTCATCATGCAAAGCAGGTGGATAGTGTTTCTTGTATACTGCAAATAATAAAAAACAAATTGTTTAGAGAAACTTCATCAAACAAGATTTGCCACAAGCCTGAATGTTGAAAACATTGTTTCCTTAATAGACTCAATTCAAGCAGAACATGAAGCTAATATGTAGAAGATTATATTCATCTATCAAATTAACCACTTAATTAGATTATTTAAATTACTTTTTAAGGGCAAAATTACTTAAATTATTAATCCCACAAAGAATTCATTAGGAATACTTTTCTAGCTGTAAGAAAATTTATGTAAATGTGAAGATTTTCCAAGACAATTAATACAAATGTCAAGGAAGTTAATACAAGTGTCAATAACCAACTTACATAAAAACTTAAGTTAGGTGAAGGAAAAAGATTAGTTTTATATCTCTTTTCTTTTAACAAGTTTTGGAGTCTATGCCTTGCAATTATAATTTGAGTGATCCCATTTCTCCTAATCTGGACAAAACACAATTATTCTATCAAAAACAAAAACGAAGTCTTAACTATCAGAGAACTCACATTCTCCTCTATGATCTTTAACAGCAAAGGCATCAGTCTTTCCCTCACGAATACGAGTCCCTTCACAATATCCAGGAGCAACCTTAACCCCAAGCCTGAATTTTCTGCTTCTGATCCAGCTTGAATTGTCAGTGAAAGTAAGATCACCTAAGGTTCCTACCCCTTCCTTTAGGCTAACCTGCAAGTCTCCAGTTAGAAGAGGCCTTTTCCCCTCACGTTCCTTTACTTCATGGCTTTCAAAGTGCTCTTTTGTCCAATCATCATCAACTTCCTCATTAAAGTCACCTTCAAGTACTACCACATTCAATTTCGCAACTGATTCTGGTCCAACTTGAACAACATTGCCTGTATTTGGATCCAGCAAGACAACATGAATTGCTGCTCCTTGCTCTCCATCAACCTTTCCCCCTGTGAACAAGTGTGGTGGCATTCTTGTTCTGAAATGAAGCTGCAGATTCTTTGCCCCTGGTCCTTCTATTCTTGGAGGTGATGATCTGACACAGGTAAATAACATGTAATTGATGAAATCATTGCAAACAATTATTTTTTTATAGAATCTTCATAATTTTATCAATTTTCACCAACCAATTTACATCTTATTGATAAGAACTGCACATTCTCAAATATAACATTCATTCAATTTATTATCAGTCATCATTGTTGTACCGAACAAGCATTTATAACTCAAAATTCTAATTTGAAAGGGAAACACACCTTTCGACCAGTTTAGCATGGCCCAATTTTGCCAAAGCACGCTCCACTTCTTCACTGACCTATAGTTCATGGAATTTGAAGGATTAACAGAATACCTATAATACATTGTAGATCTTGATTAATAGGTTCTTCGATGATTCAGTTACACATAGCTACATTTAATGAAAGCAATAAACATAAAATTGTACTATCAAACTCTAACAAAAGCATTAATAAGGTTATGAACAAACAATTTACATTTGGGTTCACGACAAAGAATAGTTTATTTTACTTCTTGTTTTGGAAGGCCTAACATCTCATATTATCTTTTTGTTTTCTTTTTCTAACCCATAATTTCAAAAAACAGACTGTCATCAAATGTTTATACAAAGTACTTTGATGCACTTCTTTTGTGAAGTGTTCAAGCAGAGGGTCAACAATTATACAGAGAAGTGATTAACCATTCTACAAAGAAATTAAAAATAACTCACAATTTTTCTGAGAAGAGGTTCCAAAGATGAGCAAAGTCTCTGCAAACTATCCACCTTTAAGGCTTCCACAATTACACTGTACACATTTCGAGTAATAAATTGGAGTTGAGTGTCACTAAATTTGCATTAAAATACACAAAAAGAACTAAACTAACACATTCAAATTGAAGACAACTAACACCAAGAAATAGGTTTTGGGAGCTCAAAAGTTGAAAACACTTTAAATGCATATATCCAAAGCCACCTTCACTTCTATAGAAATTCCAATAAATGAGATTCGTTGTAAAATCCAACTTAGATTAATATTCATCAAGCATTAAATTGCAATTTTTCCATTGCACTAGTGAGTTTCACAATTAAGAGCCCACAAAAGACTAATCTTACACCTGGTATGATGTTATCAAAGATCTAGCAGAAAGTCAAACATCAATCCCAAGCACATCATGCAATAATCATCTTAACAATATCACCCCAAAACGGAAATTAATCCAAACAAGTAACAAGATTGTCAGAAACCAAAATAAAAAATAAAAACTTCATACACGTTAGCTTTGAATTTGCACTGTAACAAGATTAGAATGCTAGTAGAATTTGCACAGAACCCAAACTCCACGTTAGTTTTGAAGTAAATAACTAATAACTAAATTAAAACACGATTCTGTATTGCAATACCTGGCTAAACCAGGTAGTTTTGGCTTCTTTGACTGAGTTAGATGGTGTTGTGCATCCTCAACCTCCTCAACTAGCTCATACCCTCTTTTCTCCACTCTATTGTTCTTGGAACTTTCCATTTCTAGAAACTTATCCAATCCCAATGATATCTGTTGATACTTTCTATGTTTAGAAATTTGGTCTTAGTGATCCGTAGAACAGTTTGGTAAAATTCTTGGAACTAAACTTTAAACCTGAGTTCGTAAACACATAGGCAGAGAAGGTTGTCTCTTTAGTTTGACAACTGAGGATCTAAGATTAGGACCAAAAAAATGGACACTGTAGATTAGATCTACATGAATATACAAGTAGTTTTTGTTAAATAAAAAAATAAAAGAGGTTCCTTCTATTAGAATATATAATTGATATTATTGAAGTTCACAGCTGGATTGGATGTGTGCATGAACGTTGGAAAATGGAAATTGAAACCGCGTTTTTTGGTGTCTCATTTGTCTTTGACTTTCTTATTGGGGGTGTTGGTGATAAGACAGAATTAGCCCTGTATAAGTAACCCAATTACATTTGTCTATGAGCGTAGCCTATACTAATGTTTTGGTGCCACGAAAATGTGACACAGTACACATTTAAGAGATGAGAAACGGTCAGTGCCATTCACTGGTTCAGGACAACAAGGACCATAAACTTTACAGCAACATTTGGATTAGGTCTTCTCTACTCTATTGCATATTAACTTTTGTTTTATTTTGGGATTTCAATTTAATTTTCTTACGTAGAAAAGCTTGACAAAAAGTTTAGTGAGGGGCAACCGACACCATTTGATCGAGATCACAATATTAAATGAGATCATATGTGCTTCACCTGCTAAGAATCTTTGTTTAAGTTTGCCCATGTGCGTGTTCATGATTCTGGAGAATCACTTGACATCATCAGTAATCGTCCTTGACTAAAGATTTTATATTGATGATATCTTCAGCTAGACATCCAAAAATATAGTAGAAAACCAACTGTTAAGTGTTTTGTCAAGGCCTTTTATCTTTTAAAGTTATTTATGGTGCTTGTTACCTACATTCTTAAGAGTTTTAATACAATGATGACAGACAAGCAGAGCCAACGATTATTTCATGTACTGGATTTCTTTAAATGGAGATAACAACGAAATCAAATAATTGTTAACAGTTAGAGCATGTTTGATTTTTATTTTGAAAAATAATTTTCTGTTTTTAAGAATAAAATATACTACAATTTACAAAAAACTATTTTTAAAATAGAAATTGATCTTAATTTCCAAATTGCAAACTATAAGGCATCTCTCAGAAGGTTAAATCTGCGAAATCTAATCTCCATGAACTTGGTACTGTAAGTAATGGTTAAAAAAAAAAAGGCTAGAAGTGCACTTCGAAATAGAACAAAATAGCTAAATAATTATGGTGTATAATATAATCAAATCCAAGAACATATTTTAAGAATTTCAAGCGCCCAGGGGAGTGTGTCGTGGTAATACACTAATAGTGCACGCTTATGCATTGGTACCATCTCTGAGGTGAAAATTGTTTGATACAAGCATATAGGTTACAAACACAGTAGCATATCAATTTTAAACTAAATTGGTTGACAACTCAAGCATTTTGCATTTTGCTTGCATGCTTGTACAAAATCATGATCAAGATTATAACCATAAAGAATATAAATAATAAGCAAGTTATTCTCCTTCCCAACCCATTTGACGTGCTCGCCGCTCCCACACAATAGTCATCTTTTTCTCCTTGATGAGTATGGCCTCAGCTCGCTCTCTTGCCTGCTCACATGTTTCAGTTGCATAAATGCATTTGTCTGCCTCTCTCTGATACTGAGATGCCACTCTTTTTGCTTCAGCCAAAGTTATGTTCATGTGCCGAGTGGTTGCTTCAGTAACAGACTCTTGCAACTTAAGCTCCTCCGTGAGAAGGTCCACAAACTGCTTCTCCATCTCCTCCTTTAGTTCTGGGTCATTTCCTCCACAATCTGTTGATCAGCACAATTGATGTCATCCATATGCACTATACAGTCATCAGCAGCAAAATTAGGTAGAAAGTTTGCAAATGACAATTTGAAAAACTTGATTAATGGCTGGGACAATCTTATATTCATCATGATACCAATTAAACAAACTAAAAAATAAGAGATCATGCAGATTTAGATTTCCTCATTGTCAAACAACTTATGCTTCTCTAAATTTAGAGAAGCTTCTAGTTTTTTAGAAGCTCTCTAAATTAACTTCGCTAAAATTTGAGGAAATAATTTGGTTTTAACTTATTTTATTAATTTTTTATACTAATTTTTTTTTCTTGTAAAGATTTCTCTAAAAGTTTACCCAATCGGGGCTTTAGTCACTGTATTTTGTTTTCAAAACACTTACCATACTTACATATGTTTTGAAAATGGTCACTACTGTCAATTTAATCCATACTAGACATAGATACTAAAGGAGCACCAACTGAATCAAATGAAAGGAGGAGCAAATGGACTTTTTTAAGATAAAGGGTAAAATCCAAAGCACGATGGAAATTAGTTTCAACAAATTCATATGGATGAAAAAAAAAAAGCTAATCTAACCAACATGTCCCTAATCATCTAAACAAAATAGCGACACCTGAAGTCCAGCCAAAAGGTAAAATCACATAGAATAATAATAAGAGGCATAAATGAAAATGAAAATGAAAATGAAACCTGAGACAGAGAGATTGGCCAAGCCTGCGGAAGAAAGAGAGAAACGAATGAGTATAGAAATAAAACACAGTAATAAAATGATAAACAGAGGGCAGCGATGAGTACCAGGAGCAAGGTGGAAGAGGGACAAAGGAGGGGGGCAATGGCAGAGGCATGGAGGGCAAGAGAGTTTGGAATTGGAATGGGAATTGGGGAAAGTGATCGAATTCTTGAATCGCCAGTAGAGGGCTGGCCCACACACTACCAACGCTGATATCACTGCAAATACCACTAAACACCATCTCCACCATCCTCCTGAATCAGATCTCCCTCGTGACATCTCTCTCTCACACACAGATCTGCGTTGTTATTCTTCGCTTCTACCCAACCCCTTTTTACTATGTGATGTGGTTCGTTAGTGCGTTTTTCCCTATTTCAAGTTCACTGTCTTAGATTTCTGTGTTTGTGGGATAAGACCCACTTTAGTTAACAAACCATTCTCTTAGTGTTACTTAAATAATTTCTTTTTTAAAAATACTTTTGATAATTTTATTTTAAAAGATTGAAGCAATTTTGTTCGATTGCTCGAGATGATATCTTATTTGCTATTAATTACTTTTTTATGTTTAGACTTTTGGATCAGAAAGAAAAATGGATTTCCAAAATAAATTATTGGTCCCAAATGGAATTTTTAGAAACAAAAACATATTTTTATTTTCTAAAAAAACTTAACATATTTTAACTTGTCGATGTGATAATTTTAAATAAAACATAATGCATAGAAAACTTAACATGGAGGATGGAGTTGGTGAAATTTTGTAAAGTATTTTACTTGTAGTTTTTCCTCATTTTATCCATTTTGAAATATCATTTTATTTTATTGTATTTTGTATCAACCCTTAATGTAATTAAAAATGATTTCATTTGTTATTTGTGAGAACTTTTAACCTGTGAATTATGATCATATTCTAAAAGAAAATTACTTGGTAAAATGGGAAAAATATATGTTGTGGTCTTTGACAAGGTCTCCTCATGAGTAATGGTGGAATATAAGTTAGCTAACATTAGAGTTGTTCACATACATGGTCTTCTCTTATAGATTATGTGTTGGGCCTATCACTTGAGACCAACCTATTAGACCTTTTACTAAGCCTACTACACAAATGTTAGATAATTGAAATGGTTATGGCTTACCCAGTTATATTAGGGGTTGGTTTTGCAAGAATAAAAAATAAAAATTATACTCGATTAATAATTTTTGTATTTTTTTAAAATGCATCTTACTATACTTTAAATTATTAGCTTTTTATTTTTCTAAATTTTAGAATAATCTTCTTTCTCACACTTTATTCTTCCTCTCGGGTTTCCACTATTTCAAGCTTCATCAAACTATTATTGCTCTCTTAGTACATCTCTTGATGTCAATGTATTATAGAAATAATTAACAAAAATTTATTCATTATAATTATTAAATTTATCAAAGAGTAAAATAATAATAATAAAAAAAATTACATAAAAAAATTCAAAACTCTCTTCATTAACTTTATAATACAACTAATTAGCAGTTTGTGCAATGTCTGAATTTTTATTAAAAAATCATAAATTTTTTGTTTAAAAAATAAATAATTAAGTGTATGTGTATAAAATTTTAATATTATATAAACATGTACATTTTTAATTATCAATTAGATATGTTTTTCTTTGTATAATTATATATTCCTCATATTATGACATATTATATGAATTTTATGTTAAATAAAAATAATTTTAGTTTAGTTATTCACACAAAATAAACTTTTAATTTATATTTTTATTTTATTTATTAATCAATTTCTTATTAACATTAATTATAATGAAAAATACAAATCACCATGAAAATAATATTTTGTAACTAAACTAATCTTTATTATTACTTTTAAAAATAAAAATGTCATGGTCTTGTGTTTTTATATTTTATTTTTTAATACCAATAAAATGATCAATAATAAATTAATTTTAAAATTTATTATTATCTATATAGTACCCACATCAATCATCGAATCTTGAAAAATTTTAATGATAGAGCTGGTAAATCATGAAGAACATTAATGTTAACAAAATCACATTTCCATCTTTGCAATGACACTAAACTTGACAGCACTTCTTCTCTTTACCCAAAATGAATGGTATGGAAAAATAATCTAGATAAAGTTGTGATGCAAAGAGTGCAAGCTAAAAATGACCTTCATTTGATCATCATCTCTAAATATTTTGTAGCTTATATTCTCATATATAACTGGAAAATCGCCATCTTGATTATTGCATCTTGAATGAGCCTTTCACTGCAAAAATATCTCACTTGTTTGACATACAAATGTTAAAAGATGTAAAAGTTATGTAAGAATAAGAGCATTGATGAAATGGGATGAAACTAAAAAGATGAACTTTTATAAAATTATAAAATTATGACCATCTTTTTATTATTATAAACTCACATTATCTTTAAATTACCACATAATCAAAATGGAAGGACCATCGGTGAGTATAGCAAACTCTCAATGCATATGAATAAGTCGCTGCAATTTCTTGAATGTTTTCCACTTGTTCAACACCAAAAAGGATCAAAGCAAGGTGAATCAACAATTAATGGAAAATCATATTTACATAATCAACAATTAGTGTGTAAAAAAGAATGCTTACAAAAAACAAAATTGAAGGCCAAAAATCATAATTTGAGAAATTATGGAACTCTTATTGTAGAAACAAAACGAAAGCACATATTCATTAGTAATTAAGTGAATAAAATAAACATGTAAAAACTGATACTAATTAAAATATACACTTCAATTAGATACTAAAGGTGAAACAGTAAAGATGTAAAGAAAAGAAAAAAAGAATTGCAGGCAATTATGGAATCTTAGATTTTTGCCATTAAAATTTCTATCAATAGCTGAAAATATTGCAAATAGTTTACTGGCATTGGAATCTCCAACTGGGAGGAGGAAAGTAAAGGAAATTATCTAGATAAACTTGGACAAATTAGCTCTCTTTTAATTCCTGCTATATTTTTATTTAAACAATTTTTCATTCATGAAATCAGTGATTATATTTTATTCACATAATCATGATGAAATAATTAATATATACTTAAATTTAAAATATTTTATTTCTATTTCTATTTATTTTTAGTGTATTTTCTATTCAAATTAATATGGGTAATAAATAAATTAAATATATAATTTAATAATGAAAATAATTTATATTATGATTTTCTGATAAATCTATATTATTAATTATTCTATTAATGACTAATGAAAGAATTATTAAATTAATCAAAGAGCGAAACAAAAATAATAAAATTTGCACATTAAAAGCGCTCTTCATTAACTTTATATTATAATTATTAATATTAATTATCTATAACTAAATGACAATATTCTTTTTTTTATATAATATCAATGCATTCTACTTAAATTGTTATTGTCTAGTGTTTGAATTTTTTTTTAATTTAAAACTCTTGGATAAATTAAATGCAAATTGTGAGAGTTGGCTTTTACGTTCAAACTTGTTATATATATATATATTTTATTTCAATTTATCACTTATAACACGATATTATAATAATTTAAATTTTAATAAAAAAACTAATTAAAAATATGAATAAGCATATGTGAGCTCTATATTAATTGCTGAGTTATGGAAAGAAAAATAGTAAAAAAAAATTAGGGTTTGTTTCTGTTTTAATTTTTAAAAATTATATTTTAAAACAAATTTAAAAAACTGTTTTCAAAAAGAAAATGAAAATAAAATTTATGTTAACAAACAAATTTTATTTATTTTTTAGATAAAAAATATTTTTACTCTCTTTTCTTCTGATTTTTGTTCTTGAAAAACAGGGTTTGTCTTCCTATTATGTCTCAGCTGTGTCTTGAGCTCCAAACATACAATTGAAATGGACACAACCCATACGCTTTTTCTTGCCTGTTAAGCTTTAGACCTTCAGGCCTCTAGAATAGACTAATTTTGGCATTTTTCAAACAAACCAAATATTATATAGAAATAATATGATTTGAGAAAACTAAAAATGGTATTTTCATGAAGGAGACATAAATTTTCATTTACAAAGTTTTCTTTTCTTTTCTCTTTGGTTTCTTGTTAGAGAAGTTAAATGAAGACATATAATTCCATTGTTAAGAATATGAATAAAAAAAATACATATTTAGTCAATAGTTATTATTTTAGAAATGTGAAAATTGTACTTAAACAAAAAAGAAGGAAAAAAAATATAATTAATTTTCAAGATAACTGATATTTTCATATATAATTAGTTTATAATAACGATGTATTAAAATTAATTAAACTCGTTAATTAGAACATACCTACCTACAGTATCAGTAAAAATCATTAACTTGAAAGCTATATTTTTTCCATACTTGTATTAATATGAGGAAAATTACTTGAAAGGTAGAACGCAACTTGACCTTGACATTACTCATACTAGAAACTCCCATCCTATTCATATGGTGTACGTGGTCCAAACTCCACCACACCACTTTGCTCCATTATTCTGAAAAATCTTAATCCAGTGCATAGCTACAATCAACATAGAAATTTATTTTTATATCATTTATTTATTTATTTTCTAAATTATGTGTATTCTCTTATTCTGAGATTAAAGATAATCTTATCTCAGTTGATAAGACTAATGTCAGTAGCAAAATTTTTATTGTAGATAACATAATTCATTATCTGAGCATTTAAGTAGCAAAATTAATGAATAACATATTTTGAAAATTAATTAAACATAATTATAGAAAAACATAAAATAATAAATTTAATCATTAATGAAAATTATTAATTTCAGCAATATCTTTACACACTAATTGAAGAATTGCCAAACAAGCCTTTTTTGTCTTGTATATAAATCCACTTTGGAAACCTTATCAAACCCATAATTCAAAAGCACCAACAAAGTAACCCTCCAAATCATTGCTAGCTTCTTTCTGTTCTTTGTTGTGTAATATACTCTTTGAAACCAGCAATGGCAAAAAAAGAGATGGAAGTTGTGAAGGGTTTGGACTTGGAAAGGTACATGGGGCGGTGGTATGAGATAGCTTCTTTCCCATCATTTTTTCAGCCAAAGGATGGTGTGAACACAAGAGCCACATACAAACTGAATAGTGATGGAACTGTGCATGTGCTGAACGAGACCTGGAGTAATGGCAAAAGAAGTTCCATAGAGGGAACTGCTTATAAGGCCAACCCCAACTCTGATGAGGCAAAGTTGAAGGTCAAGTTCTATCTTCCTCCCTTCTTGCCCATCATTCCTGTTGTTGGTAATTACTGGGTTTTGTTCGTTGATGATCAATATCAGTTTGCTTTGATTGGAGAACCCACCAGAAAATACCTTTGGGTAAGTCAATTTACCTAGCTTCTACTTTTTCATGTTGTCATTGTTGTGTTATCTTCTTCACTCTAAGTTTCATGTTGAGTAAATTAAAGAAAAAAATCGTGTATTTTCTCATAAATTTTTATAAGTCTCAATACTTTTTAATCAACACTAATATTTTTATACTTATTTTATATTCATCGTCTTCTCTCTCTTTTTTATCATATCGGTTATTATTATTAATTTTTTATCCCTCGTTTTATTCATTTTACACTCAAAATTTGGTTACCGACTATTTTTGTTCTTTCTTAATTTTATGGAATTTATTTGTTTGTTTATTATTTAAATAAATAAATAACCTTTTGTAAATTGAAAATTAATAAAAATAAAATAAAATTTTAAAGATTAAATTATCTAATTTATATATAATATGTAAGAATTTATTGGGGTTTTGTTGGACTTTTCATTTGAAAGGGTATAAGAATATTACCATGGAACTATTTAATATTAACCGTATCAATTTTGTGGATCATCGATATTATTACATATATTTAGACACACAAGTTTTACTAGAGTGATTCACACAATTGATATTCTTCAGATTATGGCTTTAAATAGCGAAATGGGACTCCAGTAAAATTTTTTAATAATTCTTCATAATTGCATCACATTCACAATTAAAAGTAGAGCTGTATCTTATTTATGAGATGTTGGATAACTTTGGTCAATTTTCAATGCTAGATATTATGTAGGAAGACCCATCTGGAAGATGAAATCTACAACCAGTTAGTTGAGAAGGCGAAGGAAGAAGGATATGATGTGAGTAAACTCCACAAGACTCCTCAGAGCGATCCTCCACCACCAGGGGAAGAAGGCCCCCAAGACACAAAGGGGTTTTGGTGGTTCAAATCCCTGTTTGGGAAATAGGTTATGAGTATTTCATTACATATTGTGAATAGAGAAATTAAGCATCTTCAGTTGAACAACTTTTAAGTTTGAATCCCTTCAAGGCACGTAGGCCTGTTATGTGTGTGCTGTTGCTTCATACACTCATGTTTCGCTACTCTTTCGCTTGACAATTAAAACTTTTGTAATTCGTAAAAATAATAATAAAAATAAAGTTGGCGTGAGAATGTTTTGATAATATTATTAGTTACAAGGTTCAACGTTTTAATTATTCTTTTCATTAGAATTAAATGAGAATATGTCATTACCTTTTAATTATCATTAGTTATTATTTTTTGTCACCTTGACCACCTTTCACAATTGTCTTTATTATTTCCACCTTATACATGCTATTATTATTATCACTGCTATCATATATCTATTATTACCACTCTTCCATGTTATTATTTGGTAACTTTAACCGTATCTACTTTTATCATCATCGTTATGAATAATTTGCATATTTTAAATTTAAATTTTACAGATAAAAAACTACATAAAAAAATAAAATTAAAGAGTGAATAATCACCTAGTCCATCAAATTATAAACATCATTCACTTTAATCTCCACCTTTATCTAAAACTCATTCAATCCAATCATTTCCTTTTTCCTTTTTTCATTTTTCTGTATTAAAAGAACTAAACCGAGTTTATTTTTATAGTCAATGACAAAAATAATTTTTTTGTGTATTTAGAAAATAAATAATTTAAAACAAAATAAAGCATCCACTCAAAAAAAATAAAAAAACTCCAAACAAGCCAAGAAATTTTTTAAAAAAATTCATGAGAATGCAAAAATAGAAAATCTTCGTTATACAAAAAAAAAAACAGCAAGAAAGGAAATAAAAATTGATATTAACATTGGGATTAGGTAGTATCAGAACATTCATTAACGGAAAGAAAAAAAAGACTCTTAAGAAGAACATTTTACCACATATTTGTACCAAAAACAAATTATTCTCTGCTCTCTTGATTCTTTTGTTGGCTAAAGGGGTTGAAACAAACCATATGGAATCTCCAGGAGATGCTTCGTGTCACATGCAATAGCACCTCACCTCCCAGCCATTTTAATTTTAACATTATTAAAGTTAAAAGTAAATTTTATCCATTTTTTGGGGTATTTAGTTACTATCAAGGGGACAACATTGCTAGCCCGCCGTATGGTGTGACTAACTGCTAAATGCAAGCTCGAGTTACCTCTAGTATATTGTTGTTTGGATAGGATAGAAAAGTAGTAAGCAAGAACCGCTCCAAGACCACAAAAATAGATAACACCATTGCAATGGCAATGATAGAATGTGGACACATGACAACATCCAACTACAGATCAACAAGGAATGACTTTACCAAGACAATAATTTATGCATACTATATAAATCATCACAGTAAAAATCACAAACAAGGTAAATGAGAATTTTAATTTGTCAACACGGCAAGATCTTTAGCCAATATTTAATTCCCGTCTGCAATACATATATCGGGGAAATCACATAATTTCACCAAACAAACAATGGAGTGATATAGACATATGAAGCTATTTCTCCTATCCAACAGCCTCCATGTCGGAAAAGGATTCTAGTGAGCTCACTGGATACTGTTGGTCTTGAAAGCTTACAATACAGTACAACACTGATTGGTTTTCTTTGCCTGTTTGTAGAACATCTGTTTCAAACGCCAGCATCAGGTTCTCGTGTCAGTAAACTAAAGGGGAATAAATTTCCAATCATGGTTAACTGAAAGTATTCTCTTTCAAAGATGCACATAAACATGGTATCAAAACAAGTCATACTCCTTCAGAGAAATAATAGAATTATTAATTTGCAACCAGAAAACTGATTACTGATAAATAATTAAATATCAAAATAAATAATGAAAAAGAAAAAATTGAAATCATTAAAAGGAAAAATATTGGACCCGACCTTATAAGTATTCTATAGAGTATAGACAAACCAAAGGCAAGATACAGATGCTTAGCACCAATAGAATTCCAATTTTTGTTCAGTATTTAATAGTGGCAAAAACACGGTATGTGACTGTGATGTAATTATACATAAAAGCATGTGAAGAAGCAAAATTTCAATCTAAGATACCTCTCTTCACTTAGTTAGGATATGATAAGTAGATAAGACCGTTGAATATTGTATCATTGTATGGGTCAATATCCATTACCCTCCCGAAGATCCTGTTCTTCCTTTTAATAAACACAACATATATACTACTTGATAATCAAGACACAGACAGCAGTTTAAGATAAAAATTGTCGTGAGCAACATTTATAAGACCATAACCTCACAAAGGAATATGTTATAGCAGCTTAGATGAAAGCACATTCTAATGTACCTGTCTCAAAAAGACAATAGCACAGATGTCTACTGTAAAATTTATACGAGATCCCAAATTTGTATGCTAAAATTTTATCACACATGGTTGATCAAGCATTGCTAAACCTTTTTCTATAATGAAAAACATTAATCACAAGAGTAAGGAAAACATCCATCAAGCATGCTTGATGATGACATAATCACATAGACCAACGCTTTAGTAACAGAAAATAAGAGTCACACAAATAATAGATGTCTAGATATATGCATTCATTCATGTACTAATCCCTAACACAAAGTTGTAAAACAGGATCTTTTATAGTGTACCTGTGATGCTGCACTCAGATCAGAACTCTTCTCAACTAAACTGTCCAGCCTCTCCCCTCGTGCAAGCACACTATCAATAGTCTTATGCTGTCATAAACAGAAAAACATCATAAGGTGAAAGAAAATAATAAAGTCAGTCATTGACAAGCATTCCATCGCATGTGTGTGTGTGTGTGTCACTTTGTGTAGGAGGAAATGAACGAAACCCCTCAACCCACAGAGTAGCTAAATCTAGACTACCAAATTAAATTTAATATAACCAAATGAATGTAAATAAGAAACGTGAACATATTTGTAAAAATTTTAAAAACGAATACCAACCAAATTATTGATGGCATCACATAAAATCTAGGATATCACACCATGATGCTAAGAAAGGATAAATTTACAATAGAACATTACATTTGGCTTCATTAAAGCGATGCTTAACTTGCATGTCACTGGCATTGTCATCTAAAGCTAAATGTATTTGGGAACCAATGCCAAATTCTCAAACAAACAAATAATTAGTTTGGAAAATTACCAAGCACATCACTGTCAAGTTTAAAATTGAATCACTACATGACAAAATGTCTTAAAGGGAAGTAAATTTAGAAGATCTACAGTTTTGAAAATTAATGCTCTTACAAGGATAATTTTTGTTTCATCCAACTCTCTCTGGATTTTCAACAACTTGTCAGCCTCTGCAGGATCCTGAAGATTTGACAGGAAAAAATAAAAAGGGGTTCAGACCGAGTCCAAAGTAATTCTGTAAAAAAAGGCTAGCAGAAAGGAAAAACAACTTTAACACAAGTTAGAATATTAGCTAATACAACAAAGAAGAGGTATTTTCATGCCTGGAATTTTGTCAGCGCTTCATTCAAATAGGGCCATGGTTGAGTACCATCTTCCTGAACACTTCGCCATGACTCACCAAAACTTTTTTGATATTCATCTAGCACCTGCAAGACATTGTATTTAATTACCATTCTAAGAAAACAATACAATAACGAGCATCGGAGTCAGTCCATCCGATATAACAGCTATTCTAATCTGACATTTAATTACTGTCATTTTTTTCAATTACTTCAAGTTTTGTGAGTCCAAAAGGCAAATACTTTGTGACTTGCTCACTTAACACAATGCTTAACCCTTTTGTCTGCCAACACACATATGGAAACTTACTGGGAATTCTCATTAAAACAAGACATTTGAGCATTATGGAGGATAAATAGCTTTAAGAAGCTAATCATTTAGTTATGGTGCAGACTGAAGATCACCGTGGAGCATAGACAGTCTCTCTCTCTCTCTCTCTCTCTCTCTCTATCTCACACACACACAGAGACAAAAATGACAAAAATGTTCAGAAATGGATCAATTTTATTCTGCTGAAACTGAATCATAAAAGGTCCAATCGGGCATGTCTCACATGAGGGCCAAGGTGCACAGAAAAAACAGCATAAATAATAATAGAGTTTCATTGACCTGAGTTTAAGCATCAAAAAGTGGTAAAATTTAATTGAGAAAGAATATTTATTATATTAAAGATGAAAAAGTATAATAAATATTTATTTTTTCAATAAAATCTTACCATTATTAGTTGCTTAAACACAAAGGACTGAGGTTAACATTTTCCATAAATATTATGTGAACTTAAACAGCAAACTGAACCATTCTTGTCAATCCAATTGCTATCGTGATTTGTGACGTCAACAGATTTGGAATTAATACAAAATATTCATAATGGTAAAAGATATAATTAAAACCTTAGACCTAGACCCAAATAAATTAAAATTAAAAAGGCTATCATAATTGATTTGACAGCTAAATCACAGAATCCCTTACACTAACTACAATATCATCCTCAGCAATACCAGAGGCATAGTGATCATGCAACCTAGTAAACAATTTTTCAGTGAACGGAAAAATTGGCCAACAACATATAGTCCAGAATGACTCAAACAGCTAATAAGAAATGCCTCTAACTGGTGGTTTCATCGACATTTAATTTAACCGACCAAAAAATCAAAATTTGTCAGATGTTAAAGTAATATATCATCTCGCAAAATAAGGAAAAACATCGATGCAATAACTAAAAGTGAGATAAAGAGTTGCGATTTACGACCTCATAACAAAGGAAGCAGTAACAAGCAGTAAATACAACAACGATGAACCGAAACGCAGTGCTCAAACTCTCACCTGATTAAGAAGAGAAAAGGCACTTCGAATCGGGTAGTGATCATCCATAAACCCCACCGCGCAAAGGCCATTTCTGTTGTAAGCATGCACCTTGTACTCTGCAAAATACGAAACAATGAATCGCGTTTCCAGATTTCGAACAACTAATTACGATTTCTATTATTCCAAGGGGAAAAAGAGAGAGATAAAAGTAACAAATTCATAAAAACGAGAAAGCGAATCGGGATCAACGAAAACGACAACATAATAACTGAAAACGCAGGGTTGATTCGGCAAGGACCTTCGTGCTGAACGGATTGACGCTGGCCCTGAGGGGTGCGTTTGGCGACGGTGCGACCGACGAAGACGATGAACTCCTTAACGCTTGAGCGCTGGAAGTAACCGAAGTGGCTAACGTCGGAAGCGATGGCGAGAATAACGGGTGAGGGATCGGAACCCTCACCCGTGCATTTTAGAACCAACAGCGATGTGATCTTCATCCCTTTCTCTTTCTCTCTCTAAATTCTCTCTCTTCCAAACCAACCTTCGCTTCCTCTTTTTCTTCTTCTTTTCTATTCGCTCGCTCCCAGTCGGCAAGGTAAAACTAATAAGGAAGCGTGCAACGCCAAAACAAAATCTAAGTTAATTAAATTAGCAAAATGTTAACGTGTAACCATAAATAATAATAATAATAAATATATTTATTAAATTTATCATGAGCGGCACGTAAATTTAAATTTTATCGTGTTTATCGGAGAAAATCACAAATTATAAATTAAAAAAATTATATTTTATTTATTGGACCAACGATAGTTACAAATTATGAGTTAAAAATTAATCTTAAAAATTTTAAAATATCTCGCAATCTTTAAATTTAAACAAAAATTAACAATTTTTATATTTATTTATTTTATCATGTTTTTGTTCTGCCTTCATAAAAGAAATTGAGGTGTTAAAATACTATTTTTCTAAATTAACAGTGGGATCAGATCCGCGTTAGAATAAGGCTATCTTTAGATCCATAAGAAAATAAACGAGAACGATGCTTTTATGACGTTTGTTAAGGAATTAAAATATGTTATTAATATATTTGTTATTGTAGTTTTAAATGTGGTTTTTTATCAAAGTTTTAAATGTGATTTATTTTTTAATAATTTTTTTATTTATTAATTTTATAATTAAAGTTTTCAGGACATCTATTAGTAAGATAAATTAAAAATTATATATTTTAGTAAAAATGAAAATTAGTAAAATAAAATATTTAAATTAAAAATATAATATCAATGTTATCTATCACCTACATAGATTATATTACTTAAAATTGACTTCAAAACAACTCTAATAGTACTCATTAAAATTTCTTATTATGGATCTTATCATAAGTTTTATTTTCTTCATTTTCACAATTTAAACACATCTTCTTCAAAGTTACTCTTATATTTTTACCTATTAATATTTATTTTCATTTCGAGACAAAGTTATTCAATTGTTTATATTTAAATCTTGAGAAGATAAAAAATATAAAATTTTTAGTATATTAAAAAAGTAACAAATTTATTTTAATCAAGTGTTTTAAACAATACAAATATAGGAAATTTTATTTGTCGTCTTACAAATCAATAAAATACTATTTATTTTATACTTATTATAATAGCTAATAAAAATTAAGCTTTTCGAGTTTAAAATTTTAATAAATCAATAAATTTTAGCCAATTTTTATTTTATCATATTTTTATCCATTAAAACGGAACCTTAGATTTAGATATAAAATTTTACTATTTAATCAAATTTATTTTAGTGGAGTCTAAATTTTACTAAGTTGAAAAGTAATTAAGTACTCAAAGATGTTTGTAAGAGTCAACAAATAAAACCATGATTGTACGTGTTGAGTTGGTCTTAACAATTACGTTTCTTAAAAAATTAAGATATTCAATTTTAAATTATAAAATTTATATTTACTCATTATATTTTCTTATATGCAATAGCATCAATTGAATTTTGAGTTTAAAAGAATTATAATTTGAAACAACAGTAATCAAATGCATGCTAGATTAAAGTAAATTAGAAAATAATATTTTAAGGTGGATAATTTTCAAATACAATAATATGTATTAGTATATATATTATTCATTCAATATTATGTTTTATTTATCTGTAAATTTTAATTTGTTAACTTTTAATCTTTCTTGCAAGTTTTAATGATATTTTTTGTGTCTATTTCATTGATAATAGATTAGAATTATGTATATATTAATAGTAGTGTGTGAGTGTATAAGATAATAATGTAAATAAAAAACTTGTGTCAAAATATAGAATGAAATGAATTTTTTTTAAACTATGATGGAGATTTAATTATTTTATTGAATGAAAAAAAAAAGGGGGTCATAAGAAAACGCCAATTAAAATTGAAATGGTTTTTTTCTTTGGAAAAATTTTGAAACGAATCTCATGTAAAAGTTAAACGAATTGCCAAATAAATTCATAGTTAATTTAGATAACTCATTTGAAAAAAAATAATTTTGTTGTCAAAATTTCGTTCAAAACTTTGAAGTGAAAAAGTTATTAAGGTATAGTAAAGACAAAAAACTAAAAATAAAAATTAAAAATATGTTTGTGTTCTAAAAAATCTACCTAATTAATACACACTCTCATATATAATGTGAAAAAATGTATCTAAAAATTATTACAAACATGTAACACAAAAAAAGTAAATGTAATTATTAATCTTTAGGAATAAATATTATTCTTATAATTTATATGTAATACTATAAATGTATTTATACTATTTTATTTTAATCATTTAATAAGCATTTTTAAAAAATATTTTATTACAAATTTCAATTCTATAAAAACTTTTAACATAAATATGGATGAAATGTTTGTGAAAAATGTTAACACCAACCCTAAGGATTGATTTTAAGCAACCAAAAATAGTATTTTTTATTAAAAATTAATTATCTATTATACTAAAAACATTATAGTGTAATAAATATTTTATTTTTAATAAAATTATTATTTTTGAATGATAAAATGAACTTTTAAGGGCTGGGTTAACAAAATAAAATATTTATTTATCAAATAAAAACCTGTTATCATAAATATTAAAATTAAAAATAGGAATGGTATGAGTAATTGAATTAATAAAGAAGTTAAAGTATTGGAATCACTAACCCTACTTGGCTTTTACGATGCAATTTTATTTTATTTTGGTCCAAAATAGTGTCATAGATGTAAGAGTGATTCTTATGAGATTACAGAATATCTTGCTTTAGAGTGATGCTTTTATCACACTCTCTTTCTCAGTAAGTTATATTATGTACGTTTTAACAAGAAAGTAACGTGTTTTCAATATTTATTTATACGACTTGTTATTAAAATGCAAAATCAGTTGCAAAAAGCTTCAGTTTTGAAAAATTAATGACGTATAACAGAAATTGCACAATAAACAAAATCATATTCCTAAAATGACATTGTGAATTGATTTTCTATTTTGAGAGGAAATGTTGACCAGCTATTCATGCGGGAAAATGTGTGGAAGTAAATAGTAAAAACCCAATCTCTGGTAATTAATCCCACTGATCAATTACAATTAGTTTGCTTCACTCTCTCTCTATACTCTTTCTTTGCCTTTTCCATTACATTCCCTTGAGGGTTTTCTCAGAAGCTTCACAGGCAATGTCTCTTTCATCTGTCTAATAGATATGAATATGGCTCTGGATTTTTGGGTACGCACGTATATGATATTTGATCACTGTTTTATTATTTTCTAGTGGGGTATTGAATTTTACAATAAATCGAAACAAATATTTGGGAACTATTGGATTAATCAGTAGTGAAAAAGTAATTGAGGAAAATGCAAAATTGAAGGTTGAAGGTTAATTTGATATACACTCCTCATTGGTTTTTAAAACAATTAGGCTCTATTTGTTTTAACTTTACAGCAAAAGTTACAATCTTCTTAAGATAAAAAATCATGTTGAGATATTAGTATATTTTTAAAGTAAGATTTCTTCAATTATTTGATTCCATTTGACCTAACATACAAGCGAGACCTTAACCATTTTACTGAAGGCTTTCTGCTATACATCAAAATATTATGATTAGCTACAGAGGAAATGTGATTTGTGTTCTTTGTATTTTTGTTCGTTATTATTCTTATTAACTATGAGTTTGAAACTATTGTAGGAAAAAAAAAAGATGATCAAAACCTTGTTTCTCGTTTTCTTGTTCTTCCATGTAACATCATCCCAAAAACTTGGGCGTCGAAATTTACCCTTAACTCCGCAAATTCCTGCCCCTGCACCCAAAAAATGGTCCACCTTAAGCGGTTGGTAAAAATGAGATATGTTTCTATAAAGTTGTCTATTCTCTTTGTTATGACAATTAATGTTCTCTATGATTATCGTTTGTCATTATTTGTAGGCAACGAGCCACTTGTAATAGCTCGTGGTGGGTTCACGGGTCTATTCCCTGAAGGCAGCACCGAAGCAATTGCCATATCTAAGGATATTAGCATATTTCTATGCAATGTTCAATTCACAAAAGATAGTGGTGCCTATTGTGTGACAGGAATTAAGCTTGACAATACAACAAATATAGCAATGTTTGATCCAAAAGAGAAAACTTACAATATTTATGGGCAAGAAGTGCGAGGACACTTTGCAGTAGATTACACTGGTTCTCAAATTGATCAAAATGTGTCGAGTATGTCTTGGACAAAACTATATTTTCTTCAAGATCGAAAATTTAGATCAAGTTCCTTTCATGACAAGATCTCTGGTTAAATAATGACAAGATCAATTTAGAATTTGAAAAGACACATTAGCATATAATCATTTAATTAGAAAAGTTTATTAAAAGGATATATCAAATTTAATTTCTGATTGCATGTTTGTTGTTGTAAACTTTTCTATACTAAGTACATGACTACAAACTATAGAGCTTGTTGGCTCTCTTGGTAGTGGCTGATGTTAATAGCATATTAATCATGTCACACGAGCTTAGTTTGCTCCTAATGTAGTCAATTAATTGCTTGCAAAAGCAAATTTGGTCAAGACTTTTATATCAAAACCATTTTTATTTAAGATCTGCATAACTAAATATATGAATTAGAATGAGATGTAACCAATTATGAGCGACTAGAGAAAATAAAAAACACATTATACATGCAATTCATTACTCATGTTTCATTGCTAAAATTCTTACAATTGAAAATTTGTGAAATTCATATCTAAGCTAGGCTTGCTTACTTCACACAGAATTATGAATATAAGATGGATAAAATTGATAATGCCCATGTTGAAGAATTAGAAGTTTAAGGTTTGCTCTTCATTTTGTTACAGTGAATCAGGCCATTTTTTCTCGACCCAGTTTTTATGATGGCATGTATCCAGTACTTAATGTTGATGGTATACTAGGTGGTAAATCTCCACCCAGGTTTTGGTTGAATGTTCAGGTTCTCTTCCTCTCTATTCTTCTTCTTCTTCTTCTTCTTCTTTCTCTCATATTATTCGTAAGAAAAACTGAATATATAATAGATATATGTTGTGAAAATTGAAAACCTTAAGCTTTATGGGGTTATTCTTTCTTTATCAATCTTGTATATGTTGTAACTGTGTGGTCTGTTGCAGTACGAAGAATTCTATAACCAACACGGAGTAAAGTTGGATGATATTGTTCTAGAAATATTGAGACTTTATCAAGTAGACTTTGTGTCATCTCCAGAGATTGGTTTTTTAAGGAGAATAAATGGGAAAGTACCAAAGAAAGCAACGAAGGTCATCTTTCAACTTCTTAATACTAATGATGCTGAACCAACAACCAAGGAACTATATGGCACCATTGTGAAAGATCTTGCTACAATCAAGTCATTTGCATCAGGTATAATGGTTCCAAAGGAATACATATGGCCAATTAAACCAAACAAGTACTTAGGGCCTCCAACAACACTAGTACCTGATTCCCACAAACAAGGTCTAGAAGTGTATGCTTCTGGTTTTGCTAATGATTTCTTTTCTAGTTATAATTATAACTATGATCCTACAGTAGAGTACTTGCAATTTATAGAGAAAGGGGATTCTGTTGATGGTTTTGTTACTGATTTTGCTCCAACGGCATCAAATGCCATAGGTGAGTTTACAATCTTGAACTTTTCTTTCATTATTATTTTCTAATGGATTTCTCATTTTTTTTTAAAAGCATGCTTTGCTCAAACTAGTTCTCATGAATTTCTCATTTTTCCAGCATGCTTTGCTCGTAATAACACCCTACCAAAAAGAGGTACTACTGTAATTCTTGCAGTATTCTCAGTCATAGAACCATAGACAAGACATGTAAAAGCATAACAATAAGATAAGCTCATTAATTTGCTTTTGCAGGGAAAGCTTTGATCATAAGCAACGATGGAGCAAGTGGTGTTTATGCGAGTTCCACTGATCTAGCATATCAACAAGCAATAGAGGATGGGGTTGACATTATTGATTGCTCAGTTCAAATGACAAAGGATGGAATTGCATTATGCTCAAGTACTGCAGACCTAATGACAGATACAACTGCAATGACTAAATTCACGTCTCGAACTTCCAAAGTTCCTGAAGTTCAACCAAATAATGGGATATTCTCCTTTGACCTCACATGGAATGAGATTCAATCCTTGCAACGTAAATATTTCTAAGGGACATCAAAACCGTACATAAAGATCTATTAGTCTAAGATTTGAACAGAGAACTTATGGTATGAAGTTTCTTGTTTCAGCCCAAATTGTTAGCCCTCTTGGCAATGACTTCCAGAGAAACCCAGCAAACAAAACTAGTGGTAAACTTATAACCTTCTCTCAGTTTTTAGAGTTAGCTAAGGCAAAGGCAGTTACTGGAATTTTGGTTAATATTAAGGTGAGCAACATTCATTAATCCCTTCTCCTTTAATATTTGACTTTCAAATTTTTCTATTGTGGCTAATTCTCTTTATTTGTCTTATAGAATGCTGCTTACCTTGCATCAAAAAAAGGTCTCGACATTGTTGGTGTTGTAAGCACTGCCTTAAGTAATGCCACCTTTGACAAGCAATCCACACAACTAGTCATGATCCAATCTGATGATAGTTCAGTGTTATCTAAGTATAAGGACATCCCATCTTATAAAAGGGTATTGTTAATTGAAAATAAAATAGGTGACACGCCTAAGCAAACTGTGGATGAAATCAAGAAGTATGCAGAAGTAGTCAATCTTCCAAAATCATCTGTTATCAAAGCATCTGGTTCCTTGTTAACAGGAATGACAAATATTGTTAAAGAGTTGAAAGATGCAAACCTTACAGTATTTGTCCGTACTCTTAGAAATGAGTACATGTCATTGGCTTTTGATTACTGGTCAGACCCTAATGTGGAGATAGCTACATACATCCATTCTGCCAAGGTTGATGGAATAGTGACTGATTTTCCAGCCACTTCTAGTAGATATATGAGTAAGTAATTCAATCTTAGCTTAAATATATTTTAGGCCCCACGTTTTTGTGATATTTTAATTTCAGTTCCTAAAAAAATAATCGAGGCCATATTACATAGTTGTAAGGGTGCCAAATTCTTGAATTTAGAGAAGTTAAAGACTAAAAAAGAAAATTAAGATTAAAACTAAAATCTTACAGAAGGCTAAAAACATATTTAAGTGTTCAAATCTCTTATGTTTTCTTAATTAGTCCAAGCAAACATGATTTCACTCAAATTATCTAAGTAACAGATCTTTCATCAAGAAAAAAAAGTTGATATGGTTGGTTGCCTTAATCTAATACACAGGAAGCCCATGTAGTGATACCCACAACGTGCCAACCATCTTACCAGCTCAACCTGGTGACCTACAAAGCACGATTGAGCCTGAGTTACTACCACCAGCAGAAGCACCACTTCCACCCCTAGAGGTTGCAAATGTTGTTGATCCACCACTTCCTGCAGTGGTTAATGTGGATAGAACTAATCCTGCTAAAGCACCTACCCGTCCACCACCTCCTTCAAATGCCTGGGCAAATTTTTTTAGTTTAAGTCTCTCCTTAGTGACAATCTTTTTGTACTTCCTATGATAGTTGTTGGCCATTGATGTAAAATACTAGCTTAGCATTGACTTCTAACTCTTCACTTATCTTTCATCTTCTTTTGTGACGATATCTTAATTTGTATATATTATATAGAATGGATTTGACAATAACTAGTGCACAAAAGTATTCTAATGAACTGAATTTTGAAGAATAACCTATAGAGAATTTGAATGTCTTTCTTTTTTTAAAAAATAACATTTTATAAATTTTTTCAACTTTTTTTATTTAAAATTTTGAAAAATTTAAATTGGACACAAATTAGTTTAACTAAGTGAAGTTTAATGAAAAAATATTTCTATCTTTATCTTAATGTGAGTGATTTAAAATGTTATTATAACAGTTTCAAAATTATTATAAATGATATGCATAGAGCAATTACAACTTGAATCCCTATAAATACTATATACATATTATAATTGTTTATATTAATCAACATAAAAATTGTTCTCAAAACCTAGCTTAAATTCTCTGTGACTGTGAGCTCCTCACTTAAACTTCTCCTAAGTTATGGCAAATGGAGTTGTTGTCCTTATCTTTTGCATCGCCTTTCCTATCGCACCAATCTTATCTATTTGTTTTGTAACAATGCTTAAGTTTAATTAGTTAGACTTATATTATTTTTAAAATAAAATTTTAAATAACAAATCTCTCTTTATCTTTCCATTATATTATTCATCTTATTCTTATCACTTTTCTCCTATTTAAATTAAGTTGTAAAAATATTGTGCAAATTTGTCATATAATTATCATTTCTCAATTAGTTAAGTTATGAACCAACAAACTTTTGAGAGATAATAACTTTTTTTTTTATATATTCAAGTGACACTTAATAAAAACATTTTAAATAATACATCTGAGCATTTTATTTAACAACAAAATACTTAAACAGTAAAGTTTTAAAAGGTAAGATATTACAAAATCACTTTAAGGTTTTTTTAATTATATTTAAAAAATTTAAAAAGTAATTTCATATTACTAATTTTTAATAATTTTTAATGTGTCCAAAAATATATGTTAAGAAATAAAAATAAAAAATGCTCATTACAGACGTTAAAAAATTTAAATATATAAGTTACTTAATAATACATAAAATTAAATCATAAATTATAAGTATCAATTAATTTAATTTCTAAAACTATCTTATGTTTTATTTAATAATTTAAGAATTAATGTGGCCATTATTTTTAATATCAGGTATCAAAATAATAATCTCTTTAAAAATTTAAAAATAAAAATGATATTTTTGTAATTTTAAAAATAAAATAAATTTAAAATTTAATACACTGACATGTATATTAACTGAGATTAGTTGTTTCAGGCGATGAAGACTTGTGATTCAAATAAAAAAACGTTTTACTACTATTTTTAAAATTTTAAAAATATTTGAATTATTAATAACACCCACTTTATGATACTAAAAAAGTAAATTAAATAGCTAGAATTTTAAAAATGTAATTTAATATAACATATATAAATTGGGGGAGATTAATTTGATGCAGTAAATGAAGGTATTAAAGGGAGTAGATGATGGAGAAGTGAAATGGGGGTTTAACCTAAGAGAGGAGAAAAAGGAGAAGTGATTTAAAGACAGAGGAAAGAGGAGCTGAGGGCATCGAACAAAGCAAGCCTTGGCAGAGTAAACACTTTGCCAAACGTCAAAACCCTCGAAACCAATGGAAGACGAAGACGAGTTCGGAGATTTATACACAGACGTTCTTCGACCCTTCGCTCTTTCCTCATCCTCTGCGCCGCAACCCCACCACTCTTCCCCTGCACCCGCCTCTTTCGATCTCAACACCCCTCAGATCCCCTGCGATGCACCCCACTCTAATTCCCCTGCACCCAATCGCCTCCCTTCTCCTCAACCCCGTCAACCAACCCTCTCCGCCGCCGCGCCGATCGACAGCCACAACGATGCGCCTGCCCAGCCGCCAGCCCACGGAGAAGAGGAATCAGCCGACGGTGTTAAAATTCTCGATGCAGAATTCGCGGATAGGGCTTTGCAGGATTCAAAAGTCGGTGCCGGCAGCCAAGTCGGCGCTGAGGGCGTTGATCCGATGGACAGAGATGTGAAATTCGATATTGAAGATGAAGACGGTGGCGATGTTGGCTCGGAGCCGGTTATTCCGGGGTTATCCGGTGGTGGCGGCGAGGTGCTGCGGAGGGTGGAGGAGGAAGGCGGTGAGGGAGATGATTGGGACAGCGACAGTGAGGATGATTTGAAGATAGTGTTGAATGATAACAACCACATGGCTATGGAACGGGGTGGGATGGGGGATGATGATGTGGGTGTGGATGATGATGATGATGAAGATGGAGGGCTTGTAATTGTGGCTGGTGGTGATCCGAATCAGGGTGCGGAGGAGCAAGAGTGGGGTGAGAATGCAACCCTAGCTTCTGATGGCGAGAGGAAGGATGCCGCTGAATTGGCCAAGACGGGCGCCGCTGGTGCGGCGCCGCCTAAGATTGGGTATAGCAATCATGGGTATCATCCGTTTCATTCCCAGTTTAAGGTCAGTGTCTTGTGTTGATTGAAAGAGCATTACTTGTATTAGGTGATTTTAAAGTGTTAATTGAAGTGCAAAATTGTGTATGTTTGTCCTTGTAATTGTACACCTTGATATAGGAGATGAGATCAATGAATGAACTTTGATGATTTGACTCACCATTGCTTTATGTTTCCTTTGTACACCTTTGTTCTGAAAAGCTGAAAAAGATGAATGGCTATGACAAATAGCAACCAGTCTGATGTTGATAATGGTGCGGTAATGAAATCTGGAAAGATGTGTGTTGACATTTGTGTCGATTCCTTGTGGGATGTTAGTGATACTATTTGGCTTGTCTAATCAACTTTTGCCTGGGAGATGATTTTACAGTGTCTTCTGTGATTAAAAATTTTAGCAGGGTTTACACGCATGGAGAGCGTAACCGAGTTTGGTAGTGAACTGAACTCGTAAGTTTGGTAGTGAACGCATGTGTTTAGCAGATTTTATACGAGTTTAACCAAGTTCACCAGCTTTTGAGTGTACATGCGATTTAACTCGATTTGGGCACCCAAGATCCTACACGATTTTACTAGTTTAAAATGCAATTTTAAATTTTAACAGCCATGGCTGATACTCCTAAAGATTTGTCTGTGCTTGTTACTTGGTTAAATCTAAATCATTTTTCAAATTTTATTTGAGTCTCTTTACAAATGAATGATCATTCTAAGAATGGTGTGGAGCAGCTTTGCCAGATCAATATTATTTTATATCACATCGATTAATTTTTTGACTTTGTGATTGTGTGGATTTGACACTTCTTGATACCTCTTAACTGTTTTCTTTGGGAGGAGCTGTGGAAATTGAATATGGGATTTTGACAAATTTATGGTGTTACTTGTGAATTTTACATATAATTTGTGACCCACAAACTCCGTGAAAGAGGGTAAAAAGAGAACAAGAAAATGCCTCCTTCAGCTTTTGATATCATTTAAACAATTTTATTGAATTGTTGAAAAGCAAAGACAAACCAATTTTAGTGATGCGTAAAGATGCCTTTTATGTTATACCCAATAAGTTTGTTGGCCAGACTTCTGGACCTCATCTCCCTGCTTTGAAGCAGCAGCTATACACAGACACACATGTAAACAAAGATGGAGAGAGAGAGATAAGTAGTTTTTGTGAAGCACTGTAAATTTGTTTTTGTGCTTATACATGGAAATTGCATTAATAATCATTTATACGTATCTTCCCTGTATTTTGTACTATTTGTTTTAAACTGAGCAGCTAGGCAATAGAAAATTGCTTAAACTAATGGATGTTTTATGTGCCAGTCAAGAATGTTATTCTTGATTGTGAAATTATTCATTGCCTACTTTCCAGTGGTTATGGCTTCTTGGCAACCTTTAGTTATATTTAATCTAAGCAAGGTTTAATTCTGCCAAAAGTTTTGTTCCCTCTTCCCCCAGGTTTATTGTTTAACCTGACTACCTACTATTCTGGCAAGTTTTGTTAACAACGGAATGCTTGTATGCATTTCTTTCATCTTTAGATCTTGAACAAAGATTGACTTCTGTCTTCATCTAGTCTTTGTATATTAGTAATCAGATAACCTAATTTTTGCTGAATGCTATGATTTTAGTAAATCAGTAATTAAAAAGTTAAGGGGAGGGGAGGCTACCCCAATTCAAAGTCTAGGGCATGTCACAAGCCTTGTTGATGGCTTTACTGTGGTTTTTTCAAATTGCTCATCAAGGGGGATTGCTTACAGCTTGAATTGAATCTGGACCTTTCAAATGAAGTTCTTTGATCCTAGCAAGTGGGAACATTTAGACGTTTGAATCATTCATGTATTGCTGATTCATGATAGTTCTTGGTTTGTTTATATATTAATATGATAAATTGTGGTTCGTTGAAATGGAAAAGATCTAATAATTTGTTTTCTTATGGTTGCATAGTATATTAGGCCTGGTGCAGCACCAATGCCTGGAGCTACTACTTCTGCTCCAGGAGGGCCTCCTGGTCAGATTCGTCCACTTGCTAACTTAGCCGGTCGTGGCAGAGGGGACTGGAGACCACCTGGAATAAAAGGGGCTGCTGCTATGCAAAAAGGTTTTCATGCAGGTCCTGGAGTACCTGGTTGGGGCAACAGTGGTGCGGGGAGGGGTTTTGGTGGTGGATTGGAATTTACACTTCCTTCTCACAAGTAATTTTAAATTTTAATGAACTGAATTTTATTTTGTCTTTAGTTGTAGTGGACTCTAGGTTTGAAGTGACTTAGATTAGCTTATTTTGGGAAAATAAGTGCTTGTTTTTTGGCAACTTACTGAGAAAGCTGTTTCTTCAAGGAAAAAAAAAGATTATTTCAAATTATATAAGCTTTCCCAAACACATCACAGAAGGCGTTTTTTAGTGGTCAAGTAGAACTGCAACTTAGGAGAGAAGTGTCTCTAATCCTAAACACATGAATAATAAGTCGAAAGCGGCTAGCTCCAGGACTTATGTTTCTTCTTTTGTCTTATGATCTATGCATGCTAGACAAGATTTATCATTTTGTTAATTGCTTGAGTGAATAGCACTTGGCATTCTATTAAATATGTACTCAAAAGAATAAATACATCTTACATTTCCAAGAGCAATATTAAAGAATTATACTATTTCCTATAACCCTAATCTTGTCAATGATGCATTAGCTACCATAATTCCCAATGACACATTAATCACCATCTCTTTTTCCAACAACCTGTAATTTTATTTTGTGGTTTATCATCTTGATGGTAGATGAATATAGTTGCTCACTCCTACATTTTAATGATGTATCAGTGTGATTTCTTTCAAATGAAAATGTTCTCTGTCTTGATGAATAAGTTTTGATATATTGAGTCTAGCATTACATGCACCGAACTATTTTTGTGTTAGAATCTTACAATAAAAGTACATCTCTGATGCAGGATATTTTTGCTTCCATTATTTGGATGCTTTTATCCAAATATAACTAATCCTCATTTATGCCTCACCCATCCAGTGCTTATATAAACCTGCCAATTATTTTCAGGACTATATTTGATGTTGATATTGAGAGTTTTGAGGAGAAACCATGGAAATATCCAAATGTTGATACATCAGAATTTTTCAACTTTGGTTTGAATGAGGACAGCTGGAAAGATTATTGCAAACAACTGGTAAAATTATTAACATACTTTGAATATTCTCCAGAAATTTGTGTAGACTGAAATCTATGTATTTGACTTTTTAGGAGCAACTACGCCTGGAATCTACAATGCAAAGCAAGATCCGTGTTTATGAGAGTGGTCGAACAGAGCAGGTAGGGGTGCTTTTGCATTTTAAATTTAGTTCTTTATCAATTTCCCTGTGTTCATGTAGTGATATTTTTCTTTTATTAAGTTAATCATGAAGTTTATTTCATTCCAGGAGTATGATCCAGATTTGCCCCCTGAATTAGCTGCAGCTACTGGCATACATGATGTTCCTGTTGAAAACACAAATTCTTTAAAATCAGATATTGGTCACAGTGATGTTATCAAAGGTTCTGGGACTGGACGTGTGCGACCCCCACTAGTATGTATTTTTCTACTTATTTTTTGATGAATAATTTATTGAAAATATACTTCTGTTATTGGTTTTATAGTCATTTCTCTCATATAAAGCCCATATTGAAAATATACTTATCATCAAGTGACATGCTTCTGGTCTATACCATAATATGTTTGTGGTTGATATTTTGCCCTTTGTTCTCTAATTCAGTATCTAGGCTCTAATAAATTTATTTCCTACCAGCCAACTGGTAGAGCAATACAGGTGGAAGGTGGCTGTGGTGAACGACTTCCTTCCATTGATACCCGTCCTCCTCGAATTCGTGATTCAGATGCAATTATTGAGGTATTTGGTGATTTTGTCATATAAAGCTCTCATGGGATAATCCTTTTTCCTGCACAGGCAGTGTACACATTACTAAATATTTTTGTAAATTTTTGTGAACAGATTGCTTTACAGGATACGGAAGATGATTCCTCTGCAGGAATTGTTGTCCAAGATCCACCAGAGGGTGGAGAACCCCATAGAGCAGATTTTAGAGAAGACCATGTACCTGGAGATGAAATTCCAAGGTTGGAGCCTGAGTATTTTGATGGTTTTCGACAGGATTATAATGGTCGAAAGAAAGAGCTTGGTGGAAGAAGAGTGCCATTAATGAATTCTAGTCCTGCTAACATACCCAATGGAGATGAACATTTGTTCTTCCCACAGGAAGAGCCAATTGAGTACTCTGGTTCGAGGGGCCAAAACCCTAGATCGTATGCTGTCAATGTTAGCTCCTCTCGTGATGAAAGGTACTTTATAGTTTATATTCCATAAGAAAATAATTTAAAAATGTCAGCTGTTATCTGTATGCGTTTGTTTTCACTGCTATTTTACTTTGTTCTTCATAGTAATTTCATTCAATGGGCATCCATAAATCAGCAAATGCTCACTAAATTCAACACTCTGAAATATATCCCACTGTAAGGTCTTTATCAAGAAATTAAGTTTGTATGCTGCAACCACCATGAACTAGAGGACTTTAAATATCAGGGTTTATTGGTGCTAAGGGTTGTTGTAATTGGTATGGGATTTTCTAAAAACCAGGACAACATGATTATGTCTGAGTCTGATGATGACAATAGGTTAAAGTGATGTTGCCTTAAATTAATTTACTGTCATAAAATGTTTGAAAATTTTGAATCATAATGAAACAAATTCAGCATTTCTTTTCTTGGAAAAAAAGAAGGCTGAATCTAATAAAGATTATGCAACTACCCAAATGCTATAAGTAAAGCAGATTTTTTGTTTCAAGAATATATTAAAGAAAAGAAAAATATCATCCCTCTTGTCAGATACATTTTCTTTCTTTATGGAATTTTTATAATGTGTACACCCTTTGGTGTACTTATCAAAATTCTTATTTATTAAGAACATAGTTGATTACTCTCTAGTCCTTTTTATAAGAACTTTTCAAAGATTTTTGTTGGTCTTTAATATACGACACTTTACAAAGATTTAGGAGCATTTATTATTTGTTCACTTATTTGTCCTTCATTATTGAACATTTCTAACTTATTAATAGTGAATATAATACTGGAGTTTGACTTTAACTAGGGGTAAACTTGGAGTGTTGTTATTAATTTTTTAAAAACCAAAGTATTAATTACTTCCAACAACTTTTCTCAATATGTTGATTTTGTTGAAAGGTTCATATAAAAAGAACTGGAGTATTTTCATTGCATTATTTGGTACACTGGTGTGTGGACCTATAGGCTCTAATTTTTCATGTGCATTTTATGACTATAATATTTTCTTTTTGTATTTACAGGCAGATGCAAAGAGGGCGTGGTCAGTCTCCTCCTATTTCTCCTATTCGAGAATTGATAGCTGATAACAATCAAAAAGAAGAGTCAGTTGAAAGCATGGAAGGTAGACACAGTACACATTTGTCATCCCCTGTCATTAAGGATATGAGGGAGTCCAGTGTAGAGGAAAAGGAAACAGAGGTTGAGGACACTGGGACAGCTGATGGAAGTTCCAGATTGGAAAAGGAGGAAACATCAGACAAAGCAAATACCCTTGACGATGAGGAGGCAAAGCGGCAGAAATTACCATCTCAAGTTGAGCAACCTTTGCTTGATGAAGTTAATGATTGGGAGGATTCAAAAGCTGCAAGAAGCAGTGATAACAGCAAAGCAAGGTCAGCAAGCAGCAGGGATAACCAGAAGCGGCGGGAGGGTTTTGAGGAGGAAGTAATTCAGGATCCACGATCAGTACATCTGGGTAGCATCAGACAGCACCCTGATGAAATTGAGCAGGGATTTTATAGAAGAGAGCATGATATAAAGCAAGAACCTGAAAGAAATCGCATGATACTTAAAGGCAGAGAGAGATCTTACCCATACAAGGATCGGCATCCTAGCTCAGCCCCTCAGTTGCACACAAATACAGATGGATTTGATGGGCAAAAGGATAGGGATAATTCTGACATGGATTGGGTGCGAAGAGATGATGATCTCTATAGCAGAAGGGTTAGAAATGATGAGCCTAGAAAGAGGGATAGGGCTAAGGTTCGAGAAAATGAGAGAAATGACAAAGAAGACAGCCTTCATTCTAGAAAACAGGTGGATAATGGTAGTTACAGGGCTTCTTATGATAAGGATGTTGGGCCTAGAGACTCAAGACACAGGGAAAGAGATGAAAGCTTGAGGATAAGGTATGAAAGCGCGGAGGATTATCATAGCAAGAGGAGGAAGGATGAGGAATATCTTAGGAGGGAGCACATTGACAAAGAAGAAATTCTGCATGGCTACAGGGAAAATGCTAGTCGGCGCAGACGAGAAAGAGATGAAGTATTGGATCCACGAAAGAGGGATGACCTGCAAAGAACTAGAGATAACCCTGATGACCAATATGCTGCTAGGCAGAAAGAGGAGGCCTGGGTCCTGAGGGAGAGGGGTGATAGGCAGAGAGATAGGGAGGAGTGGCATCGGATGAAACAGTCCCATGAAGAACTCCTACCCAAGCGTGAAAGAGAAGAAGGACGCAGTTCTGTAAGAAGTGGACGAGGAGCTGAAGAAAAAGCATGGGTTGGCCATGTTAGGGCTAAAGATGAACATAAACTTTCTGAGAAGGAATACCAATCAAGAGAAGCAATGCGACACAATGACCAATTGAAGAGGAGGGATCGAATACAGGATGAAAGTCTACATCATAAGGGGTGTGATGATGCTTATGCCCGTGGAAATCAATATGCTACTGAGGAAAGGCGATCTAGGCAGGAAAGATCAAGTAGTCGTAGTGATCGTGTTGCTAATGCTTCTGATAACCAAAAAGTTGAGAGAAAGCATAGAGAGGGCTCAAGGAAAAGCAAAGAACGTGATGTTAGTGATCTTAATAGTTTAGGGCTGTCCAAGAGAAGTCAAGAAAATCAAAGTGGTCCAATCAATGAGAAGGTATGCTTTACACTTGCATGTAAAATGTGAACTCTACCGGGGGAGTAAAATAATCATTTTACATGAAATTAAGTCCTCTCTCTCTCTATATATATATATATGTGTGTGTGTGTGTGTGACTCTGGAATCATGCATGGCTAGAATTATACTGTGTTTACAATTTAGTGTCTGATAAGATTTGAAGTGTGGGTTCAAGCCACATAATGTATGCCAAGGGCACACTTGATCATGAATAACTAGCTTTTGCATTTTCATTGTTCCTCCTTCCCAACTTCTTATGTTGGAAGGAAGTAAAAATTATAAGATGTGCCCTTTTGAGGCATGATTTTCTCCTTTTTAACTTGTTAGGATTGTCAACTTTAAAGACAACTTCTGGAAAGTAGTTTGGTGGTCTTTAAGCAAAGTGTATGATGAGGCTAAATAAATCCAGCGACTCTTAATAGGAATGTTAAAATACTGCATTATGGGGAGCAGCTCTTTAAGTATCTTGACAGTTTATGACAAGCTTTAAACTTAAGATTGTTACATGTTATTCTGTTTATCTGTGAGCTATGGAGATTGTTGTTGTGACACTGCTTGATTGCTCTAGAAATATCATTTGAGTGACGGGTGATTAGAAGAAACGTTCTTGTTATGCTATATCCTATATTGTTGTCTGGATGTCGCAGCATAATATTTTTATCACTAACAAGCTTATTTCATCTTACTTTTTTTTTAAACTATGAGTAACTTGACCTGATAAAAGAGGAGGATTATGTTAGCCAATTGGCAATTGACAAAAAACTTTGTTGAACCTTTTTACTGGGATTAACAATTCAATTGAGTTAATTCTAAGTAGTTACTTGCAATTAATGTGCTAATTTAGGAGATACTATAAAGTGATCTTGCTCAAAATTGATATTGAAAATGAGTTTTGATAAGAATTCTATGATATCATTTGATCTATGTAGCTAACTTCACTTTGAAAGATAAGATAAGATAAGGCATGTCAGCAGTTAGATCGAAGGCTCACCTTTAAATTTACTTAATGATTAATTGTATTCACCTTTGTATTAAAATTGTTTGTAACTAGGATGTCAGAAATGAGATTCTATTTACAATACAAAATTATATTCTTATATGTATATAAAAATATTATAATATTAATGTTTTCAAACAAATCACAAACTAAAATGCAATTGACCTCCAATTGAAAATCCATAATAAAGTTACATTTCAGATTATAGTTGCAATTTATAATAATATAGAAGATGTAAAATGTTTTCTATTAAGATGTCTCATTAGTCAAGAATTTGGTCGTAATATTTCTTATAGGACTTAGGCAATTCTCTCCTTTTTCCTTGAGCTAGCTTTTGGATTGAGTTGGGTACTTGGGTCCACTCCATTGTTAATAAAGTTTATTCAATCTTCCCCTCTCTTATCTTCCTTCATCCAAACACAACCTCTCTTGACTTCTCTCTCACCTTACATCCCCAATCCAAACAAACCTTTAAGGTTGAGTTTGGTCTAGTCTATGTCTAATACTAACCAATGAGACAACAAAACCTCAAAACATACCCAAGACTTTGTGGGTTCTCAAGGGTGAAGATTGTTATCATTTGTTCTTTCATCCTCAGGTTGGATGTTTTATAAGAAACAAATTATGGATGCTTAATTCAGTCTAGCATATGTTGGGGGGGGGGGGTTAAAATAAAGGAAGGATACCAAGGCAGAGTCATAGCACCACCAACCCCGTCTGAATTTCATGAACTCATCTGACAAATCTAAAGTGATCTCTCCAAACCATTTTTGTCTGTATAATTGGGATTGACCCTCCCAGAATACTGTAAAATTGTGCAATCCTGTGATGAAGATCATGATCTTAACAACCCTGGTTCACAAGGTTCTGGTTGCAACTTTGTTCACTAAGAAAAAATAATTATTGTTTCTTATTCACAGGAATCTGTATCATTGACAACTCTATTTTAACAACACTTTGCACTAGTCTTCTCCCATCCGCTGAACAAAAAAGTGATTGTGGACTGCTCTTCAATTCATTGTTGTAAAACTTGGCTCGGACTGGTTACTTTACTGGTCTGAGTAATGTTATGGACCGGAAATGCATGAGACTCAGTTGGGACCATTATGACTTGGTTGGTTTTCATGGAAACCGGTAACTCAGCCAATTGTTTGTGAACCAGACAAGTCATGTATGTTTTATAGAGAAACAAGGCCCTTGTTCAAAATATGTTGAACCTGAAATAAAAAATGAAAAAAAAAAGAGTTTGAATATAGCAAACCACAGAAAGCACTGTGAGAGTTCTGCCGCTGTGATAGTTAGAAAGCACTGCCATGAGTTGGTGGTTGAGCTAAGAGATCCACAGTTTGTGAGATTGGTGATCTACACTGTAAGACCTCCATATTTTTCATTGCTATGGAAAAAGCTCCAGAATGATATAGGTAAAGAAATATTGAAGAAAGTGGAGATGACTTGTGAGAAAAAAATATCAGTAATAGCGGAGAGAAAACTAAAATAATGAATGATGTCTTGAGTCCTCCAAATGCTCTTTACTTCTGAAACTATTTGAAATACGAGTGAAATCTGAAATGTGCCTTTTCTAATTTTTTCAAATATTAAACTTTAAAAAGTGCTGCTGTGGTTAAGAGCTTCATATAATTTTAATATTCAAATTTGAATGCTGAAAAAGTTGTGGAGAAAAGGTAAAAAAGTGTCTTGGAACTTGAATGGAAATAGCATGTGCGGTTTTTTCTCTTTTCCTTGATTCCCAAAACAAAATGATGAAGATATTTTTATTAGTTTTAAAGAATCAGTTTTTGTAATGTGTGTGCCCAAAGGCACATGTCAAGAAACATTGAATATATCTTATTAAATACTTTATATTACCATAACAGGTATGTATTAAAAGTTATTTTAATGATTTTGCAATAATAAATGTTTTCCTTTTCAATTAAAACTTTCTATTCTTGACTTCTTCATATGTTCGCTTGGTAGGAAAACCATTGAAGAATTTACACACACACACAACCTGTTCAACCATTGACTCACTACTTAAACTGAGTTCACTCTACATGAAAGCTGTTGCTGATGTTGGAAATTTATTAGATATTTGGTGTTGTTTTCTATAATTGTTAGTTTCTACATGTGAAGGGCTTGAAAGGATCTGGTGACGAAGAACGTGCTGAGCATGAAATTCCAGGGCATCGCCTGTCCAGGAAACAGCGTGAGGACATTTCCTCAGATGATGAACAGCAAGATTCTCGCAGAGGACGTTCTAAATTGGAACGCTGGACAAGCCATAAGGAAAGAGATTTCAGTATCAGCAAGTCCTCTACTTCCTTGAAGTTTAAAGACATTGATAAGGATAACAATGAAGGATCTTCTGAAGCTGGGAAGGCTGTGGATGAACCCAATAAAACTGTTGATGTTGATAATCAGCATCTCTTGTCGACTGAAGCAAGGGATTCTGCAGATATGGAGAGTAGGGATGTGGATACAAAAGAATTTGGGGATCGACACCTTGACACAGTTGAGAGGTTGAAGAAGCGCAGCGAGCGGTTCAAGCTCCCAATGCCAAGTGAAAAAGATGCCCTGGCCATCAAGAAGTTAGAAAGTGAACCACTGCCTTCTGCCAAAAGTGAAAATCCAGTGGATTCAGAAGTCAAACAAGAGCGGCCTGCCCGGAAAAGAAGGTGGATAACTAACTGAGTAGGCCATCATTATTTTGCTGAGTCTATCAAGTTTGGCCATGGGAAAATTTCAGCTCAACCTGAATTTTTAAATTTTAGAACCCTGGCAAGCCAGCCATGCTTAGTACCTATAAAATGTTGAAAATGGCATCTATAGGGTTTGATACAATTTGTACTTCAGTTATATCATCTTGTAACCATACTACCTATACATTTATTGTACACTGTATATACAAGTAAAATGTAAAACATGAACTGGTCACTACAGGTGGCACATATTTTGAGTGTCAAAATATGGCTCTTACCTGGATGATCTAGGTTATGAGGATTATTGGTGAATGTGACCAAGGCTGTATGCAGTGACATCAGAAACCATTGGCATGGCTGGTGAGGCATTCAGCCTGATACTGGTGCCTTCCACGTGAGGCCTAGCAGGTCAAAGTTTTTGGAAAACAAGAAACATCTTGGCAAAGGGCTATCCAAAGAAATGCATGCTGCCTGCTTCTACAACGTGTGTTTTTTTCAATCGAATTATAGATGCCTTGGGTTATTTTCTTTGTTGTAGATTGTTAGCAAGCACTGATTACTCAGTTTTCCTTAACATCTTTTCCTTTTCTTCGCGGGAATCATGAAACTTAAGCAATGAGCCTTTGTTGTATCTAGAGATCAACATGACATGTAGTTACAGGTTAGGAATTTCAACAAGTGATGAAAGAAAATAGAAGCATAATTTATTGCCTTTTCCAAATCTTTTAATCTCCAGTTTGCAATATATAATTCTTGGCGTGACATTAACAAACAAATTGAGAAGGACAGGTGAACTAATTTTGTTTGATAAAGAGTGTTTGACGATGTGTACTTTTGTTTTTCTTGAAAAGAAAGGGCTTTAGAAAACTTCCAGTCGTGTTTAGCTGTTGCAATGAAAAATGTGTTACAATCTTCGATTACTAATAACAAAAGAAAAACGTTTTCTCAATTAGGAAAAATTTAGCTAATAAAATTTTTTTAGAGCTCCATGCAATCCAACGAAGCAGGTAAAAATATGCACTGCAGGTTCCATAATATTATAGAAATGTGTTTCATTTGCAATATATGATCTTCCTGCAACACCTTTTAACAACAAAACTCTGTTGTCTCAAATTTTGCATTCCAAGTATCCCGGGCTGCTTGGTTTCAAGTAATGTTTTATGTTTTCAAAGATGTTTATACAGTAAACACTGAATATATATATATATATATATATATATATATATATATATATATATATATGATAGATAGACAGACACACACACTATTTTCTATACAAAATTTAGAAAACAAGAAACATAATAAAAATAAAGTGGCAACTTTATAATTAAAAGTGAAAACAGAAAATAAAAATAGAAAATGTTCTTAGAAATCAAACATGCCTTTTGTTTTCTCTTTTTTTGTCCAAAACAATATAAAATACATTGTCAAACACTTCCTTCTCTATGCTTATCATTAAGATTGTACCTTAATAAATGATTTCTACAATATGACAAATATCAAAACATACCTCTTTTGGTCAATTATGAGAATGTCCATAGTTTATAAGAGTGGATGGATCTCCACAATCTAAAAGATCACGTAGCTACATTTCATTTACCCTAGAAAATTTACAAATTGTACCACACTTGTTCACCATCTAACCTAGGAGGAGACGTAGACTTCGCAATTCTAATTCTGTAAAAAATGTATCTATATTTCTACTGAAATCATGATAACGAGAGATTTTGAATTCATTATGTTTTGATGATGAATCTATACTTGAAGCATGTGAGATTATTATGTGATTTTTTTTAATGCTGATAGGGAAGGTTATGAGATTATTTCCTTATTAATTAGTTTCTTGTGACCTTGTTTGTGTGATCATCACGTAGTCCTCCAGTTGTAATAGAATGGTCATACCTACAACTCCCATTGTAAATTAATAAATATTAAATTTTTTTATTAAAAATTAATAAAAAAAAAAGTTGGTTTATATAGATTCTTATCGTGTATCCTAAAAAATACATTAATATTATAAATGTCAATCATTAGCCGCTAAAATTACATTATTTCACTTCTTATTAATTTGTTAAGAGGGATATTTTTTTTATTTATCTATTCATATAAAAATGTAAAACAATATTGATTACTACTATTTTACTAATAATTTAAAGGTCAAGGATACGTCCTTTAATAAATCCGAAAGTTTACAATTAACTTTAACTCTTATGATTTAGGTTTAAATAACTAATAATAATAAAAATTTATCAAAAAAGTATTAATTAAACTTTTTATTTTTAATGTAATAAATATTTTTAAAAAAAATTACTGGTTTTTAATGTTTAAAATTAATTCTAAAAATTAAAGTTAACAAATTTCTATATATATTTTCTCTAAACATATAATTAAAAACTGAAGGTTAAAGTGATTTAGCAATTTTCATTTTAAAATGACGACAAGTTGAAAGAGAGTAATTGGAGGGAGTAATAGACACAGATCAGAGAAGCTGATAAACACGCGCAATGGGATCAACTTCAACATCAACGCGGGTTTTTTATTGCAATACAACAAGAAAAACAACCGAACCTTATCCCCAGGTGAGTTTGAGCACATGAATTATTCCATTATATATATATATATATATATATATATATATATATTAAAAATATTGTTAATAATAAATCTATATTAATTACTTTCTGAGATTTTTGTGGATCCGTCTCAACCTTATTAAATGATACACAGTTGTATATTTGGTGGGAAACTTTTGGCGTGTAATATGAGATCTGACATGAGTCAGTGAAGTGTTTCTAACATCTTACTTGGTGTGTTATTGGGGAAGTGTTGGAAATGGAGAAAGCATCTTGGGCGTGCACTGTTATAACTCAGTTGTGTCTCTGCTTTGCACTCTACATAGCTCTAAACTTGGGTCAACCTCAGACTTTGGTCAACACAAATGCAAGTGACCATGGTGAACCTCCTCATCTTTACTTCATCAGTGTCAAAGGGGGCTTCAGACCCCTTTCCCAACAATTCCATCTTCTCAAGCAGGTGCATTTTCCCCTCTCTCTTCTTCATCAACTCAACACTATTACTATATATGTATGTGTGTGTATAGATAGATATGTATTTGCTTTCTGTTTTTCTTTCTTTCGTTTTTCATGTTCAAATTCGTTGTCTTGATGCTTTGAAGTACCTCGTTACCTACATTTTTTTTTTTTCAAATGTTAATATCAACCCTTTATGTTTGAATATTAAAAATAGTATTTTTTGTAAAATTGTTTATTATGTTTTTAAAGAGTTGAATTTTAGTTTATTTTAAGTGTAAAGATTTTTCCCTCAAAACCAGTTAGAAATTATCTTAGGCATGAGTTTTGAAGTAATTATTACAAAAATTTGTAAGTACATAGGTAATCTATGATTGGATTATACAGTAAAGTGTATTTGAATTAAAATATTTTCAAAATTGCAATGTAATAAATATGTTTTCAAATAAAATCGTATTATTTTTAAATGTTTAAGATAATAACTGATACTCACAAACTGTTTAAAGATTATCGTATTATTTCTTGTACTGGTTCGATGCTTTGAATAGTTCTGAATTTTGCTCTCTTTTTTCTTACTTCTCTCGCTTTTTCAATGTTGATGAAGATGGAAAAGGTGGCAAGAACTTACAAGGCAAGTTTTGTTGTGAGCAGCAGTGAACTTGGAGAACATGATCCACTTATGCAGAATGTATGTTTTTGTTTTATTTATAGTTTTGGTGACCTTTGTAGCTATTTACTGTTGAATTTTACTGAAATGATAGTAGTGGTAGAAATAGAATTCTTATGTTGAAACAAAGGAATTTCAGGGGTTTTTGCTCCTACAATTGCGGATCAGAATAGCCACTGTAATTGCAGCCACACTTCTCTGAAATTTTAGTAGCGGTAATGCAATACCGTGACTGCAAAACCATTTTCTTTTCTCTCATATAAATTTGTGCTGTTGGTTATGTTTGATTTTGCTTTTATTACAATGGCATATTGTTCATTGTTTACAATTATGATAAAGGGTATGTTGTTTTACAGGCTAGTCAATATTTTCCATCATTGGGACTTCCCTGGTATGCATCCTTTGATCTGTTTGTTATCTGTAGTGGTACATTTGAATTACCTTGTGTTGTTTGAAGCAATCACTATACTTTGTCATCTCATCTTAATGGAATGGTTCTGAAAAGACTAGTTTGCAGGTACACCACGTATACTACTACAGTTTCAAAACCCAAAGGACAAGAAGTGGGGTGCTTTGCAAAGAAGATCAAGATATCTGATGAGAAAACCTTAGATGTTATTGGTGTGGATACTGAATTACTGCAAGTATGTGTTTGTTTGTTCAATAAAAATGCTTTAATATTTGCTAAACATCACTCACCACCAGTTCACTAATACTACTCAATTTATTATCTTCCCATTTATCTGTGGCTCTGTGCTGGCAAGATAAGATTTTGATAAATGTTTTTCTGCATCATTCAAGTTTGTATTTCATATGCACATTTGTAAAAGCATGCTAATTCTTTTCCCCTTTTTTACTTTTCTGTTACATCAAGTAGTATGAAAAATATTTGAAATTAATATCCTAGATTAAACTCTAAGTTGTTAGTTTTAAAACAGTTTTGTATCACTAGGAGTATAAACATATCAATGACAGCGGACAAAAAAGAACAGGGGGAGTGGGTTATCTGAGAATTATTGTTTTGTTTTTTTTCCACCGTCCTAGATTTTGTTTGATCCACCGTAAGTTGGTGCTCTGTTTTTGACAGGATGAAAATGTTCAAATTGACTTTTAAATTCATGCAGCATATCTTGCGTGATATATAAATCATCATATTCTTTACATGTCAGTGTTGCTCCTATGACAATGCTATTCTATAAAATCATTTTGATCCTCATCCTCCTAAAGAAATGAGGTCTTACATATCTGAACTCAATGGCTGTTAATGTTGCAAGAGACACTAATTATTTAGTTATATATATTATTGCTGAATGAACTACTATTTTACTTTGAGAACGAGATGATATTGAGATAGGAGAATATGAATAGATTGTTACAAAATAGGAAATTGAAGTTGTAAGGGGTATTCTAGAGAGTAAAATGTTTAGAGTGGATAACAATTAATGGAAGAATCACCAGTTTAGATTTCTGTAATACAGAAACTAAAACAGTAAAGGGGTTTATGAGGATTTATTCTCTTAATTCTTTCTTTAGCTCATCATCCACTTCTCAAGTGTTCACAGCACTGCAATTCTCAGGGACCTGAACCCCTTTCTGAGTAATGTTAATTAATAGGGCATCAATAAAGGCTGTCTTACATGTTTCATTTTCTTAGATTTTTTTGTTTTGTATTCCCTCTCTCCCTTGGTATAGGCTTTGAGAATGTCTTATCCTCTTGCATCTGTATCTCTCCTTTTTTCCTTAAGAAATTATTTGTTTATTGAAAAAAAAAAAAACGGATGGAAAAACTCATTAAATATATTAGGATCCTGTTGCAAGATATGAGATTTGAGTCACACTTTGGAAATATGGGATTCTATCTAATGTGAGGCTTATTCAATGCAGTGTGAATTGAGGTTTATAAGAAGGTTCTACTGAAAAGATCAGTGTACTTGTTGAGTATTCAATAAGTGATTGCTTTCTTTCTCCTGTGGCCTCTTAAGAAATATATATTTCTAATCTCATCTTATGGATTTCGTACCTTCTTCATTTCAATCTATCTTCGTTATTTTTATTGTTAATCTGGCATCTCAAACATGACTCCAACTCATTTATTTTCACTCCCTATTCCTTTAATTGGTTTTAGAATTTAGCCTAATATCAGTTAGCTGTATTTGCTTTGTCTTTGCGTTAATTTATTTTCTTTTCTGGTACTGAAGGATTCTATCTTGAGGGGATCAATAAGTGGCAACAGAAACAATCAATTGGATTGGCTGATAAGAACATTGGAAGAAAACAGTAGCAACTGGTATGTATGGGCATCATGCCCATCAAACTTTTCTTTTCCAGTCTGAAATTTTCAAAATCTAATGGGATTATGTTACAAAATGTAACAATTTCTCAACAACCTGTACTATTTCAAATTCATTTGTGATTATTAAAATCTTTTGATTAACTCTCTCGTTTGTAACTTCAGGCGCATTGTTGTTGGATACCAACCATTGGTCATTTGTGGAGAGAATAAGAAACAATTGAAGAAAAAGCAAGTTTTTGATTATTTGCACCGTATATTTCTAAATCTTTCAGTTGTAAGCACAAAGCAGTTACTACTTCTCCTATAGGGAAAATTTTCAGACTGAAGTATTGCCATGATCGCTAAACTGACTCTGATATGACATTCATTATTGTATTTTCTCCTCAGAATGTGTATCTGAGTGGGCAAGATTGCACTAGTCACGCTCTTGAGGGTAGCGTTGCTTACATTGGAAATCCTAGTTCGATTGAAATAGATTCCTATTCAGTTTTCCTAAATGGAAATTCTGTCTTTAGAAGGTAAGTGTATTCACTTTCAGTCCCAGTTTTTGCGCTTTACACAATTTCTGTTACCAAGCTTATGAAACCTTTGATGCTTTCATCCTTCTAGAGAATTGGCTAATGGATTCCTTCTTCACCGAGTCAACTCGATGCAAATTGTGAGTGGCAAACTGTGAAATTATGATTAATGTGTTTTCTGAAAATGCTAAAAGATTTGGATTTTTTTTGCTTCATTGGTCTTAATTATTCAGAATTGTTTTTGACATAGCTCTTTACTCCTATTTAGTACATTAGAGTGAATGTTGCACAAAAGTTGAGTCACGTTATGCATAACTGGTTAAACTCACAAAGGTCTAAATGACTGCATAGTCGTGTCAAAGCACTAATAATGCATCTCTCCATGGCAGGTAACTTACTATATAAATTTTGCTGGTGAAGTTGCTTACAAAACTGTGCTCCAACAGAAGGGTAAAGAGACCATGTAAATATTTCCAGCTGAAGAACCATAATATTACTTAGTGGTGTTTGTTGGACTAATTTGTGGTGAATTACATGAGTAAACAGTGCTCGGACATGCACTTATTCTTTCTAGCCTTGGCACTGTTGTGCTGCCCCATGTCTCTGTGTCCTATTTCATCAGAAGTTTTCCCTGGTTTGCTTCCCAAACAAGAACGAATTATTTTCACTTCAAAGCCATTTTTTTAAATAACTGTTCATTTTTTTGAGAAGCATTGTAATGTTTGATAACTATAGTTTGATATTCTTTTTCTGCATTCGTATTCATGCGCTCTTGTTTTGGTATTATCTTGAAGAACTTAACTATCAAAGATCAAACTGGCAAGTTAATTAAGGACAAAATAACTAACCAAGCTATTAAGAAAACTTACAAAAATCTTCCAAATTTAATCAAAACTAAACATGCTATTAACCATGCTAAAGTGTAACTTTTATGCACATGGTGGATTGAATATATCTCTAGACAAAAAAGATTGCCATTGTTATTTTAAAAATATTATAACTAAATTTAATATAACAATCACATTTATTAACAGTTTAATATTCATTCATGAACAAAATAATTTCAATTTGACACATTTTACTGCATGCACAAGAAAATAATAATAATAAACTTGGGTCTTTTCCTCATAATATAATCCAATTTGAGGTACTTCTAGGTAAAAACAAGGAGCCTCCGAGGCCATAATTGTAAAACTGCAGAAAGATATTCTCGTTGTTAAATGACTTAAAAACCACTCATCCTTTTACCCACTATGCAATACTGTGGAGGGTAGAAATGTCATAAAGGCAAAAGACCAACTTCAGCCGCTATATAGATTGAAAGGAGAAGTTAGGGTTAATGAAACTACACGCACCTTCCATTGCGGCTGCTCCCTCTGGCAAAAAGCTTTTGGCCTGCCCATTCAATATTCACCAAAATATCTTATCCTCTCAGAAATCTGTTTGTTTGTTTGTCCAACGTTGTTGTGGTGTTGCTTTGATCCATGCCGTGACACGCTACTTCTACTCGTTTTAAGACAAAGTTTGGTAGAGATATTTGGAATGAAAGAAGAATAAGTTTTAATAACTTAAAATCTTATTTTTCTTTCATTCCAAACATCATCTAACAAACATGGTTTTAATCAATCATTTTGGAGGTGATCGCTGCTACATCTTCAGATTTTAATTTGGGTATATGCATGCTGCTAAAATGTTTTTTCTACATGATTTCTGTTTAGTAGATTACTGCTTTAAATTAAGTTATCATCAAATGCCTTTTGTAGTTCTTTGATTTTTTTCTTCGGAAAACACGTCAAGCGTTTTGGATCTATACAAATAAGATCTTGAAAATCAAGTAGGTGTTTGTTCTAATTTTTTATTAGAATTTGACGAAACTAATTTTATCGAAAAAACTATCGAGTCTTTATTTTTGAGTTTCAAATTGTGACAATTTTGTTTTCAAAGGAAATGTTAAGTTCGTTGGCTGCGTTAACAATCAAAGATCCCGAAAGCAGAAGCAAGTTTTGAAACAAAGCAGAGAATTAGAAGCTAGTTATTGTGTCTTTGCAATGATACCTATACTTCTTTTACTGGAAGAAAATGAATAAAGAGGTCTGAAAATGTAGTAACAATATAGGGAAAACGATGCATTTGAATGTAAGAAAGAAAGGAAAGGAGGAAAAAAATATTAAAAAGTTCGATCAGCAAAATTATATAAATAAATTAATAAATTGTATAAACTATTTTTTGTAATAATAATAAAGTATCTAATTTTATTAAAAATTAATTTTTAATATGATATTTTTATAACAATAAATTAATATTTGTTCTTTATGTTATATTAAAAATTATTTAAAATAAAAAAAATAACTTCACGGTTTAATCTTCATTTTAAGCAAAGTTTATTAGGTGATATTTTACCATATTATTTATTATTTAATTCTTGTTTTGCAATTACATAATGTATCTTTTATTTATTTTTCTTCAATTTCGCCCTTTTAATCAAATAAATTGTTTTACTAAGAATGATAAATCGGAATAATTCGCTCCATCATGCCTATGTCTAAGGTGGGTTAGCAGGCTAAGCTGCAAGAAATCATAATAAAACAACAAATAAGAAAATAGTGAAAAATTATAAACTCACCTAAGTACGAAAATTTTAATGGAAAACAATTAATTCAATTTAAAAGTAACACAACAATGATAAAAAAAAAAAAAACAAGTCGAACACAAGTAAATTATTCATTATTTTACACCAAAATTTTAAAATGTAAAGATAAAACATTACATTTTCAAAATTGTACTTGAAAATACTACAGTAATATATTTAAATTAAAAAAGTTATCTTCATGAATAAAGAGATAGAGAAGAAGACTCAAACGGAACTTAAGGTTTTTAAGTGTATGAATGTGATGGGAGTTGATCATGAAAAGTGTAGAGAGAAAGAAATAGAAGAGATGGAACTAAAATTGAAGATGATGAAAGAATAAAATGCTGATATAAAGTTAGAAGAAGCTCAACATGAACTTATTAGAGTATTATTTTATTTCAAATTTTTATTTTAATCCTTTGTTGAAATAATGAGTGGTTTTAGTTTCTGACTTTCTAAATTTTATATGGTTTTGTAAAAAAATTATTTATTTTAGTCTCTTTTTTTTGTTTAATTTTTACTTTTTGCATCAGAAAGGATTAAAACAATTGATGTTTTACAAAGTTAAGAATCAGAGTAAAAAATTTAAGAAGTCTCTGCTGACGTTTATAATTTATAGGATCAGAATGATTTGCAGTAAAAAAATGTTTTCTTAATGATTTGCAATCATCTTTGACTGGATAGATACATAAAGTATTTAAGTACTTCTTTATGACAATTAATTTGATCCTTGCAATAACTAATTGAAGGCCGTTGCTTCACAATTCAGGAGTTGCCAAAGCTCTTGAAAGGGTCCATTAATATTGGTGTCAAGAAACTTGGGCCTATCCATCCTAAGTCATTTCAAAAGGTGTGTAACAATAGGTATAAAGATAGAAGAAAAGCATCATGGAGTATGCCAAACTACATGCGAAGTGGCAAAACAAAGTTCTGGATTCAAACATGGCAACCTTTTAAGGTTGTTAAAGTTGAAGGAAGGAAAAACAAGCATATTTTAGATCTTGGTTCATTCCCTTTTCTCTGTATAAATTTAAATAGCTTAGACATAGGTTGCTCAAATATATTGTAGCTTAAATATCGGCTAAAATTTCTAAAAGTATAAAAAACATTAAGAACAAAAAAATCGGTAAAACTTATATAATTTTTATGATTTTAAATAAACTTTAATTAATAACTAAAAATTTATTAAAAAGAGTGTTGTCACTTACATTTCTCTACACTACAAATGCACACTAACTTAAAAATTGTATTTTTGTCTATACCATAGGTATCCTCAATTGAAGGAAATCTTATTCGGGCAGAACAAAATAAATAAAGAGTGTTTTTATTTTTTAATTTTTTTTCTTTTTGTTCTAAGGAAGAGTTTAATTTTAATCTTAGCACCCTAAATATGGGCCACCACTACTATGATGATTTGAAGACCAAAACATGGGATGGGCTTAAGGACTATGAATGGCAGTCCATGCTGTTTGATTTCAACACAAAACAATGTCTATGTGGTCTACTTACAAGGTCTTCATCTAAATGGACAGAATGCAATTATTCGAAATTGGTCCACAGCCAAATCTACTGAAGAATTGAGCCATTCTGATTGTTGATTAAGGTACAGAGGAGTGTTAAATATCACACTACATTCAATATTCTCTTTTAACACACTTTTTATAATTGATCAGTTTTTTAAAAAGTCAAAGTAATTTAAAAAAATAATAAATTTATAATAAAAAGTACTTTATTTAAAAAAATTAACTAATTACAGAGAGTAGATTGAAAAGTATGCTACTAACATTTTAATGTCAAACCACTATTGTGGTCCTTTACTAGAACTAGTGAACCTTAGCTACAATGGAGGCTATATTGCTTTGCAGGTTGCACTTTCAAACATTGGTTTGGGTATCAATATGAAGTACAGGCAATCCCATTTCCCAACAATTCATCCTTCTTTTCTTGTCTGGTTGTGCTTCGACTTAATTAAACCATACCTTGGGATGGGATGCAATTATTCTTTTTCTTGCATAATTATGCCACAATATCAAGTATATGTTCGCTAGTTTTCATCATTGATAAAACTTACCAATACTCTTCTTAAAATTAAAATTTCTTCTTAATGTTTCAAACTGACATTTAATATTAATATTTAATGTACAAATTATCAATTTCTTTCGGTCACATTGTTAAACTTATATTTTTTCGTTGTATTTCTCTCATATATTATAAGGAAAATTATATAATTTGAAGTACAAATATATTTTATTCTTGCATTATATAAACGATGTTTCTTATGGTCACTCACAAAGCCATACATAACCCATAAAACGAAATCATATACTACTCCCAAGTCCTAACCTTCACTTCTGTAATCCATAACTCATTTATATATCCTTTGGTATAAAGGGTAGATTTTGCATTAACATGGCCGGAACTGGATTGTTTGCTGAAACTTTGGATGGAGATGTGTACGAGTACTACTCTGATGGAGAATGGAAAAGTGTTCATCAGGGAAGAGTGTTTCTATCGTCAACCCAACTACCAGAAAGACACAATACAAAGTTCAAGGTAGTTACCCTTTTCTTTCAATTGCATATAAAGCCCTTCATTCCAGCTTCAGTTTTTAAGTAACAAATGATAAGTGTGTCTAATAAGGTCTAAGATGATATTGACACAGCTTGTACACAAGAAGAAGTTAACATAGTAATGGATTCAGCAAAAAGTGCACAAAAGTCATGGGCAAAGACCCCTCTCTGGAAGCGTGCTGAACTTCTTCACAAAGCAGCTGCTATTCCCAAAGAACACAAAGATCAAATTGCAGAGTGCTTGGTGAAGGAAATAGCAAAGCCTGCCAAAGATACAGTTAATGAGGTACATATTGTGTTATTAATTATGGGTTATGACAAAGTATTAGTTTGTCCAAGTTACTCCATACGATAAATAAAAAGTTGATAAAATTTTGAATATAATGTTTTAATTTTATTAGTCTACTTAACATGATGTTATTTAACTTATGAGGTAATTTATAGAAATCCAAAAATATGGTCTTTTAGGATTTAAATTTTGAATAATGAAAATAAATAGTTTTAAAGTTTTTTTACTTTCCACGAAGGTTATAAGGTCTGGGGATCTGCTTTCTTACTGTGCTGAAGAAGGGGTAAGGATTCTGGGAGAGGGAAAGTTCTTGGTATCAGATAGCTTTCCTGGGAATGATAGGACAAAATATTGCCTCACTTCCAAGGTCAATTTTCAGAACCTCTTTTTTTGGTACGAGACTTCATAATTCATATAGCTAAATGGTTTGTCACACTGCATTCCTACAAATCCTTACTTTTAAATATGAATAGAAAATATCATTGGTATGGAAGAAATGCTGCAACATAAATACCCCCCAAAAAAAAATTGTCAACAACACAATCTGCATTCCTACAAATCCTTACTTTTAAACGCTCAGCAGGTAATATTGTTTTCCACGACCACAATGCTATGACATAGCAAAGGGACAATATATACTTCTATACTTCTATATGTAATAACCACTTAATTTATTGTTTTTTTTTTCTTTTGTCAATAAAAGTGGTCAAAGATGCACCGCAATTAAGGTTGTCCTAGTGATGGAATCGGTTACTGATGCATTGGTTGAGAAAGTGAAGGCTAGGATGGCACTACTTAGTGTTGGACCACCAGAGGATAACTCTAACATCACCCCAGTTGTTTCAGAATCATCAGCCAATTCATTGAAGGCCTGGTCATGGATGCTAAACAAAAAGGAGCAACATTCTGCCAAGAGTATAGAAGAGAAGGGAATCTCATTTTGCCTTTGCTGCTTGATAATGTTAGGCCAGATATGAGAATTGCATGGGAGGAGCCATTTGGACCAGTTTTGCCTGTTATGAGGATCAGTTCTATTGAAGAAGGGATCCACCATTGTAATGCTAGCAATTTTGGACTTAAGGTAGAATTTTAGAACTCCCTCATGTGAAACATTGTCATTTTTAACTTTTTAAATAATAATGACATCATATAGTAAGTTCATTTCATTTTCATTTTCATATTGCTAGTATGCTATAATTTGCATCAATACAACACACTTGTGCAGGGTTGTGTCTTCACAAAGGACATCAACAAAGCAATATTGATCAGTGATGCAATGGAGACTGGCACAGTTCAAATAAATTCTGCTCCAGCTCGTGCACCAGATCATTTTCCCTTTCAGGTGAGCTCACCAAACAAACTAATTTCTTTTTTTAAATTTTGGTAAGCCAAAAAAATGACAGTACCATAAATAAAGGCTGAACTTACAGGGCATAAAAGACAGTGGAATTGGATCTCAAGGGATCACCAATAGCATAAACATGATGACCACGGTCAAAACCACAGTGATCCCCTTCTTATACTATGGGCTAATATAGTAATATATATGTGTTATGTGCTGAAGATATTCATATTTTATTCAATGAATCATAGATAGCTTACAATCAGCATAACAGAAAGATAAATAATGACTGTGATAGATCAACCACATGGCTATTTATGTCTCATTGTTGAGTAAATGGTCCTGTAACTCCCGTTTCAGTTAAATGTATGTCGAATTAATCAAACAAAGAAAAAATATTATCGCTTCTGTTTTCTTTCTATCCCTTCAAAAAGGACTCACCTTTTTATATCCCTTCTTTGGTAAACATAACAGTTGTGGCACAACTGATTTGAAATCCTCGTTTGGATTGCAAATACTAACATGCCTTTTCTGGAAAACGTTAGTCTCAGGGAACCGCACGTTCTGAGTGACGTTGTCTTTCAAACAATCAATATTCAACAAGGTAGCAAACTCAAATTAAAAAAACAAAAAGACATTTCTTTTCTTAATTATTGGAATATTTCTATTTTCGTACAAATTTTTATCTTAGCTTTATTGGTCGTGAATCTTGGGGGACCCGGTAAGGTTATAATTTTCCACTCTGGAAAATTATCTTGGTGCAAGTGATCTTTGGGAGGTTGTTGGGGAGGATTATGGAGTTTGATCCATTACCAGAAATTTCTATACTTGCTTATATCAACAACATAAGGAAATAAAAGAACAGATATTAAAGGCACAGCTGTGTTTATTTTCTACTGTCATTCCAGCATTCTAGCAATCTTCACCAGAACCATGACTCTAAAGTAAGCAAAATCTATATGCAATTTTCTAAAGTGGAAGGAGTAAAAGGAAATGAGAAATTCAAAGGAATGCAAGTGCTGAATTTATTCAAGGAGTTTGAGATGTAGAGAATGAAAGAGTCAAACAATCAAGGAATATTTTTATAGATTTCTAAGCACCGCTAACACGGTGAGGTTACTCTCTAAGTTTCTTGATGCAAGGATAGTTCAAAAGATTTTCGTGACTATTCTTAAAAGGTTTGAATCCACTATTTCCACTCTGGAAAACTTCAAAGATCTGTCAAATATTACTTTGTTATATACTTTGCAAGCAAAAGAACAGAGACTAATAAGGAAAGAGGGCCCAGGTGAAGGTGCTTTACAAGCCAAATCGAAGTTCAATTCTTTTTACAAAGGGAGTCAAGAGAAGGCTTGGGATTGCAACTTTGAGCAAGGGGAGACTTCAAATAAACTAGTTGATTATTTGTACTATTTGATTAGTTTAAGAATAACAAATTCAATAATAAAAAATACGTTACTAAAATAACAAAATGATTAAATTTCTTCATCTATGCAATTTCTTTTCTCTCTAGACAAATAAACAGAAACAAAAATAGAATATTAAAAATTTAAATGTTACTGAATGCAGAATGCACTATATTTATTAGAACAACTTTTCCAATGTAACAAATAGAAAACTTTTACTGCAAGTTGTAGTATTTAATGTATTAAATTTTGTAATACAATATAATTTCTAATAAAAAGTTACTATATATATATATATTATATGAGTTTTTATAGTATATTCTTAAGTACATATCAAGAAAAGTGTTATTAAAAATGTCATATTCTTGAGGAGCTTTGCAGTTATACTTTGTGGCTTCATTAATTCGAATCAGAGTCAGTCAAATTCCAAGGCGAATAAGCAATAATGTGAATATATTATAAGGTAGCTTGGTAGTTTCCCCTAGACAAGAATAATAATGAGATACAGTTAAGAGGGAGAGAATATACTGGCATGTACCCCATTGAATTGGTTAACCGTAGTTTCATATAAAGAATAGCAAACAAAATTATTTAAAAACTTGAATATGACTTTTGTAGGATTCCATGTTATATGAAATGTGATCTAAATATTTTGATACAAAGAACTTGGCATGCTGAACAACTAAGACCCACTTCACAAATAAGATACGATAGCGACAACAATGGCTAAATCAATTCCACCATGCTAACTCTTAGATCTCCAATGTGATATGGCTGAATCATTTCATAAACCAACTAGTATCACATCTTCTCTAATCTGGTCCCAGTTTCAAACAACACAATATCACATACATTTCTATTCAACTCACTAAAATATGAAATCGTATCAAGTTACTTACCTTAAGTTGGGACATTGTAATATAATATAATATAAAAAAGCTAATCAGTATCTTTAGTATACTGATCAAGAAATTGTAATGATTTTTTTATTACGAATTTCTATTTACTAATTACAAATTACGATTGTTCTTAAAATGTTAATTAACAAGACTGATAATATAGTTATAGGTTGAATGAAAACCAACTCAAATCTTGGATATGTTTTCTATTGTCCTTTGATTTGATTCATTTTTACGTGGTGATGTGTTTTGTAATGACACTTGTATGGTTACGAAAGAGTATGATCAGCAAGATTGATCCAAATGAAATTTAAAATTCAAGCTCACTCTCTTAGGAAAGCCAATTTTCTTAAATACTTTAAATTAAGTATTAATTGGGTATCATTATCATGACTGAAATTGTGGGGTTTTGTTAACTTTGAACTTACCACAGGTCCATACATGGAGCGTTTGCTCCAGAAAAGTAGTGGTTTGATTCGATGGTCCCCTCTAGCAAATAGCAATGTCAGTAAGGATCAACAGTTGGAATATCTCGTACTTAGAGGAGATTCCAAAACTCAAATCTTAGTCATCTATATATCATTTATTTTGTTCGTATTAACGAATTAAATTTAAGCATCTTCTCTTTTTTTTTTTTTTTCTAATCAACGGAGTCAAAGACCCAAATAAACAAGAACTAGTTCATAATTATAAGACACCAAGTGCCACTAGCAATTTAAGCATCCTATTTGATTCAATTTCTTTGCACCGTTATATTTCATGACTACTGTACATTAATACTACATTCTCAGTATTATACTTCTAATTTTAATGCTATAGATTGGGAAAATGTTAAAGATTAAAGAGAGTTTAAATTATAAACAAAGTAATAAGAACACGTGTAACTCATTTTTAAATTGCCAAACCAGCAGAAGTTAATGATGTTTTTTTTTTCTGAGTCGGTTAGTTGCGCAGTGGTTATCCGATTCAGAAATTGAAATTGTTGAACTGAAAACTCAAAACTTGACATTGAATTAGCCGAAAATGAGGGTACAGTTATGCAAATTTTATCTCAAAGGGCATATATATAGTTATAATAGTTATTATGGCGGCAAAATAGACAAGAAAGTGGACTAGATTGTCAAACTCATGAACTAGCAAGAATTCAACTTTGTGATTAATTAACACAGTAAATAGTTATTTGTATTTTACTTGTCAATTATTATAACACTACTTGCTCATACGCAACATTGGTCATTATTTTCTCCACAAATATTATTGACTAGATTCAAGCGCCTATTTGGACTCTTTTCTTTTCCACCTTAAAAGAAAAAAAGAAAAAAAGTGACTGATTTTTAACCTTACTTCTGAAGAGGAGTCTGGTATAATTGGATAAAGAAAAGAAAAGAGAAAATTTGCAATAACCCCAATTATCTTTTTCTTATAAAATATTTAGGGACTAGTCATATCATAGTGATACTCATGACTCAGCTTCTGCTATATAAAAGTATGCACCCTAAACATAAAAAAGGGAATACGATAGACACTACGCAGAAACATAACTCGGTTCCGATCCTCAAGGGCGAAACCAGCCCTTAAACCCCCCAAAAACGCAATGCTATTGACATTTCAATTCACAACTTGGTAACTCTCTCACTAACCCTTGTCCCTGTCTCTCTCACAAAAATTATGCAGCCTTGTAGCAGAGAAATGCAAGGAATCAACTCTCTCATAAACGCTTCCCAAATCTCTCTCCAAGACCTTCACAACGCAAATCAGATCCAAAACACACACATGAACCAACTCAATCACTTCGACCCAACTTCCCACGATGACTTCCTCGAGCAAATGCTATCTTCTTGCTCATGGCCTGAGCTCAACCCAAACAAGCCCCTGTGGGACCCTAACAACACCCTCCATGACATCAAACACCATGACCTCTCCGAGGAAACGACACCGTCCAGCGCTGAAAATGTCGCTTTTCCCTACGACGAACACAACACCTTGGCCTCCAAGTTCCGCAACCACCAGATCAGCCCCTCCGTGCCAACAACCAAGGCCGCGGCACTCATGCTTCAGCAACACCTCCTCATGCCCCAGATGCCACTTTCGCTGCCCCGAAACGACGTCGTTGACGCCTCCTCCTTCAAGCCTCCCACTCCCGTACAACACCGTTTCACACACCATAACCGTGAATTCTTTTCTCTTTTTCTATTTTTTAATGATAACCTCTTTTTTGTTAGGGTGGCGAGGCTTCAGTTCAAGCTCTCTACAACAGTTTCGCCGGATCTCTCCATGCTACTACCGGTCAAGCCTCGAACCAGACTCAGCATTTTCAACATCCCCAAGTTTGTACTTTTATTTCTTTTTTTAAGATAACTATTATTTAGTTTCACGCTCTTATATTGATTTGTTTATTTATTTTGATTTGCGTGACAGGGAACTTCGAACCCGATGCAGGGGCAGAATTTTGCAGGTGCAGGGGGTGCAACGAACCAAGCTCCGGCGAGTGGGGCCGCCGCTGGCGCCCCGGCTCAGCCGAGGCAGAGGGTTCGAGCCAGGAGAGGTCAGGCCACTGACCCACACAGCATCGCTGAAAGGGTACTGTTTTTCTTTTCTGACTTCGATTCAATTCTTCGCTTCATTTAATGCCATGTTTAGATGTATACACAAAATGGAGCCAGTAGAACAATATCCCTTTCAAAACGTGCAAAGAGCGAAAGTCAAATTTTCATTCAACTACCCATGACATAGAAAATAATAAGGTTAATGGTTAGGGTTTACTATAAATTATAAGTCTTGGAAAAAAGGCCATTATAATAGGACAGAATGGATTTATTTTCTATTAGGTTCCCTGACAGTTGAACAGAAGCGTTTCTTATGGTGAAGTTGGTTGGGAATTATTTTGTTTGTGGCAGTTACGAAGGGAGAGAATCGCAGAGAGAATGAAGGCTCTGCAGGAACTGGTTCCCAATGCCAACAAGGTAAAGGCCCGTTTTTTTTTTTTTTTTGGCAATATCAATCCTCAATTATAACATTTTCTTTTATTAATTATGCTATTAATATTAGTTTAATAAAACAAACCGAAAGTGTAGCAAAAGTCACGATGGTAGTGTAGGGGGAAATGGGTGATCCGAACGAAATATAGTAGTTGTTACTCGTTAACGTCGTTTTCTTTTATGTACGAAGTTGTTTGTTCCATGTATTTCCATGTTAGTGTAACATGGAAAGGATGGTTGGTAACGTCGCGCTCGGGGGGGTTTGTCTTGCCCTCTCATCATACCGTTCCGTGCGTACTTCAAATACTAAGCTGGATAGCACACAGCGTTTGGTCCCAAAACCAACAATCATCACTGGTCACGGTAGGGACCAAAGTGTTGTTGCAGTTCTGACTTCTGAGAAATATTGAGCTAGGGATAATTTAGTCATAACGTAATGATATTGTTATGTAAAAAAAATAAAAATATGAAATAAAAAAATGGGTCAATTCCTAATTGAAATATTCGTTTGGTTTGTGGAATGACAGACAGACAAGGCATCCATGTTGGATGAGATCATCGATTACGTGAAGTTTCTGCAGCTCCAAGTCAAGGTGCGCTTCCCGCGTTTTACTCCTGTACCAGTCTTTTTTAATCTCATTTTATTCTTCATCCACATCAAGTAACACCATATTTTAATCATGCCAAGTTGCTTATTTAATGAAAGGTTCTAAGTATGGGCTTCTGGTTATTAAATTTCACTGACCACTGCCTTTAAAATAAGAAAAAAGAATTGAATTGTGTTGCTGCTTGGGTTACAGGTTCTGAGCATGAGCAGATTGGGCGGTGCAGCTGCTGTTGCTCCCCTTGTTGCTGATATGTCCTCTGAGGTTATTGCTATACAAATGCTTTCGTTTACTAAGATATTATGACCATTGAGTAAAATAATATTTTTTGCATTTTTAATGAAATGAATATTTTTATCTTTTTGTTTACATTAATGTTCTAATTGTTACGCTATAAGAAACCCTGAATTTCATTTATTTACATTTTTCTTTCAAAAAATTTGGTCCATTTTTACATCGTTCCCCACTTTCCTCATCTTTAAGAATGATTAGCATTATGAACGAAACTTTGAAAAAAAGAATTGAAGGAAAACATGGGAGGGTTTCCATAAGAAGAAATAAAATGGATGAAGAAAATGTGGAGCACACTGGGCAGCATGCATCAACATGTCGGACAGATGAGTCTTTCCCCCATCCCCACCAACCCACCCAAACATTTCACTTGGCTTTGGCTTATTTCAATTCTCAATCACCACAAAACGACAATCCAAAAGCAGCACGCGTGCCCACTTTCTCAGATTCCCCTCTCACGCACACACCTTTTTTTTTTTTTTTTCCTTTCTCTCTCTACGTTTCACTTTCCGTTTTCCTCTCATCCAAAAACCAACGGTCACGTGACGGGTTAAATTTGTATTTGCAGGGAGGCGGTGACTGCATCCAAGCCAATGGCAACAGTAACGGCGGTGGGGTCCTGAACCGGAACTCCAACAACAACAACAACACCCAAACGACAGCGTCAACCTCAAACGACAGCCTGACCATGACGGAGCAGCAGGTAGCGAAACTGATGGAAGAGGATATGGGCTCAGCCATGCAGTACCTCCAAGGCAAGGGCCTCTGCCTCATGCCAATTTCCCTCGCCACTGCCATCTCCACTGCCACGTGTCACAGCAGGAACCCCTTGATGAACGGCAACAACCAGATTCCCAACAATAACGGCGGTGGCAACCACGCAAACCCCGCCGTCCCTTCTAACGGCGAAGGGCCGTCCTCTCCGAGCATGTCGGTGCTGACGGTGCAGTCGGCCGTAGTGGGTAACGAGGGCCCGGTGAAGGACGCTGCCTCCGTTTCGAAGCCGTGATGACGGCGTTTAAGTGACTTTTGGTGTGAAATAGACAAAGCAGACAACAGAGGACAGAAGATGACGTGTGTTTTTCTAAAAAGAGCCGTTAAAGTCTACGAAAATAAGGCGTCAGGGATACGGAGGGGGTGGAGTCGACGACGCCGTATTTACGTAGACTTTCTTTGGCTCGCCCATTGCTATTCCTAACTTTCAACCCACCAATCACATCTCCTCTCTCTTTATCATATATCGCTTTCCCCCTTTTCTTCATTTTTTTTTTCTTTCCTTTTTTCATTTCCCTTCTAAATAACAAGTTGCTCTGTCTCTGTCTTTGTACTCCCTTCCGTTTTCTTTAATATGCTTTTTCATTATTACTCTCTCTATTTTAGCTTTTGTTTTTGAGTTTGAGATGAACTTCCTCTCATTACATTACATTACATATCATTAATCCAAGTAAGTATATTCCTTAACATACGCACACGTATGTCAGTAATTAATAATAATGGGCAAATAATTAGGGACAGGAAAAGGATGAGCAGCTTTAGTTAGTACTTCTTTGATCCCATAGTATTCTTTTTAACTGCTTTTTCCCTACACTATTTTTTTATCATCAAAATGCACCTTTCCCATGGGTTAGATAGATAGATATGTTACGTTTATGTCAACGGGGGTTATTAAGCCTTTACGTTATTTAATTGCAAAAAGTTCTTAGCTGAATGCTAACTGATTAAGTTTCATTGTTTATTTATTACTGATATTGCTACGCCGTTAGCTGTAAAGCTCATCATACCCTCCCACCATTCCATATTTCTCCGTTTTGCCTTCTTACTTTCATGTTTCCATAACTAATGGAAGCCATTCAAAAGTGACAGGAATCTGTGCATTAATTACAGTTTACAAAATAAACAACATTAAAAAAACTAACTTCTTAGGGGTGACAACCTCAATCAAACTTTGGGACAGTGGAGACAATAATAATCCTGCGACGACCTCCTTCTTTGCTACATGAATTTCTCCACTAACCACCGCTTGAGGCTAAAATCAAATATTGCATTCACACCTCCATTCTACACACAACTAACTGTTGGAATATTATATCCATTTTTCATCTAAGTAGATAAAAAAAAAAAAAACTCATTTTCACCAAATTCCTCACCTTCTTATGTGTTAATCATAATGCCATATTCTTAACGTACTTCAAAAAATCAATTAAGTTATGACGTTTTTTTTTTCTTATTTTTTGAATCAATTAATTAAGGATATGCCCAACAATATTTACATCATTAAATGATACAACACAACAATTGATCATAATCACCAGAGCATAAAGCATTCTTGGTCTAATCTTCTGGGCTAATAATATAAAAAACTCAAAACTATGACACATAATCCAATACTATAGAGAGGTGGAACCCCTTTTTTTAATCAACAATAGTAAAGAGATTTAGCTTTCCCTTGCAACTCTAGATGCATCATGACATTGCATTGTTCATCATTGTCAACAGGAAGTTGGATACGACCTCCCGATGTATAAAAAAAATTGAAAATGGACACATACATCAATAAACTCAATATTAAAATAATATTGGAAAAAAAAAAATGAAGTTATCATAAATGAGCATTCAAAAGAACCATCTCAATAGACTGCAAGTTACCTCCATCACCGTATAGGGTGATATTCCACTTACAAACAACACTTGATTTTTTTAGCCAAAATTTAGTAGTAAGATATCAAATGTCTTATCAAAAGTAGGGGTAATCTTTAGTGTGTCCACGAAAACACCGTTCAGTAATATAACCAACGTTGTTAATTTTCGTATTATCACATCAACAGGAATTGAACAAGAGGCCATATTAGAGCTAACCTTGTGTTTGCTATGACACTAACATATAAGCTGTATGAGTAACAGTCTTGAAAGAGACATATTTTGTGTATCATTTAAGAGAAAAATTGTGAAGAACATAAAGAATAAAGCTTTACTCATCAATTATGTGAACAAAAATGTTATCAAATGTATAGTTGAAGAGTCATCTTCTCAGACTCGTATCCTCTACATTCATAATTCCTGTTTCATCATCCAATGGTTCACTTTTTCCTCTTACATTTTATTAATCTTTTAACATTTTTAAAACATCTTTTTTCCTCCATTTCACCACCCTCTCATTTAATAACTATTGTGAAAAAGACAAAACACCAAAATTTTAGTAAATCAAATTTTAAGTATATTAACTATATAAAAGGAATTACATTTTATATTATGCAATCAAAGAATAACCTATAATGACAACTTATCCCATCATTTCACTAACCTTTCATTTAACAACCAGTAATATAGTAAGATAAAACACACAAAATTTAGTAAACCAATTTTCAATACCAAATAAATGAAACAATTAATAATATTTCAAAATATAAAAAGAGAAATTCAATTATATTATATTAAATATTAAAAAGGTTACATGTTATTCTATGTAATTAAAGAGTCACTAATTAAACCTGTATAAATATATTAATGGTTTTTCTAAGGTGTGCTGAAAGACAATGACACGTGTTAAGAAATTAATAGTAGTTTTCATTTAAAAGTATAGTATTTAATATTATTAATATATTGAATCCTGTAATATTTTATGATTTTCAATAAAATAAAAACTTATATCAGTATTCCATCAACCTTTCATTAATCAAATCATTCTTCTAATTAAATATAAAACAAATTTAAAAATTATTTCATGCATTATATTATCACTGTTACAAAATTGATAAAACAAAAACAAAATTAATAGTTCGAGGCCTCTGAGGTAAAACTACTTTAAACAATATATAATATACAGATAAACAAATATTGTTCACAGCATGGGTTTTTTGTTGCTAATGACCTAAAGTTTAACTATTAAATATTTTTATTTAATTTTGTCACTGTTGAATTAAGCGATTAAAAAAGTTGATAATATTATTAATGTCTGAGTCAAGTGTGTTGACTTCAGTAAGAAAATTTTAATTCTAACTTTTACTCTAACACGCGGACAATATTTTAAATTAGTAATTTAAATAAACTTTTGATCTCGTAAAAGTTTTTGTAGTTTGAAATTAGTTTATAAAATAATTATGTTAAGATTTAGTTCTTAACAAGGTAAGTAAGCAAAAAATTAGTCTATATTATTAACTTTTGTTTATTAAGTCTTAAATTCAAATAAATTTTTAATTCCTATTAAAGTTTTTGAGTTTAAAAATATTCTAAAATATATTCTTAACATATTAAGTAAGAAAAATTTAGTCTTTATTATTAACTTTTATTTATTAAGTGTTGAATTGATTATTAAACTTTTATTTCAATATTCTCACATCACTGAATCATTACCATGATTAGCACCATCATTATCTTATATAGTAACCGCTATACTATTATCAACTGAATACTATCACGTTTTCTTCATTTACTTTTTCTTTATGAATTTATCTTAGGCACAACTCACTTGAAGACAATCATAATAAAAAGTTCTCCCATCAGCATACTTTATTTGGCATCTTTGTGTGTAATTCATATTATTTGTAACAATTATATATTGATAAGAATATAGATTTCAAAGTATTTAACACGTGAAAACGCTAAATTAATTTTTTTTATTCAATTTAACACTTAATTAAAGATAGGAACTAATTTTTTTTATTTGTTTAATTTGTTAGGAATTAAATTTAAAAAATGACTTAGGGACTAATTTTAAATAAAATAAATTTTATAAAAACAAAATTTATTTAAGTTTTTATTTTAAATTCTATGTGTTTTGACTAGGATAAAAAATTGTCATATGTTCAACATTCCGACACTCAACTCAATGTTTAATCCATGAAAGTTATTACATATGTTAATTTTTAACTTATTTAATTTATTAAAGATTAAATACTAACAAATATTTTTACAAACCAAATCTTTGCCTAACAACTTATATAAAATTAAAATTTGATTTAAGGCTAATTTTAACCTTTTTTAATCTGTATCCTGAAAACATTAATAAAATAAGACTAATTTAATAGTAATTAAAATTAAAATAATTTACTGTTTTCTTACTTTTTATTTTTATAAATTTCTTAATTATCAATAAAAAAACTATATATATTGTATATTTTTAAAATAATAAATACATAATTTTGATTTAACTTTTGCTGTATAAAATAATTAAAAATTACTAAGAAATATTAAAAGAAAATATAACAAAGCTTTGAAAAGGAAGCTAAGAGAATTATTGAAGGCTTTACATGTGTGGGTGCTTTGGACTTTAGGTGTTCCCCTCTGTCTCTAGAGTTCCCAGTATTTATGTCTTGTTTGTCATCTCAGGTTTAATTTCCAGCACAGGTAGGGTCAAAGCAACCAATTTTCATAGAAGGGCCCTCATTCACCGCTTTCTACCATCTTCCTAATTCGTACAAGTTGAAAATCATCATCAAAACAAACCCAATTGCTGTAGCTGGCTCAAAGAAAGTCAAAAAGAAAACCAAAGAGAAGATAGCTGGAGACATGAAAAACAAGACCTAGAAGATATTTGATCGGTTGAAGGTTAAGAAAATGCTGGTTCACACTCAAGGGTATGCAGAAAGCAAGAGAAGAACAGTAAGAAAGAAAATAACCCTAACCGAATTCATCTATTGAATGAATAGATGAAAACGCGGACATACCTGACATTGGTGCAAAAACACGGTACTTTTCCAAAACAAAGTAGCTGAGTGCAAACCACAGTATTTTGTCAAAACTGTGCGGTTCAGATCTGACTCCGCAGACTCAGAAAGAAAGATTATGCATTTGTGGTTTTCATGTTTTGCGTTGATCAAAAGGCAAGCGAGAAACACACAAGAGATGTTGACAGAAGAGAGTGAGCACATGCTGCTAGTGATTGTATGAGGGCATACATTTGTGGGTGCGTGCTCACTTTTCTTTCTGTCGGCTTCTCATTGTTGCTGTGTGTTTCTCTCTCTTTTCTTCTTCACTTCCTATAACTTCTCTTACATATCTCTAATTCTGACCCTTCCTTCATCATTGCATACTGTTATCTTTCTAATATTCACTCTTTCTA